TTTATTCTGGGCTTCTTGATATGGAAATATTTGAAGCTATAGTATATGAAGTTTTATCCAAATATTTCAAGGAAAAAGACAGACACTATGGTAACTACTATTAAGTCGGGTTATTTGGTGGTGAAGCACTAGATTGCTGAAACAGTCATGCTTTGACCTGTATTGCTATATTGTTAAGTCCTGTTTTATCTCAATCTCTCCCTTATTCTTTAAAAAAATTATTTAGTTATTTCTTATGTTTGTTTTAATTAAGGAGAAACATTAAAAAATTAGCAGGATATATGATAGTAACTTTTTTTGACTTCCTGTTAACTTGTTTTGAAGTCCTGTAATACTCCCACTATCTTGTTTTGACTGATTAGACTCTGTTCCATTCTGTATGATAGTATCAAGTTTGAGGGTATAGGCAACTACTTTGAAGGCAATAAGATTCACTAAGATGCCCATTCTGGTTTGACTATTGTCTCCTTTGGAAGTCCTGTAATGTTTACAATGCTTAAGTTTTATTGGTCTTGTTCTCTACTGTTTTGTTCAACTTTATAATATCTAATGAGATAGACAATTCTTTTTAAGGAAACAAGAGACATCGTTGATAACCATTGTTGATAACCTTGTACTTTGTTTTACATCATGTGCTATGTCTATCCTTGGTTTTGACTGACAGCTTTGTTTTGCCATATTTGACTTTATTCTCTCCCCCCCCCAAAAAATAATAAGAACTAAGGAGTAATAAAACCCAAAATGTGTAAATTTTGTTGTAAAAAAGAGAGGGAAGAAAAGAGCTCTAAAGGATACAACAGCAAGTGTGTTTAGGTTTGTTAAATAGCTGACCATATTAATGTTTTTGGTTGGATCATTGAACACAACTGCTTGCAGTCTCACTGTTTGAATGTCTACTTTGTATTCTTTGATACTGTGATTTGAGCAACTATTTCTAAGATGATAATATATAATCTATTAACAGGTGATTTCTTACTGTTTTTTTTTTTTTTGGTAGTTCTGTATTACGTGTACCCTTACACCACTTTGTTTTGTTTTGTGTTTTTCTCTTTTTCCTTTTAGATAAATTTTTTTAAAAAATTGTGTAAGAGACACTCAACCTTCATGCTCAATGAGCACTCATTAAAAATCAGTTAAATTGCTAATATTATTATCATCTCAGACCCATGACAGGGAGCATCTCAGGATGACCTCTTTGAGGACTACTGTTGGCTTAGGGCGGCAGAAGCCACTGCTCCTAGCTACTTATTTGTTCATTGATTGGTTTCACATTTGCAATTGCACTGTGCTGTGTCCTACAGTGGTCAGAGTAGCCTGGGGATTTTACACACAAGACAGCACATACCCTTAACGTGGGCCCTGGAGATAAAGCTAACAAGCATGATGATCTGGTCTGTAACTTCAAAATTTATTTGAGGTTGCTCATTTCTGTTTACTTGTTTGTTTGTTTTGTTTTTTGGAAACAGGGGCTCACTATGCAATTCAGGCTGGCCTTGAAGTCACTTTGTACTCAAGGCTGGCCTGGAACTCTCAGAGATCCTCCTGTTTCAACCTCCTGAGTGTTAGGGTTAAAGGCATGCACCGTTGACCGGCGCAGCCCCCCAATGAGACAGGAGATGCTCTTGTGGGCGACAGTTAACTGCTGCTTTATTTACGCGGGCTCTAGTTTATATATTTGGCCGTGACCAATCACAGGCTGCCACGAGGAAGCAGGGCGGGAATGGGACGCAGGCTCTGGCTACTATATCCAGCTGTGGCCAATCAGGAGTTGCCACAGAGTCGGCAAGGGGCGAATACGGAGTGAGCACGAGGTGCGCACGCATTGGCTAATTTAAAGAGGGACATAGCGCATTGCGGAAGCTGGCGTGGTCCTTAGTCCCGGGTGGGGTATGGTATGTTGAGTGCCTGCGCCCAACACACCACTACACCTGGCCCAGTTTATTCTTTAATTTTTTGTCCTTATAATTTGAAAAAATCACCTAGAGTTTAATTTCGAAAACTAGTTTTTTATCTTTAATCTCTATGGAAATAGAGTTTACATATGTGGCCCATCTATTTGAAGCACACAGTTCAGCTATGAATATATTTACAGGTGTGTGTAAATATCACCGCAGCCAGGGTTTTTGAGACAGGATCTTGCTCTGTACCTCGGGCTCCCCTCATGCTCACCCCCTGCTAGCTCAACCTCTCAAGTTCACAGGTCTATCTTATTTTGGTTAGGATTTCACAGACAGCAGTGATAAATCAAGAACAGCACATCTAGTGGACACAGCAATGCACACCTGTAATCCCAGCACTCTGGGAAGCTGAGGCAGAAGGATCTCAAATTTGAGCCCAGCCTGGACAACTTAGTGATTTAGTGAGACTCTACTTCAAAATAAAAGATAAAGATGGGGGGTGGCGGGGATAGAGCTGAGTAGTACAGTGGCTGCCTGGCAGACGCAAGGTCCCGAGTTTGATTCCTGGTTCCAATAAATAAATAAACAAATAATTAAAAAGTAGGACTGGAGATGTAGCTCAGTGCAAAGGTCCTGGTTTCAATCCCCAGTATAAAAAGATAACTAAGCCGGCATTTGTTCAGACGTAGTTGATTCCAGATACTACCCTAGTCCCTTGGCAGCCTCCATCTAGGGCTTTATCACTGCCAAACAGCTAAAATGAAATCTGGTGCCCATTTTGATGCCCACTGGTGACTGAGAGGGAATATCGCTTGCTGAAAGTTGTATGGCAATGGATAAATAGGTTTGGACCTGGACCTGCTGATGTGACAGGTCCTGCCCATTGCCCTGAACAATGCCCTCCTCGTCTGTACGGGCAGCCACAGGCCATGCATGGAGTTCTTTCTTCTGCCTGAGTCCACGTGCCCACTCACTCACCATGCACCCTGAGGCATTCACCTGCCTTCCCTACGCAGTCACAGGAAGTTAACTGTCCATGTTCTAAAATGTGTGGCGGGTCATACCTGTAATCCCAGGTCTTGGGAGGCTGAAGCAGGAGGATCACTACAAGTTTGAGACCAGTCTGAACTACATATTGAGATCTTGCCTTAAAGGTGGGAATGGAGGGGGCTGGGGATTTAGCTCAGCGGCATAAGCGCCTGCCTTGTAAGCAGGCAGTCGTGAGTTCGATCCCCAGTACCGATAAAAAGGAAAACGACAAAAGAAAAAAAAAAAGCTGGGAATGGAGAAAACAAAGAATGAGTTCTGTGGTTTGCGAATCTCACTGAACAAAGAGATTCTCTGTGAGAAACCACTTGACACCCAACAGTTGGGTGAAAATTAAAATGCTTCAAAAAATGTTTTTGAGACAGCAGGAGAGGGCAGGAGGAAAAAAAATGTTTTTGAGACAAGGTCTCACTATGTAGCCCAGGCTGGCCTTGAACTCACAGTGATCTTCCTGCCTCTGCCTCCCAAGTTCTGGGACTACAGGCATGTGCCACCAGGCCTGGTTTACATCTTCATCACTTTTATTCCTTCTTCTCCCCTACTTCCCCAAATCTGTATGTCATCTACATAGTGTCTTCTCCATTTCCTACCATCTCTCTTTCATTCTGTTCTTTTGGGTACAGGGAATCCAACTCACGACCTTGCACTTGCCAGGCAGGCACTGTGTTGCTGAGGTGTATCACTGGCCCCTCATTTTGGTCTTTATTTATTTTTGGGGTTTCTCATCTTACAGCTACCAATATTTAACCATGTCTGATTTATTTCACTCAGCCTTGTGGTTTTCCAGATCCATCCATTTTCTTCTTTATGGCTGAGCAATACTCCATTGTGTGTGAATACCCTGTTTTCTTTGTCCATTCACCTGCTGATGGACATATAGGCTACTTCCAAGCTTTTGTTTATGAACTGTGCTGCTGTAAACATGCTGTGCGTGGATCACTGTCACATGAGGTCTTGAACTCTTTTGGGAAAGTATCCAAAGGAGGAATAGCTGGGTCAAATAGAGTTTCTAGTTTTAGCTCTTTCTGGGTTTTTTTTTTTTCCGGGATCCCCACACACATTTCCACAGTGGTTACCTAAGTTCACACTCCCACTGACAGTGCAGCAGCGACTCCTTGCTCTACAGCCTGGCCAGTTCCGGCCAGAGTAAGGTGGAGCCTCAGTGGTGATAAAGCTCGGAGCAGCACAACCCGTGAACGGGGCATAAATGCCCGCAAGGTAGCAGTCACCATGGCTACCTCGCACCCAGGGGCGAGTGCCCCTGTATCAGTGGATGCTGAGGCCCATGCCCAGTTCTCATTTAAGTGAGACGATGAATTGTAAGACCTACACGGGCACGATAAGGAGATGGAAATAAAATAACGTCAGGCAAAGGAGAGAGCACGGGTTTACATCTGCTGTGTGTATTTTAAAGGTGTGTATGTGTTTCAAAGGCTTAAACTCACTATATCGCCCAGGCTGGCCTTACAGTTGTGGCAATTCTACTGCCCCAGCCTCCTGAGGACTGGATTTAAATGTTTATTTCAAGGCTGTGTAAGCTGGGGCTGGGGACGTGGCTCCACAGCACGGCATGTGGATCCCTGGGTTCAGTCCCTAGAAATGTAGAGGAAACACTACCTAAGCGGTGCAGACTCAGCAAAAGACTCCATTTGTGTGCTGGTCAAGGTAGGTTTTGCTACAGAAATAATCTCAAAGTTCAGTGATTTAAGACTACAAATACTCATTTTATTTTACTTTGTGTTACTGAGGGTTGAACACAAAGCTGAGCTACAGCCCCAGCTCTTTTAGTTTTTAAATTTTTTGAAACAAGGGCTTGCTAAGTGGCCAAGTGGCCCAGGTTGGGCTCAAACTGTGATCATCCTGCCTCAGCCATTCAACGTGCTGGGCTCACAGGTCGCGCGGCTGACCACGCCCCTTGCAAGCGTGCCGGGTCCCCAGCGCCCGCTGCCGGGATCGCGTTCCCGCCGCACCCAGAGGCTCAGCATCACCAGGACCTGAGCTGGCAGGAACGGAAGACTGCGGGAGACCCACGGCGTCTTTGCCGCTCCGCGGGCGTCCGCACTCAGCTCCCAAGAACAACGCAAGCTGGCCGTCTGGGCGGGGCAGCAGCGGCAGCGCGTCTGGGGCGCCCCCTTTCGGGAGCGCGGGGTGTGGCCGGCGGCCCCTGTCCGTGGTGCTGCCCGGCGCTCCGCGGCGCGTGGCTGCGTCCTCGCACTCCCGCCCGTGTGGCCACTCACGGTGTCTTTCCTGACACTGGCATGCAGAAGTGTCACCTCACTGTCCTATCGAGCTGCGCAGAAAGGTGACACAAAACCGCTTCCTGCGCAAATAGACGGTTCTTCCAGAGCCGGCGAGGCCGGCGCGGGGGTCCTGGGAGAGGGGTCTCAGACCACAGGAAAGAACTCTCTTCTTCCGACTGGCCACGCCCCTTGCCTCTGGCAGCACGCCTGCGCAGTGTCTTTTATGCGGCTCAAGCCCCGCCTCCTTCTAGAGCAATCATTGGCCTCGGGGACCGGGTTTGGGCACAAGATGGCCGCCAAGCGCCGAGAGCCCCCGAGTCCGAGATCCCCGACCCCGGAGTTGCGATCCCCGGAGCTGCCGGACCTGGTGCGGGCGAGAAAGGGGCCCAGGGGGGGCACTCGAGGCGGCCGAGGTCGCAGGGCAGTGGGTGGGGCCTGCGGGGGTGGACGAGGGCTCTGGCCCTGGGGACTGGGCTTCTGGGGCTATACTGGGGCGGAGTTTAGGAGGAGCCTATGAGGATGGAGGGGCGGAGCCTATGGAGGCGGGGTTTAGAGGAGGCTGCATCCTGGAAGGGGCGTTCTAGGGTTGATTTGCATAAATGGGTGGAACCTTCAGGGAGGCGAAGCCTCGGGGAAATTCTGGCTCCAGTGAGTTAAGGTGAAAGGTTGAGAGGGTGACCCTGAAAGGACGGGTTGTGACCAGGTCACCAGATTGGGAATGCTTCTGCAAGGGATGTCTCTCCAATGCCCAGAGAGGATGTAGGACAAGAAATGGCTGTTCTGGATGACAAGAATCTCCTCCACATCCCCCAACTCGGGCTTGGAGAGTAACCCGGCCCATCCATTCGACAGTATTCACTGAGCCCCGACTGGACTCTGTAAACAGAGCCGTGGACAGAACAGAGGACCTGTGTACTCTCGTGGCTGGCAGTCCTACGAGGGAAGAGGGCTGATGAGCGAGATTCCCTGTGACACATTACAGAAAGGAAATAAAAAGTGAGCTGGTAGAGTGAGGGTGGGGAGCTAAATTTAGACGACATCAGTCAGCTGGGTGCCAGCTGATCTTTACCGTGTGGTCAGAGAGGCGGGAGCCAGCTCTCGGTGGACACTGCGTGACGGCGGGGCTTGGGAGTTGCATTTCCAGGAGGCCTGGAGGCCGCTCCGGGGAGATGGGTTATGGGGTGCAGGAGGAACAAGAGTTCTCGTTACAGGTTTTTAGGGTGTGAAGGGGAGAAACGAATGGGCTTCTGGCTAGAGTGGAAGAGGGAAGATCTGGGCCTCATAGTAGAGGTCTGGGGAGGGGGGTGCGGTGCCACAGGCTCCTCTGTCTTCTTCCTTCTCCAGGTCCTGGTGCCGGAAGACGGCCGCCCCACCACCCCCCCGAGTGACCTCATCGAGATCCAGGTGGTGAAGGTCGCAGACACCACGCTAGTTCCTGAGCCCCCAGAGCCGGGGGTCTCCTTCCACTGTGCCTTGTGCCCGGCCGCTTTCCGGCTGGTGTCGGAACTGCTGTTCCACGAACACGGCCATCTGGCGGGCGCGGCCGGCGGCGGGCGTGGCGGAGACCCCAGCCGGTGTCACGTGTGCGGCCACAGCTGCGCGGGGCCCGCCAGCCTGCGCGCGCACTACAGCCTGCACACCGGGGAGCGGCCCCACCGCTGCGCGCGCTGCCCGCGTGCCTTCAAAGCCTTGGCGCCCCTGCTGCGGCACCAGCACCGCCATGGCGCGGAGCCCGGGCCATCGCGCGCCCCCCCCACAGGTGCCGGGGAGCGGGGCTCTGGGGCACCCCCGGAGAGGGCCGAGGTGGTGCTGGCCGCGGCGGCGACGGGCGCGGCGATGGGCAAACCCTTTGCCTGCAGGTTTTGCGCCAAGCCTTTCCGCCGCTCTTCCGACATGCGGGACCACGAGCGGGTGCACACGGGCGAGCGGCCCTACCACTGCGGCGTGTGCGGCAAGGGCTTCACGCAGTCCTCGGTGCTCAGCGGCCACGCGCGAATCCACACGGGCGAGCGCCCTTTCCGTTGCGCGCTCTGTGACCGCACCTTCAACAACTCCTCCAACTTCCGCAAGCACCAGCGCACGCACTTCCACGGGCCCGGGCCCGGGCTGGGGACCCCAGCGTTGGTGGCCGGCGGAGCAGGAAGCGCGAGCCCGGCGAGCCACCCGCCAAAAGAGGGGTGCGGGGACGAGGTGGGGGACGAGGTGAAGGCCGAGGTTGACCAGTAGGTTAATACAGCCAACCGAGGGAGTTAACTCGAGATGTCACAAGGGAGGGGTGCTGGAAACGGAGGCGACAGCTAAGAAGGGAGACCAGGAGCAGCCTTCCTACACGGCAGATACAAGGACTCCCAGAAGCCCACGCTTGCCTGGGGGAGCCCCAGAGAAAGAAAAGCAGCCCTGTGCTGCCCAGCTACATTCAAGGACCACGGGAAATTCATTGCCCCCTTCGCATCCCTGTTTAGTTTGTGTGAGAGACACAGCGAGTCACAACAGTTTGGTGGTCACAGAGGGAGAGGACCACGGCCCACACTCCTGGCCCAGTCCATCTGCAGAGCCCTAGACTGTCTGGGGGTCCCCAGGTGAACCAGGATGGAATCTTTTGCCTACCTCACTGATTGCACTGGAACCGGGACTACTACTGCTCACCCCAAGGCAGAAGAGGCCCAGCAGGTGGCCTGTAAAAACTAGGATCCCATCATTCAAAGCCAGAGGGTCCCTAAGTCTCACAGCTGGAAGCACTCGAGGATGCCTGACCTTAGGATCCATGCTTCCCCCACCCCCAAAGTGGTCTCTCTTTAACCCATCCAGGACCATGTTCAGACACCACTAAGCTCGCCCAGCAAGAAACCATTCCCTCCCTTCCCTAAGCAGCCTGTAGTTCCTCCACTTGGAATTGAAGCAGGCAGCTACTGCCAGGCCTCGGCAATCCTGAAGAAGGGAGAGTTCCTGGGTGGAGACAGGAGGAGGACTGGGGAGCTGAAGGTGGGGAGCCCCCTGTCTTCAGTTCCTATTAAAGGACTGACTGAAGGCTTGCTGTCCCTCACTCTTGCATTGGGGTGTTCTCTTCTGGGGAGGTGGGGACCAGCCCCTCTGTGGCCTTGCCAATAGCAGCAACTTGCATCGGGCCCTGCTCAGACCTCCAAAATTGGGGGTGAGGGGTACAAGCCTGTTGTCCCCAGCTACTTGGGGACATCTCCAGTTCCAACCAGCCTGGGCAATTTAGGGAGACCTCATCTCAAAAAAAAAAAAAAAGTGAATAGGCTGCAAAGGTGTTCTGTGTTTCCAACCTAGGAGAGGAGCAGGGACAGGAGAGCTGGCACATGAAGGGACACCTGTGACAGCCAGGCTTCTGGAAGAGGAAGGTCCCTGCTCCGCTCATGGAGCTAATAGGCCACTAGCGTTATTCTGTGCCCCAACATTCACCGGCCATCACTTCCAGATGGCTCAGAATGGCATAAAAGCTATTCCCTCCCACACCAAAACATGTCCATATTCCTGTGTCGGGCTGTGCTTCCTTTGTCTCTTTCTCCCTCATCAACTCCCAAGCCAACAGGGTAACTATGGCAGCTCAGTTCTAGGCCCCTCTTTTTCATGCCCCACACAGCAACCCCAGCATCCTACCCACTGACCCACAGCTCCTTGGGGCTTGGAGAAGGGGTCACGAACATGAGTACAGGAGTGGGTGGCAATGCCCATGAGGCGTCCAGGTTGAGGAGAGGGAAATACAGGCAAGGTGAAATGGCGGGGGATGCTTGGGCTCACTGTTGGGCTCCACAAGGAGTGGCCGGGGTGTGGCCAGTTGGAGAGTCTGCCCCCTCAGAAGTGGACTGTGGTACTTGACCTCTGCGGGGGGTACAGATTGGGTTTCTAGGCTTTCTGTGTTCTCACAAGTCCCATTAGCTCTTATAAGAAGTCTTCTTGGTCTGGAGTGTGCTATGCATGTCTTCTGCCACGGAGCTCCATGCCCTGTCCTCTGAGTCCTTGCTTTATGCAGAGACCGGGAAAAGCCTTTCACTCCCATCCAATCTGGCAGATGCTAGCTTCTGGTCTCCAACTTGCAAGAGTCCCCCAAGCCCTATGACCTGGAGTTCCAGACTCTGCAGAATCCAGGAATAACTCACCCATCAAAAGCTCTCCAGAATAGCTGCGTTGGGCTGGGCACACCAAACCCTCCCTACCTACAAGTTTGCCCACCTGAGCTGGTGAGCTCCTGCTGCTGTGAGTCATTGTCTGGGCATCACCCTGTCCACACTATGCTTTCCAGCTGTCCCGTCTCTCACCTATATATGGGGATGCTTCTTCCATGTCTTTTAGGTTGACTGTGCCTCACTTCTGTGTGATTCTGGAGCATGGGCATGAGGTCTGTGTTGTGGCAGGTCTGCAGGGCTGGAACGGAGCTGACATGCTGGGTTGCAGTCCTCCCATATCACATGATTCTTCCACAAGGAGGCCTACAAAGGGGCACTTGAATCTCTTCAAACCACGGTCCTGGCGGGCTGTGGGCTATGAGCAAGCTGTAGGACAAATGAGTCTGCACGAGCCTGGACAGATACCCGCCAGCCTTCTCTGGTTGCTGAGGGTGAAGACCAGGTCCAGCCTGGGACCCAGTGCTGACAGCCTGCCAGAGGAGAGGGACCCAGGCTTTGGAATTCCACCATCTTATTCCTATTTGCCCAATTTGGGGACCTAAGTGTGGAATCTGGTAATCCCTAAGCAACTACCAGCTGAATGAAGGGCAGGAGGCAGAGGGGCGGGGCATCAGCTCTTCCAGGAAACAAAAGGCCCCAACCAGTTTGGCTAACACTTAAGCCCCATTCTCCCTGTGATGCAAGGACAGACGTCAGGGCTCTGTTGTTAAGATTTATTGTTCTCTGCTCTGTACAAGAGGCGTTTGCCACCCCGACCCCCCACCCCACAATCTAAAAGCACCCCCTTCCGTGATCCCAGCTCTGCATATCCCACAGCCCAGCCAGACTCCAAAGGGAGGGGTGTGCAGTTCAGCTGCATCTCCATCGAAGCACTCACTCCCTGGGATGCAGGACCACTGGGGGTGCCTGGAGAGGGTGACAGGAGATTTGGACCGAGAGTCAGAGTCTGGTTGGGGGTGCCGAGAGGTCAAGGAGGGGGTGATTCAATCTGGAGTCTGCAAGGCCCAGACCCTGAGGGAGACCAGGCAGTCTGAAGTTCTGAAGGACAGGACAGAGAGTTGGGGGAACCAGTTTGACCAACAGCCCTACAGAAGGGAGTCCAGAGAGTCCAGAGAGGACACAAGGTTGGAGTAGCCAGAGCCTCAGGCATCCTTCCCGGCCAGGGCCCCGGTTCCGGCCCCCGGGGCTCCGAGGCCCTCAGCCTTGTGCACCAGACGATGTTTCTTCAGGCCATAGGTGTTGGCGAAGCCCTCACCGCAGGAGGAGCAGCGGAAGGGCCGGCCACCCTGGTGGGCTGCCAGGTGCTTGCGGAAGTAGCCGGGGTCTTTGAAGGCCTTGAGGCAGGCCGGACAGCGCAGCTCGGGCCTTGGCGGTTCATGGGCGCGCTGATGGCGCAGCACAGAGCTCAGGTAGAAGAAGCCCTTCCCGCAGTGCTCGCAGCGGTAGGCGCGCTCCCCCAGGTGCAGCCGCTGGTGCTCCAGCAGGTTGGAACGGTAGCGGAAGGTCTTGCCACAGGCACCACAGCGCTGGGGTCGTGCCACAGCGTGCAGCCGCCGGTGCTCTGCCAGGCTGGACGACTGTGCGAAGCGCTTTGCACACACCCCACACTTGAAGGCGCGCTCACCGGTGTGCACCACGCGGTGCTGCCGCAGGTACCAGGAACGCAGGAAGCCTCGGCCACACACGCCGCACCGGTAGGGCCGCTGCTCTGTGTGGCAGCGCTGGTGGCGCATGAGCAAGGCTGCCTCCCAAAAGCGCTTCCCGCACACCGGGCAGCGAAAGCCGCGCTTCTGCCGGTGGCTGCGGCGGTGCAGGAGCAGGTCATAGGCGCCCGCGAAGCTCTGGCCACAGAGGCCGCAGCCCAGGGTCCGCCGCACCAGGTGCACGTACTTGTGGGTCACCAGCCCCAGGAAGTGCTTAAAGCTCTGGCCACACGTGGCGCAGCTAAAGCGTTCTGCGCCCGCACCCGCGCCCCCGCCAGCCGCAGTGGACGCGGCGCCTGCGTCCTCACCCCCGGACACCCCAGCCAGGGCCGCCACAGCTGCGCCCACCTCTCCAGCCAATCCGTTGTCCAGCACAAGGGCCGCATCAGTGCCACCTGAGCCCTCTGAGGACTGCTGGCCCGTGGGTGCAAGCAGGCGCTCGGGGGCAGCCTGATGCACCAGCTTATGCCACATGAGGTTCTCGATGAAACCAAATGTCTTGCCACAGGCGTCGCAGCCATAGGGTTTCTCCGACATGTGTGCCTCCTTGTGGCTCATGACGTGGAAGAGGTCGGGAAAATGCTCCCCGCAGTCCGAACAGGCATAGCTGAGCGTGTCAGTGGGGCCCGCACCCCCAGCCCCGGAGGCCCCGGCCCCACAGCCTCCCGCGGCACCCTGGGCAGCTGGCAGCCCCGCGGCCCCAGCCAGGGCGCAGGGCAGCTGGAGCCGGTGCACCTGGCGGTGGCGCGTGAGGCTTTGCGGATAGCCAAAGACCTTGCCGCAGAGCTCGCACTTGTAAGGCCGCTCGCGCGTGTGCACCACGTGGTGTTTGCTCAGATGGAAAGACTCGCGGAAGCGCTTCCCGCACACCGGGCACTGGTGTGGCTTCTCGCCCGTGTGGATGCGCTCATGGCGCTTCAGCGTCTCTCGGCGGCCGAAGCCCCGCCCACAGATCCCGCAGCAGAAGGTCTTCGCTGCTGCGGCCCCAGAGCCGCCCGTGCCGCCGGCCCCTGGCCCACCCAGCAGCAGCGGGTGCGCACCCAACAGCGGCACGGGCACTGCCCCGTACACCACAGCTGCTGCCGCCGCCGCCGCCTTCTCACTGTCGCCGGCAGGCGGCTCGGCAGGCAGCAGGTAGGGGCCAGCAGGGAAGGTGGGCGTGGGTGGCGCCACTGCTGGGGCCGCCGGGTCCTTGGGCACTTCGGAGGCAGGCGGCGGCGCGTGCGCGGCCTTGTGGCGCAGCAGGCTCTGCGGGGCAGAGTAGGACTTCCCGCACAGCTCGCAGGCGTAGGCCGGGCGTGCCCCACCCGCCGCCGCGCCCGCGTGCGCCGCCTGGTGCTTGAGCAGGTAGGCGGCATCGCGGAAGGCTTTGCCACACACACCGCACGGCAGGCGCAGCAGGTCGGCCGAGTGTGTCTTCACGTGCCGCTTGAGGCTCTCGCGCCGGTTGAAGCTCTTACTGCACACAGAGCAAGAGAAGGGCTTCTCGCCGGTGTGGATGATCTGGTGCTGGTGCAGGTGGCTGGGCTTCTTGAACACCTTCCAGCACAGCGGGCAAGCGAACGGGCCGTCTCCACTCGCGGTAGCCACAGGGGGCGCTGCGACACCTGCAGGAGCGGGGGTGGCGCTGCCGTCAGCTGGGGGTGCGGGAGCGGCAGGGGGCCCCACTGGGGCAGGGGTGACGCCCGCAGTGGTGGAGGCAGGCGCAGCGGACCCCTGGGCGAGGCCCAGCGCAGGTGCAAGAGGGGCACCAGAGGCTGGTGGTGGAGGAGCCCCTGTGGCCGGCGCGTCCTTATGGCAGCGGCGATGGCGGATGAGGCTGGACACGTGGTTGTAGGTGCGGCCACACACGCCGCACTCATAGGGCCGCTCACCCGAGTGCACTAGCATGTGCTGCACCAGGTGCGAGGACTGCTTGAAAGACTTCTGGCACACGCCGCACGGGAAGCGCCGCTCCATCAGGTATTTGAGCCGCCGGAAGTAGCCCTTGTCATCCTTGGCTGGGTCGCAGGCGGCCCCTGCAGCGGCAGGGCCCGGTGGGGTCTGTGGGGGCACGGGAAGTGGCCCCGGGGTCCCCGCAGGCCCACCCAGACCCGGCGCCACAGCTGGGCCCGCCGCAGGCCCACTGCGCTTCAGGTTCCCGAACAGGTGCTGGTGGCCCGAAAGGTCCACAATGCCCCACTGGGGCGCAGGGAAGGCGGCATCGAAGAGCGGGGGCGGGGGCGCCCCAAAGGCGGGTGGCAGGGGTGGGTCAGGCTTCTTGGATTGAGTGGAGGAGGTGGAGGATGAGGAAGAGGAGGACGAGGAAGAAGAGGAAGAGGAGGCTGAGGATGGAGCCTCGGCCTTGGGCTTGAAGCTGGCGGGCGGCGGGTAGTCAAACTGCGGCGGCGGGGGCTGCGGCGGCGGCTGCAGCGGGGGTCCTGGGGCGCAGGGCAGCGCAGCCACGGCCTTGGCGTGCTCCCCGTACAGCTCCATAGGCTCAAAGCGCTGGTGGTTCAGGAACTCCAGGAAGTCGAAGGGGTAGCTCTGGAAATGCACACCGTCCTCGCCACCCAGGCCGCTGCTCCCGCCGCCCCCCGCGGGGTTCCCCTCCATCTCAACGGCAGTGGAGGACCCTATGGAGAGAGGTGCTGCTGAGGCCTGGTGGGGTGTCCTCCCCTTCCAGGTTACACTATGCACTACCTGGAGACCCGCTCGGTGTCCTGCCCACTTGCAGGGCCACCGGCTCTTTGCTCCTCTGGCGGTGCTGGAGGCTGCACTGGGCTTGCATCTGCCAGGCAAGTGCTCTACCACCGGACTCCATCCATGTCCCCGCTTTCACTTGGAACAGCCTTTCCCTAATTTCCCTAGCTGGCCTGAACCTTGCAGTCTCCAGCCGCGGCCTCTGGGGCAGCTGTGCATCACAGGTGTGCATGCCACCCCTCCACTCTGCCCCCCAGCTTGGAACGGCAGGCTATACTAGAACAATCTGCCGGTCTGGCCAGGAGACCCCTGCCTCTCCCAATGCCAATGGTGTTTCCCCTCACAGAGGAAGGTGGAGGTGCAGTGGGTGGCAGAAGCCTCATCTGGAGGTGCTCCCCAAGTTATGACAGCTTCCCAGTAGGGCCTGGTGGAAGGGATGTTGGATATGGCTTTAACAGACAAAGCTTCTCTCTTCTCTGCTCAATGTTCTCCCCAGACCTCAATGAGGCTCTTTCCTGAGCATCTTCTGGTCCCCACCTTGTCACTTTCCTGCCCAGCACCCAGCTGTCCATCGCAGTTAGATCACCCCCACCTTTTTTGCTCTGTGGTACTGGAGACTAGACCTTGGCCTTTACACTAAGCTATATCACTCCCTGTTTTTTTTTTTTTTTTTTTTTTTTTTTTAGAGACAGAGTCTTACCTAACTTGGGCTTGAGCTTCCAGCCTCCCAGAGCACCCAGGGATTCCAGGTGTGTGGCACCATGTGCAGCTGCCACTAACTCACCCATCCCTGTCCCTGTGCTGCGTCTCCTTCGGCTGTCACTAAGAAGACAGGGCCTTGGCCAGTCTGGTTTCGTTCCTGGGATAGAACTCATGACCCCAAGCTGGCCAGGCAGGTGCTATGCCACTGAGCCACACCCCAGCTCCTGGCTGTCTTGCTGTAACCCCAGCCCTGTCCAGTGCCTGCATATAGATGTGCAGGAGGTGAATGCCACCTTGCTGAGCCACAAGAAGGTCCATAGAAAAGTTGAAAGGAAAGTGAAAAACGGTCTTGATGGACAAGAGCATGACGTGGGCTATGAACCGCACCCACCCCAGGTGGGGACCCACAGCTGTAGCACCTGCTGATCTGTACTGTCAGAGTGTGTGACTGATGACATCCAGGGAACCCCATGCAGGGACACTGAGCCGGGAAGGGCTGACAAGCCGTCTCTCCCAAGGGCAGGAATTCTGGGTTCAGTGGTGGCATGAGAAGGGCACTGAGGGAAACAGCAGCAGATGCAGGAGAGGGTGCTCATGGGAATTTCCACAGGAAACAGAACATGCTCTTTTTCCCAGGGCTTGAGCCTTAAGATGCTGGTTCTAAGGGCAGCCACACAACCAGGAGAGGTGCCCTCACCTGGGGCAATTGGCTCCCCCAAAAAACAGTGAAACTGGGGGCTGGGGATTTAGCTCAGCGGCATAAGTGTCTGCCTTACAAGCAGGCAGTCATGAGTTCGATCCCCGGTACCGAAAAAAACGAAAAAGACAAAAAAGAAAGAAAACAGTGAAACTGCTCAGAGAGTCCACCTGTTATTGGACATCTGCTCCCTACCGTCGCCTCATGCCCAGAGTCCTATGCTGCTCCTGGCCCTTTTTAAGGGGGGGAAACAGGAACAGAGGGGAGCTCACTCCCCAAGGCCACAGAGCCATGAGGAGAAGCCTGGAGCTACCTCAAGCCACAGTTGGAGCCTCTTGGTCACAGTAATGGTCATGGAAAGTAATGTGGGGCACCCAACGCCTGCTTCCTCAGACCAGTACCTAATCTTCCCCCTAACAACCCTAGGGAACAGGCATCAGTTCTGGCTCTGAAGCCCAGAGGAAGGAGGGGACCTCAGGTTCTCAGAGGGACGACTCCGTCTCCAACCCACAAGGCAGGTGGCAGGTCCCAGAGCCTGTGCTCTCTCCCCAAAACATGGACTTCACTTTCTGGACTTCACTGTACAAAATAAAGCACATCTGCCATCTGTCCCACATATGGAGTGATGACTCCCCCACCTCCCTACCACCAAATCCCAAGCCCCTAGGTGGGACCCAGCACCAGGACAGGCCACTGACACTTGCTGAACTCTTCCAAACGCTGTGGGTGCCCGAGGTGGCTTGTCACATTCAGGCTTCATAATAACTCAGAAGTGTGACCAAATGGTCCTATTTATAGACAGGACTAAGACCAAGCCATGGCCCACTCGGCCCACTCCCCTGAGGTGACTGTCTCACTCCAAGTCGAACCCACAGTGTTTCCAGTGACCTGAGCTCCTGCAATGTGCTCCCCCGCCCTGCGTCCTGTCCCAGAGACCCTGTGCCTGCTCCAGACACTCCCACACACCCCCATTGCCCTTCCTGTCTCTGCTCAGTTGTCCTCTCAATGCGGCTCTCAGCAACCGGTCACCTGTCCCCCAGGCCCACACACCTCCTTCTCTTCCATTCCTCTCCTTACCACTCAGCGCACTGTAACAAGCCATGCACCCCAATTTCTGTCGTGTCTTTGCTTTTCTCCTCCAGGGGTGAGATTTTTATGTTCAGTTCACTGCTCAGACCCCATGACCCATGATGTGGCTTGATGGGTGTTTGTGAGATAATTAGTGAGTGAGGCTGGGCACAGAGGGACTGGTGTTCCGGAAGATACGAGCCTCAGTAGAATCTGGGGCTCCATCATGGCACCGCTGGGGGGCACAGCTGTTCAGAAGGTGGCAAACTGACACTCAAGGCTAACTTTTTCTTCTGTGGTTTATTGGAGGAGCAAGAGAGAGGACTTTGTCGGCCAAGGCCTCCCTGACACCCCGACCCCACTGTCCCCTCATCCCGCTTAGAGATTCGATTTTACATAGCCCTCTCATTGGCCCACCCTGCGTCACGCAGGGCTCCGCCTACTGTGCTCCAGGCACTCTCCTGTGGAACTCGAGTTTATGAATGAAGGTGCTCGCTTGAGCAGCACATACACTGAAACTGCAGCAGTGAACAGAGAATCATGAATGAGGGCGAAGGGGAACTGACATTGGCACAATGGCCAGACAGGCTGCCGCTGCCAAGGCCCTGAGAGACCACACCTTTCCTCCCCTCATTCTCTCCCTGAATACGGCTCCAACTTCAGCAGCCTCTGCTGCTCCTTTGCTCATCATGGTCCCTGCCACCTTGGCACTTGTCCCCATCTGCTCCCCAGATCCCTGCGTGGCTAAGTGAGCTCTCTGAAGCAGCTCACTGGCCTCTTTTACACAGAACCCGCCGCACTGCGTTATTCTGTTCGTTTACTCTGCCGCCTCAACTACGCTGAGACCCTCAAGACGCAAGACTGCATCTCTCTCAGCTTCACAGCTGTCCGCGCTGCATTGAACAGTGAACACTCATTTGGTGAATGACAAATGTCTACAAAAAGGGTGAGTGGCACACTTGGGAAGCGTAGGGGTTTCTTCTAGGAACTCCAGGGCCAGGTCAGGACTAGGAAAAGCGAAGTCTGGGGGTGGAAGCAACAGCAGCAGCAGCAGCAGCAGCAACAGGCGCTATTCCGGGGCAGCAGTACTGAAGACAGAGTGGGCCGGGGGCATTTCCTAGAGTCTGGCACCCAGCAGGCCACTCCGGGACAGGATGTGGGTATTAAGAGAAGGAACACTAGAGGGCGCTGCTCCATTGAGGGGTGGCGTGAAAGGGGGTGTCTGAGGATCACCAAGGAGGTTGCAGAGCCGGGAAGGTACACCTGGCACGCACCAGAATGGAAAGCATTTTTCACCAACTGAGGGGCCACTGGGGGCAGCTCGTGCAAGGACAGGTAGTTGGGGACAGTTCGGGCACCAAGCACTAATGCACCTCTCACCGGGAGCCATCCTTCAGCGGAGGGCTTACAGCCCCTGTAATGGGCTCGAGCAGCAGCTGCCCTAGGACAGGCAGCGATGCTGCTGTCATGTGTGTGGGGAGGGGGGGCTGTCCTGCACCAAGCCATGAGGGGAGCTATGTGGAAGATAGTGGAAGATAGCCTAGAGAAAACGTTAGCGCGGGCCCTTGCAATTGGGGGGCGTCACGAACGAGAGCGCTTTGCAGGCGTCCACCCCGGTGGTGATCACCGGGGCAAAGGCTGAATAGTCGTACGGGGCAGCAGTGTTTGGTGTCCCCGGGTAGGCCCGGTGGAGAGGCACTGGCGCTCGGGGGTGGGGGTGGGGAGCGTCCTGGGGACCGCTGCAGGCCGGGGCGGGACCCCCGCCCCCGTTGCCCTCGCGTCGCGCTCTCCGTCACTCACCGGCGCCGGGGTCTCCGCCGGGAGGAGGCCGAGGAGGCGGAGGACGCGCCGCCGCTCCGGGGAGACCCGAGACCCCGACCGGAAGTGCCGCCCCCACCCCCTCCCCAGCAGCCCCGCGCCGCTCGCCCGGAAGCGGAAGTTGCTCCCGTTCCTGAGGCGCTGGCGTGGAGGATGCAGAGGAGGCGGCCGTGGCGGGGAGGGAGAGCGGAGAGATAGAAGTGCGCCTGCGCAATGCGTCGGGCACGCGGGCGGGGAAAGCCTCAGCTGCTTCCGGTAGGCAAGCGGTGCAAGAGCGCATGCGCTTTGTGCGCCCGCTGCTTCTTAGGGCACTGCCCCGGCGCTCCGGACATCCGGTGTAGGCACACCCTGGGCTCGGATCCCACGCTCTGGCCCCGCCCCTCCGGTTTGGGCCACGCCCATTTCATAGCTTAATCTTTGTAGGCTCCGCCCCCTGGTAAAATTGTGTCCTTTGCTCCACCTCTGCAGAGTCTCCCGTTCTGTTTTCTCACCAAGCCACCAGTCTCTGTAATTCAACCCTTCCTTCCAGGGGGTGCCTCTTCTCAAGCCCCGCCTCTTTCAACATCACCTCGGCTCCTGTAGCATTTAAGCGCCGCCTCTCCTAAATTGCTTGCCTTGAGGCTAGTTCTGCCTGGTGCCTCCAAAGCGTTCCCTTATTTAATTGCTTCGCCGAATGTGGTCCAACAGCAATCTCAACCCCCTCTTTCAACTCAGCCCCACCTCAAGCAGCTAAACCCCGTCCTTCAGAGAGCCTCCCACTGAGCTCTGGTTTCCTCGGGCACCTCCTTCCCTCCCTCTTTTTCCCTGGGAGCACAGTAGCAATCCCTCCCATTCTTGCACAGTGCCACCACCTTCTGATAGTCACATCCTAGCCCTCCAGCTCCCTGCCTTTCCTACCTTTCTCCTCAGCCCTAGCTCAACCCCACCGATCCCCTCTAAAGGCCTTTCTGCTGGCCAGTGCTGCAGATCAGAGTCCTGTCCAATGCTTACCCCTTCCCAAGCCCTATCCTGATCTCACAGAACCACCTAAAAAGCTTCCACCATTTTGGCTCAGCCTTTGTCTGCTCAAGCCTCTAAACCCTACTGCTCACCTTCAGGTTGCTTCTACTGTTTTGGTGCTAGGGATGGAACACACTACCACTGAGCTACATCCCAGCCCTGAGACTCCATTTTTTCCACGCCATCAGTGGGTTCTCCCCACAAAGAATGAGACAACAGTACAGTCCGTGAATTATCTGGGGACCGGGCTGGGTGCACCTTTGCAGTGCAGGGTCAGTGCTTTACACTTAGGCTGGCTATTTATTGGAAGTACTTTGAGGTATGGAGCTGGGCTGATGAACTGCACCATTGGGAACAAATATACAGGGCCAGTAGGCAGGCTTTATTTCCACGGCCTGTGTCTCCACAGATCTGGGAGTCCACAGGCCAGTGGCAAGATGCAATAGCACATGCTGGTCCCTGCCCTCCACCCCCTCCCAAAGCGGGTGAACCACCAGGAACAAGGGTATGCCACCTTCTGGGCCCAAGCCCAGCCCCATCCCCATCCCCAGTTGAGCTCTGGGCTGCAGGCCTGAACTGAGGATCTGTGGTGGGGGGAGCAGGTCAGGCAGGCTTGTTCCCCTCGGGGTTCTCCTCATGGACTCCTTCAGTGGCCGGGATCCCCTCATCATCCCATGGTGGCTGTGGCCTCGGATCCGGGTGACACACAGGAAGCCCCAGGGCCTCAGGGTGCTTGCGCTTGGAGTGGCGTCGAAGTGTGTTGGCCTCCGTGAAGCGCAGGCAGCACACAGGGCACTGGTAGGGGCGCTCACCTGAGTGCACACGATGGTGGTGTGCCAGCTCTCCAGCCTCGCGGAAGCGGCGTGGGCAGAGTGCACACAGGAAGGGCCTCAGCCCCATGTGGATGTTGCAGTGCCGCCGCAAGTGGCTGGACCGCTTGAAGGTCTTGCCACAATCCTTGCACTCGTGTGGCTTCAACTCTGAGTGCGAGATGCTGTGGCGCTCCAGGTCGGAGAGGTAGGGGAAGGCCCTCAGGCACACTGGGCAGAAGTGGGGAGCCCTCCGGGGGCCAGAGACCCGGGGCCCAGTGGCCACCAAGCCCTCGGAGACTGTGTAGGGCACACCCTGGTCATCGATCAGCAGGAGGTCGCTGCTGCCACCACCACGACTATCACTGTCCACCGCTGTTGCTGGCAGCCCCTGTGCCAGCGGGAGCTCGGGCCCAGACTTGGGGGGACGGCCCCGCTTTCGAGGGAGTGAGGACTTGAGCTTTCGGTGAGCTCCCCCAGGAGGTCGGCCTCTGCGGCTCCCGGGCACAGGAGGAAGTAAGGCCAGAGGTTTTTCTTCCTCCCCAGGCAAAGGCGAAGGCAACGGGTCTGGGCTGGGGGTGTCCATGGAGCAGTGCGGGGCTTGGGTCTGGGCACTGGATCTGGCTAAGAGGAGAGAGGGGCAGTGTCATCGCAGGCAGGGTCAGGACGCCTGTGTCCCTAGCATCTGACCCACCCTTCTCTCCAAGTCTCTAAACTTGGGCATAAGTTATACCTAGACACACATCACATCCCTGCTGGTGGGCAACACAGCAAGCAGATTGGTACCAGCTAGGAAAGGGGACCACGGGTGTCCCTGGGTCTCCCTAGCTCTGCCTCTGCCCAAATTTAATAGTTCAAGGTCAATAGGAGCAGAAACAAGGAAAAACAAGAGGTAAAGGGAGTGTGCAGGCCTCCAAACCACTCATCAGACTCTGGGTAGGGCCACAACAGCCCTGGAAATGTTCTTGTACCCTTGCTGGTTGCAGAAGAGGGGAAGTCTCAGGATAGAAGACAGAGATGGGCCCTAGTTCACACTGGAGGAAACATGTACGTGGGACAGAGAGGCCAGTCTCCAAGTTGGGCATCCCAGTCTGTCACTTGTTCTCTGTGTGGCCTTGAGCCAAGTGTTGCCTTCTGTGAGCTCAGTTAAACCTTTGCAACACGGTACCTGGTTCTCCCCAGTTGCCCAGATGTGTCCTAGGACTCATCCACATAGACTGTGCGTGCACAGACAGACCTGCACTATTAGGAGCCTCCCAGGGAGCCAAGGCTCATGCCAGCTAAATGAGGGTACACCTGTCCCATCTTAAAAATGGGGACATGGAAGCACAGGAAAGTCAAGGTGGTTGCTGGAGTTCCTTCTAGCAGTGAGGGGCAGGGCCAAGACTTTATGCAGCCTTGCTGATCCCTAGGGGAAAGGGGAAGAAAGGGGCATCACCATACAGGGACATAACAAGGGCGCTCGGGCCTGGGTTCAGTCCAGCTCTGCGACAATGAGCAAGGGACGCTGCCCCTCCAAGGCAGTTGGCCTCTGTGAAACGGAGCCTGCAGCACAGTAAGCACTTCGAGAAACTCTTGCACTAGTAGTTCTGCAGCTAGCTCGAGACCAGCAATGGCAAAGCCCTGGGCCCACGTGCCCAAACTGCAACCCAAATCCCACTGATTTATTGCACAGCGCCAACGCCGCCATTAAACCTGAATTCTTGGCTGCTGGGGTACCTGATGTGTGTGCGCATGGCAGGTTAGTCACCCCTGCACTATACCCTGGGAGCTAGGAACCCAGTGTATCCGGAGGGGGAGCACAGGGGCAGCCACAGGAGGTAGTGCAAGCCGACACTCGCTTTTAGATTGTGCTTTGGGCCTTCGAGAATACGCGGTGCTCTGACGCAGGGCCCCAAGTATTCGAGGGAAACACTGCATCCCAGGCCCACCTTTGCCCCCTTCACAAGCGAGAGCAGAGACGAACACCTTTTCCACAGCCATACGCCCGCTACAGGAGGTACCCAAACTACCGCCAGGTCACTGAAGGGCCAGGCACCCAGCGGCCCGAGTTTTCGAGGGTCCCCCACCTCCATGAGGGCGCGTTCCCGGCAGCCCCGAGCGGCGGCGCCCACGCGCGGGGCGGGCCCTGCGGGGACGGCGGCCAATGAGCAGCACAGGGCCCGCGGGCGGCGAAGGCGCCAGGAGGGGGTCTGCGCGCGCGAGCCCGGCCGGCTCCGCGGGGCGCGCGCGGGCTCGGGCGCAGGTGCTGGGGCGCGCACGGCCCGGGCCGCCCCTCCCCCGCCCCCCGCCCGGCCCCCGCCCCTCGGGTACCTCATTTGCATGCCGCCTGGGCTCGTGAATGTGCGCGCGCACGGGGGGCGTAGGGCTGGCGCGCGGGGAGGGGAGGGGGAGAGGGGGCCCTGCCCCTCGGCGGCGGCGGGCGGGGGCGGGGGCGGGAGAGCCCGGCCCCGCCCCTGGGAACGTAAACTGGAGGCCCCGCCCCCCGCCGCCGCCTGCGGGGAACAAAGGGGACGTGGTGGGTCTTAGGGGCCCGTTGCGTTGGTGCACGACCAGATGCCTGAGCACAAGTCGCCCTCGTTTGCTGCTCGGGCGAAATCACCCATTACCATATCCCCAACCACATCAAAATGCCTTTTCTCTCACAAAGAGCCCAACTGGGCGGCGAAATCAAGCACAAATACAGAGTAGATGACAAACGGGAAATGGCTGCTCGGTGCCATTAACTGACATGGCGCCCGACAGCTTCGAAGTGCCCCGAGCGCTAATTGTATAAGATGGTGCCTGATCTTGCCCATGAATTGCAATTCGTGTACTTCGATTAATCTTTCTTCCTGATGCACCTGGACGTCCTACCCAGGAAGACTGCGAAGCTAAAGAAAGAGAATCAGCTGGCGAGCGTTGCACGGCCAGCGAGAAGCAGCGCGCTGAGCTCTGTGCCCTTAGCCTGCATGGCGCCAGGATGCCCTTAAGCGCCGCCCCTTGCCCTGACCCAAGATGGCGTCAGCCTGGCTTCTGTCACCTTCAGGACTGGGAAAGCGAAGGGAAAGAGGGAAAAGGGAGGGGTAAAGGACGAGGGTGTGTGTGTGGGGAGAAGTGAGCCGAAGCGGAAGTCGAGGGGCCCCCGAGTGGAAGTGACGCTGCCCCGGCTGCCCAAAATGTCGGCGCCCAGAGGGAGGTGTAAGTAATTAAAGAGGAAAGCCGACTGACTTCCCCCGCCTCTCAAGGCTGCGCCAGGTCTCCAGACCTTCTATTCCGCATGGGCGAGGAGGCTGTACCCGGCCCCAGCCCTCCTGACCGGCCCCTACTCTGAGGACACCGGGATACACCTTTTATGGATGGGGGAGGGGCACAAAAGGCTGGCTTGGGGCCTGGGTCCCCGCGCGGACTGGGCTTTGGGGTGGGGTGAGGGGGGGGTGCACTGCATGTAGCCTGGTGCATGGGGGGGGCGGGGCCTGGCTTGGCGGTGCGTTGTGGGTTGGACTGGTGGTGGAGTAATTCAGAAAGTGGGAGGAGTTTGTGGGTGGGTGGGGCTTTGTGGGTAGGCGTGATTTAAACTGAGGTGGGTGGGGCCTAAGTCGCAAAGTGGAGGGAGCTACCTTGAGGCTTACTGGGGAGACCGGCACAGAAGAGGTGAAGTTTAGAAGCGGTTTGTGGGCTTTACTGGGGGCAGCTGTGGGGCAAATGGAGAGTTGTAGTGAAATCATTGTATGAAAGGGCATAAAGCCACCGGAGTGGAGTGCAGGGGCTTGTGCAAAGGCCAGGTTTGCCTGAAGGAAATCGAGTGGTACATGGAGGTGGAACTCGACAAAATCTCACCACCTGCAAAGCATGTGGAAGGAGGAGGTGGCCAGGAAGAACGTGAAGGCTGGTAATGGTGCAGAGTACCAGGAGTCTACTCCGAGGCTGGAAGCCATCGCTGCACCCGACCTCCCTGGTGGCAGGACTGCAAGAGCGACCCCAGTGTGCTTAGTCCTAAACCCTTGTCCTCCGTTCACTAAGTGGGCATCTTCAAAGACCAGTAGGAAGCGATCTGGAGGGGAGGGCACTCTGCGGGAGTACAGGGTGCTCCAGCAGCTGAGGAAAGGGCCAAGGCCGGAGTGGGTGGGGTTGGGGGGAAAGTGCAAAGCATCTCCAAATCAATCTGCAATACAGAGAGGAGTTTAACGCCCCGGGGGGCCTGGGCCGGCTTAGCAACAGCAGGACCGCCACCCACCCACCCTCATGTTTCCTCCCCATCCAGAAAGAGCCCACCCCATCACTGCAGCGCACACCATGGACGACGCCACATTGCCCGTGTCCCCAGCCCCTGTGCCCACCCCCATGCCAGCAACCCCCACTGCTACTGCCCCCCGGGTGCCCTTTCACTGCAGTGAATGCGGCAAGAGCTTCCGCTACCGCTCGGACCTGCGGCGCCACTTCGCCCGCCACACGGCCCTCAAGCCCCACGCGTGTCCGCGCTGCGGCAAGGGCTTCAAGCACAGCTTCAACCTGGCCAACCACCTGCGCTCCCACACGGGCGAGCGACCCTACCGCTGCTCTGCCTGCCCCAAGGGCTTCCGAGACTCCACAGGCCTGCTGCACCACCAGGTGAGTCCTACACCTTCCAGGGTTCCCTGGCAGCACGCATGCGCAGTTAGCTCGTGCCCTCCCCTTACAGTGGGCTGCGGCCACAGCACCTGCAGCTCCTATTTATACTTCCCAGCCTTGCCTGTTGAAAAAAGGTTTATCTCATATGCAGCAGCATCGAGGCTTCAAAGACACTGCATCTCTTTGGAGATGAGAGGAGCCAGGTACAGGATACACAGACAGGAATTGAGGCCAGAATCTTTCGCCTACACCATAAAGAGAGGGAGTCCCCATGGGAGGGTGTCGAGGCTGAAGAACAGCAAGTGCAAAGGCTGGGGATGGGAGGAGTTGGAGGGGTTCAGGGAACACAGGAGACTGAGTGGTTGTGGGAGGAGCTGAAGCGGGGGGGGGGGCATCATACTGCTGTGTACATGGGCACCTCCTGTCTGTGCCCTTCTGGCCACCCACTGCTTCGCACTCCTGCGGGTCGGTGGCAGGGCACTCCTTGACACTTGCGATGGTCAACGACTGTGGCTCCATCCTGCCTGCCGCGGGGTTATACACTGAACTGTGAAAGCTCTCTGGGGAAAAGGCTGAGGATAGAATAGACCCAGGCCCAACCGCACTTCCAGAATGAGGGGACAGTCACCGACCAGACTTGGACTTCGGTGGAAGGGCTGAGGGGTAGGGTAAGGGGGGTCAGGAATGCTGTCCCCAAAGGAGATGTTACTGGGCCTAGTGAACAGGACAGGTGCTTCCAGGGAACAGGAGATTGAGGGAGAAGAATTGCAAGGTTGAGCCCAGCCTCAGCGACTTAGTAACAGCAAGTCCCTGCGTAAAGTAGGCCATAGCCAGAGATGCAGATAGTAACATTAGGATGGGGGATGTAGCTCAGTGAGAGTGCTTAGGTTTTGTTTTTTTTTTTAATCCCTGTACCAGGGATTGAGTACGCCCTAGATTCAATCCCAGTACTGGGGGAGAGGGAAGGCCTTTTGGGCACAAGGTGGATACCAGCCAGCCCAAACTGCTCACAGGAAGAGCCCGGAGCCCGGGAAGTGGCGTGGAGTGGAGGGGAGAGGGCGGTGTCGGCCGTGCACACATGCTCCAGCCTCTACCCCCCTCCCCCCCGCCCAGGTTGTGCACACCGGTGAGAAACCTTACTGCTGCCTCGTGTGCGAGCTGCGCTTCTCCTCGCGCTCCAGCCTGGGCCGCCACCTCAAGCGGCAGCACCGTGGCTCACTCCCGCCACCGCTGCCCCCGGGCCCTGGGCTCCCGGCCCTGGGCTCGCCCTGCTCGGCCTGCTGCAGCTCAGGGCCGTGCGCGGCGTGCTCGGCAGCCGCAGCGGGCACCGAGGGCCTGGAGGGTGCTGGCTCAGGCAGCTGGAACCTGGCGGAGGCCGCTGGCGCCGCCTCTTCCCTGCCACCCTTCGCATGCGGTGCGTGTGCACGGCGCTTTGACCACGGCCGAGAGCTGGCAGCTCATTGGGCGGCGCACACCGACGTGAAGCCCTTCAAGTGCCCGCGCTGCGAGCGCGACTTCAACGCGCCCGCGCTGCTAGAGCGCCACAAGCTCACACACGACCTGCAAGGCTCAGTGGCGCCGCCTGCACAGGCCTGGGCCCCGGGGCCGGGGATGGCAGTGGTGGAGAACGTGGCCGAGGCGGGTGGCACTCCCCAAGCCTGGGAAGGCGTGCTGCTCTTGCGCCCTGCGGAGGGCGGCGTGCCTGACCTAGGGGCGCTGCTTCCTGTGGGTGGCGGGGAGGCCCCTGCGGCCGCCGAGCCCGCGGAGGACACGCTGTACCAGTGCGACTGCGGAACCTTCTTCGCCTCAGCCGCGGCGCTGGCCGGCCACCTGGAGGCGCACTCCGGCCCGGCCACCTTCGGCTGCGGCCACTGTGGGGCGCTGTACGCGGCGCTGGCCGCCTTGGAGGAGCACCGGCGTACCAGCCATGGCCAGGGCGAGGGCCAGGGCGGCGTGGAGGAGGCGGGCGGGGCGGGGCGCGAGGGAGAGCGGGTGCCCGGGCAGCGCGCCCCGGCGCCCTCCCGCAGCAAGAAGATCTTCGGCTGCTCCGAGTGCGAGAAGCTGTTCCGCTCACCGCGTGACCTGGAGCGGCACGTGCTGGTGCACACTGGAGAGAAGCCCTTCCCCTGCCTGGAGTGTGGCAAGTTCTTTCGCCACGAGTGCTACCTCAAGCGCCACCGGCTGCTGCACGGCGCCGAGCGGCCCTTCCCGTGCCATGTGTGCGGCAAGGGCTTCATCACGCTCAGCAACCTTTCCCGGCACCTGAAGCTGCACCGGGGCATGGACTGAGCCACCCTGCGCAGGAACACACAGAGCCCTGGGCCAGGAGACCGGGAACCTTGCTCTTGCTAGGGACAGGCACAGGCCTGTGACACATGAAGACCGAGGAAGAAGAGTACCTCTCCTCCAGTGCCTAGACAGGCACTCTCAGGGGCTTCCTGGTGACCTGAGTCTAGGGACTACAAGGACCAGGTCTCCTCCAAATGTACCCACCGGTCCCTGGTGGCCCCAGAAGATGGATATAGCCGTAATCTGCCTTCCCCCACTTCATTCCCCTGTCAAAAGAGGACCAGGGTAGACACCCCACCTTCAGTGACCCTCCCCTCCACGGAATGGATCAACCCTAAGCATCATCCCATCCCTGAACACTAGAGTAGACTGGTCCAGCGCCCTGGCCCATAGAATGGACTGAAGCAGGCCATACCCCGCCCAGCTGCTGCTGGCCGCCTCCTTAGAGCCTGTAGGAGAGATGCCCCCTTATCCCATAGAGTTCCGCTCGGCCAAATAGTTCCTATCCTGTGACCTCATTGGGTGGAGGTGGCGGGCCCGGGGTTTTCCTCCCTCTCTACTGTAGCACCTGTTGGCCTTTTTCTGTCTCCATCAGTGTGTCTGTCTTTGCGACCCTCCCAACCCCAAGGGAAAAGGGGAAGTTGGCTGGGGTCCCCCACTCCCCACCGTAGACCTCCATCTCATCCCTCCTCCCCTGCTCATTATCTCCAGGACACCAATAAACTTCGTCCTGTGAGTCACTGCCGTCTCCTCTTTGACCTTGAGTTGGGGGGAGGCATCTCTCATAGTCTTAGAATAGGTCTCTAAGTTAGAGATGGGTCATGGTTCCCTTCAGAGATTTTTTTTTTTTTTTTTTTTTGGTCTTTTTTTGAGGCAGGATCTCACCATGCATTTCAGGCAGGCCTGGAATTTGCAATGATCCTCCTGCCTCAGCCTCCTTAGTGCTGAGATTATAGGTATATGCCACCACACCCAGCTCCAAAGATTTTTGGGTTTTTGTTTGTTTGTTGGTGCTGGAGATTGAACCTAAGTCATGGCACATCCTAAGCAGATGCTCTACCCCTGAGATACTTATCAAACCCTTTTTTTAAATTTCGAACCAGGATCTGGCTAAATTGCCCAGGCTGGTGTCTGTCATCCAGTGTGTGAGCTTCCTGCCTCAGCCTCCTGAATAGCTGGAATGCCATCATATCCAGATCTAAAGGTTTGGTTTGGTTTGGTTTTTGAGACAGGGTCTCGCTATGCAGTTCAGGCTGACCTTCACTCACTTTGTAGCCTGGACTGGTCTCAAACTTGCTACAATCCTCTGCCTCAGCCTCTTGAGTGCTTGTAACTCAGGGTTTTGAGACTCTTAGGCAGTGCTTTGAATCCCTTAGATTAGAATGGTTTAGGTTTCACCTGAATGGTACAGTTCTGATGCTTAAGTACAAGACCCATCTCCCATAGATGGACATGGCCCCTAGAAAACAGACTGACCTAGAACCTTCAGTTCTGCAGGACACTTCCCTAGGGAACCAAACTGTCTCCTCAGAGACATGAAGAGGAAGACCTCACCCTTTTCAAGATTTTTGCATCTGAAGTTGTTCTAAAAAGGGTAAGGAAGAACTGGCCAGGTCTACCTGAGGCCCTGCTTGGCACCCGTGGAACCAGGACACCCTCAGAGAACAGTGGGTTTACAGTGAAAGGCACTGGCATGAACCCCTCTAAACCTCCCCCTTTGAAAATGCTTATCCCATTGGCCACTTTCTGAAGCAGTTCTAGTTTTCTTTGGTGAGATGGGATCAAAAATACGGTGAATGCTGCTGCCCTTCCAGAGAAAAGGCAGACGGTAAGAGAGGAGAGGGGTCCTCATCCACCTTACCCCCAGGGTCCGGGGCGAGACTCAGGCTCTTCCCCAAAGTCAAGATGACCGTGGAAGGGAAACATTTTCAGTTACTCAGGACCCAGAGCAGCCACAACTAAAGACCGAAGGAGGACAGCAGAGCTGTTCCAGAAAGTGATAGGGAAGGGGGGGAGTGTGTGTGTATTTATGGAGATTCACGCCACGTTTTTTATCACATCTCATAGACAATGACCCCAATGATTCTGGAATTTATATTCTAGAGGAATCAAAGCACCCTGAAAAGGACAGTTTCAGCCAGACACGATTTTTCAGAAGGCAGGGAAAGGTGGTGCACGTTGGGAAGGTGATTGGGCCCTGCCACCTTAGGTGGGGGGTGGTCAGGTGGTCTCTTTGGAAGCAGCGCTGATCTGAGCCCCAAAGAGCTGCTCCTCAGCTTTGTCAATTTAAGATGCCAAGTAAACCAGATCTTGCTCTGAGGTCAGAGACAGAGAAAGCCCAGCCCCGCTGCAGGGTCACTGCCAGGGCAGACCGTGGAGCAATGCAGACTCCTGGTAGATGAGGGGGAGGCTCCATCCCACACCATGGGTGCATGTGCACACACACAGCCAGTGGTAATGGAGGTGTGTTAGGATATGCCTTGGGCTGCTTTGTGCTTGAGAGTAGGTCTTGCTGTGCATTTGAGACAGGAACCCATTCCGTAACCTAGGCTGGCCTTGAACTCATGGTGATCCTTCTGCCTCGGCCTTCGGAGTGCTGGGATGACAGGTGTGCACTCCGCTGTGAGGATGCGGACCAGTGCAAGTACATGAGCGTGAGGCGACTGTCTGCAGGTGCCAGAGTGGAATCATGGAGAAGCCACGCACGCATGGGAAGCCCAGGCATGAGAAGGCCAGGCCCTTTGAGGGCAAGTGGAACTGAAATGGTGCATTGCGTAGGGTGCACTGTGGGCAGGAAAAGGCCTGCAGAGAAACAGCAACAAACTTCTTGGAAGCACAAAGAGTGGGCTGGACAGTTCCCTCGCAGACATCAGTAAAGCTGACTGCAGGAGAGCAGGGGGCATCGTGTGTGTGTGTGTGTGTGTGTGTGTGTGTGTGTGTGTGTGTGTGCTGGGGATCAAACTCATGACCTCATATTTGCCAAGAAGGCACTTATGCCACTGAGCTAAACTCCCGGCGTCATATTTCTTAACCTGGAGGTCATTTTACAGTGACTTTTCAATTTGTATTGTGCACTTCATGAGTCTCACCTTTCTTTTTCTTTCTTTCTTTTTTTGTACTGGGGATCAAACTTATGACCTTGCACTTGCCAGGCAAGCGCTTGTGCCGCTGAGCTAAATCCCCAGTACAGTCTCACATTTCTCAAGAAAAAAAAATTAAAGAGGGAGCTGAGTGTGGTGGTGCAGACCTGGAAATCCAGCACTCTAAGAAACTGAGGCAGGAGGATTAGACGCTCAAACCCAGCCTGGGCAATTTAGCAAGACCCTGTTTCAAAATCAAAAGGGCCAAGAACCTAGCTCAGTGCAAAAGTACTGAGTTCAAACCCAGTACCAATAATAATAAGAAAGGAGACAATCAGAGGCAAAGACAGGTAAGAGTGTATTCCGCAAGGAAGGCACCCAGACAGTCACAATTTCCAGTTTGAACAGGCTCCACCCTTTGGGAACAAAGCCAGCCGCAGGGGCACCCGGGACCTTAGAGACACCCTCTCTACTCCGCCAAGGACCGCCCAGACTAACTCTAAGCTCTTTTCGCCTTTGGTGCCTTCCGATAAATAGGCCCGCCCCTCAGTTACAGGCCCCGCCTCTAGACCAGAGACCCACCCACCCTGGAGCCTATAGGAGCCGCTCAGCCCCAAGTGGGTGCCTGGAAAGGTGCCAGGGTTGCCATAGCAACGGCAGGACTGGGCCTGACGCTTCCGCTGCCCTCCCTTTCACCCTCCTCGACATAGCCTCAGCCCTTGTACCATTTCACCCCACTGAGAGAGCAGGGCAGGACCCAGGACCTCTCCTGGGGTGGCCCTGACAGGGCCCACGTGCTCCCTCAAGAGAGGAGATGGAGACTTCACTGTGCATTCTTGACTTTTGTCACAAGAGACTTTCCCTGAAAATCCCTTTGGGAGCCGGAGGCTGGCTTGGAGGCAGGGCTGGGCGGTTAGCAGGATGGGGAGGAGGCCTCAGCCCAGCTGGGGTGCAGGTCTCATGGAGGAGGACAGCCCTAGGCTCAGTCCCAGAGGAGCCCTCAGGCCCAGAGGGCAGCTCAGTACCGGGCAACTGCTTCTGTGTAGGCACAGTTCAGGTCTGCAAGGCTCCACTGGAACCCAAGGGGTTGAGCTTAGAGCCATGGCTGAGGACTTCTGGGGGCCCATTCTGGGGCTAAAGGCTGGCACCCGGGTGTCCCGCGAATCTTTTTTGTTTGTTTGAGACAGGGTGTCACTATGCAGTTCAGGCTGGCCTTGAGCTCACTTTGTGGCCTATCCTGGCCTTGAATTCATGTGATCCTCCCACCTCAGCCTCCCGAGTGCTAGGATTACAGCACACCCAGCTCCCCAGAATCTCTTACCTTGGTGTCCCCAGTCTGAAAGGGGCATGCTGCAGGTTAGGGAAACTGCACCTGACTAAGCCTTGTGAGCAGGGCCAAGCAGGGAAACAGACACAGAATGAAGGAAAGCAGAGACAATGCCAAGCTTCCTGCCTGTAGTCACTCCCCGGCTCCTGTGGGCACAAGTGAAGCCATTTTGCTTTTAACTCCCTGGCTCCATCAGAAGAAAACATGATTCATGCTTTTTGTTTACTTGTTTCCATTTTTAAAAAAACACAACAGGTCTCTACTATGTAGCTCAAGCTGGCCTTTAACTCAGGGTGATCCTCCTACCTCGGCCTCCCAAGTACTAGGATTACAGGAATGTATACCACAGCTGGCTATAAATCATGCTTCTGATGAGCCCCAAATTTTTTTTTCAAGCCAGTAAGTCTGGCTTTTTAAAAATTGGTACCGGCGATTGAACTCACAACCCTGCACTTGCAAGGCAGGCACTTGTGCCACTGAGCTAAATCCCCAGCCCCTACCTCCAGCTTTTGCTCTCTGATCTAGTTGATTCTTGGGAGTGCCATGGCCAGTGCACCTGAATCTGCCAATGTTCCTGGTCTTTGAAGGTCTTTGTTGGGGGAATGGGTGAGGGCTAGGAAAGAACACACAGCATCCTCTGAGGAGCAGGGTGCTCCCTGCCTCTGTCTTCACAGTGGCTGCTGCCTTAGTGTGCTCCGGGCCACAGGGCTTTGCCGTGAGCACCCTCACGAGCCACGCCTGTCCATGGTGCTGCAGACCCGAGGACCATGGAGACCCCTCCAGACCCCCTCCTCAGTCCCACAGCACCCACCTCCTCATTTTGCACCTTTCCCCCCATCTTCAGGCCAAGCACACTTTCCCCCACACACACTCACACACACACTTTGGAGCCCTCTTAAATAAGCCCCACGGTGGGAAACTCCTGCCGGGACAGTGGCCCGATGTGTGTTTGCAGAAGCACAGTGTGGCACACTGAGGGCGACTCTGGCCACTCGGCCCTGCCCCCAGTGCTAGGCTCCACCTCTCTCTGCCACCCTGCTGCCCCTGGGACCCCATCCAAGGCCCCAGGCCCCTCAAGTCACAACCCCCTGGTTGTTCTCTGTGCTTGCAATTTTCTTTCCAATCAATTTTATTTTTCAATTCTTTTTTTTTTAGACAAGGTCCCAAAGTGCAGTCAGGCTGGCCTTGAACTCACTTTGCAGCCCAGGCTGGACTCAAAGTTACATTGGTCCTCCTGCCTCAGCCTCCCAAGTGCTGGGGCTACAGTTGTGCACTACCACACTGGGCCTGAATTTATTTCTTTAAAGAACTAGTTTCCAGCCTCCCAAATAAAAGGATACAATGCACACACCCCCAGGTATAGACCCCAAAGAACTCAAAACAACTGTGGAAGCAAAAATGTTTATTTGAATGTTCAGAATCACATAACTTAGCTAAAAGAAATGACCCAAATGTCATACTCCAATGTATTTTACTGCACAGCAGAATTCAGTCAGCCATAATCAAGTACTAATACAAGCTACAAATGGATGGACCTTAAAAACAGTATCCTGTCTCTGTAGACTGTCTATGGAAAAAAAAAAAAACAGTATCCTGGGCCAAGTGTGGGGGCACATAATTGTCATCAACCAGCACTTGGGTGGCTGAGGCAGGAGGAGCATCAGAGATTCGAGGCCAGTCTGGGCTATGTAATGAATTCAAAGCCAGCCTGATCTGTCTCAACCAAAATAACAATAATAACAAATAAAAACTTTATATTAAGTGAGAACAGCTAGTCACAAAACAGCACGTGCCCTCTGAGGTCATTTGTCTGAAATGTCCACAAACCGACAAATACACAGAAGCACAAAGCAGATTACTGGTTTCCAGGGCCAGGGATTTAGCTCAGCAGCACAAGCGCCTGCCTGGCAACCTCCAGGTTGCAAGTTTGATCCCTGGTACCAAACAAAAACAAAAACAAACCCTACAAAAGATTACTGGTTGCTGGGGCAGGGGAGGGACTATGGAATAGGGAATGACTGATTAGTGGGTACAGGGTAACGGGCTGATGGAAAGTTCTGGAACCAGCCAGTGGGTGTGGCCACACAATGTCAAAACTTGCTCAATGTCGCTTAACTGTACTCTTTTAAAATGATTAAAATTATCATTCCCAGGTTTGGCACCAAAAAATGATTAAAATTATAAATTGTCATGTATATTTTACCCATTTTAAGCAGTTAAAACACGTACCCAGCTGAGCGGAGGGCACACACCTGTAATCCCAGCACTCAGGAGGCTGAGGCAGGAAAGTGTTGTAATTTTGAGACCAGCCTGGGCTACAATGTGAGCTCAAGACCAACCTGACCTGCATAGTGAGACCCTGTCTCAAAAAGACAAAAAAACTAAGGACAGCTGAGGCTGTAGCTCGGTGCAAAGGCTTCTGGCTCTAGCCCCAGCATGACATGGACAGAGGGCATCGAGGCCTGGGCCTGGGCTCAGACCCTGCTGCCAGCCCCCTCTGTCTTGCAGTTGCTCAGCACCGTCTGCCACTCAGTGAGGGCAGCAGACATGGGCTGTCCCCTTTCCCGCTGTCCCCTCTCCCATTATTGCCTGGGGACTTTTGTGTATTTCACAGCAATCTTCATTCTCCTTCCACCAGGAGGATCAGTTGTGACTCAGCACTGTATTGTGTATTTTGTGAAATACACAAAAGTCTGGCCCTGACTGGGACTGAGATTGTTCCCAGTGGTGTGCAGTGCCGTGAGACACAGGCACGAGCAACCTGGAGAAGAAATGCCTGGAACTGCTGACCTGCGAGGCCGTGCCTGGCAACACTCCTCCTGGATGCCCAGGGCGGGACTGTCTGCCACACTGTGCCAACAATGCATGGCATGGAACAGAACAAGGGCAGATGGGCCTGCAGGCAGCCTCCCGCTCCGCAGGGGCCTTGGGGATGGGCCATGCTGGCTGCATCCTGCAAGTTTCTGCCAAAACATAGTGGCCCCAAGGGGGAGGCTAGAGAGCCCGCACCCTCAGCGTAAGCTCAGCTCCGCACCTCCTGCTCCCCACTCTCCACAGCACCCATTTTCTAGAGGCTGATCTGAGGCTATCTGCCTGCCCCAGGGGCCCTGAAAGCCTGAGTCTGCACTAGGACTCCAGCACCAAGGACAGAGATACCCCATAGTAGGTGCTTACTAAACGCCAGCCACTGGGATGGGTTAGAAATGCAGAGGTTTATCAGAGGGGAAACTGAAGCACGGGCAGGGAAGGTCACTTGTCCTGGCAGCCTAGGAAAGGCCAGAGGCAGGTTCCGACACTGGTCTCAACCCCCGATTCTCCTCCCACCCCCACCAGCCGCCGGGTCCTGCGCAGGGCCTGGCACCGGCAGGACTCAGTCAGTGCGGGCGAATGAATGCGTGCATTTGCCGGGCCGGTGGGGGCTGGACCTGGCTCCCGGCTACGCCTCGCCCGTCTGGACAGCGCCGCCCCGCCCGCCCGGTTCCCGCTTCCGGCTTCCCAGCCGTTCTCCTCAGTGCCCGGCTTGGCTGCAGGCTGCGTTTCCGGGGGGAAGGCTTAGGCAGTGACACCGGCCCAACCTCCTCCCCGCCCCTCCCGCGGCCCCCTCCCTCCAGCAGCTCCGCGCGTCCGGCCCCGGAGGAAGAAAGGAGCAGGAGGCACAGGTAAGAGGGACCCCGAGCAGGAGGGGACCCCTGCCCGCCCGGGCCCAGCTCTGTAGATCCAGCTGCTGCAGGAACTGCACCGGGAACAGCGGATTGCAGGGACGGGGACCCAGGCCCAGCACCCTGGCCAGGCCCTTCCAGGCCTCCACCCCCCTCTGGCTGCAGAAGGCGGCTGCAGCTTGGTGGAGGTCCCCGGGCCTGGCACGGACCCCAGTGTAGCTCTCTTCCACTGGACAAGAAGCCTCGGTCCCAACAGCACACGTCCACTCCAGCCACCCCTCCAGGCCGGGCCCCCTCCCTCAGACCCAGGTTCAGGCCCAGCCCCCTTCCTCAGACCCTGATCCAGGTTCTGCCTCCTGCATCAGACCCGGGTGCAGGTCCTGCCCCCTCCTTCAGACCCGAGGTTCAGACCCAGCTGTCCTCTGTCAGACACTGGGTCCAAGCCTGGCCTCCTCCCCTAGACCTGGGGTCCGGACCCAGCCTCTTCCATTAGGCAGAGGTGTTGGGTCTAGGACTGGCTTTGGATTTTCTGTCTCCTTGGACTCCTGTCCCCTCTGTTCGTGGCACTCCTTCTGCATTTCCAGGTGGACCAGACTTTGAATCCCCACCCCTCCATTTAGGGCCCTGGGGTTGGTTTCCCTGGCCCACCCCAAACTTTTAGCCCAGGGTCCCTGGAGCAAAAACAGACGTCTGACCCTGTCTTCCTGTGTCTCCTCCTGTGTCTGTCCTGTGTGTCTTGCTGGTCTCCACCTCCACCTCCCACGCTCTGACCTCTGCACCACCCTGGACCCCCAATCCCGCGCTCCCCTTCCTCCTCTTCGCTGTCTCCTGTTTCCCTCGCTGTCTCTCCATCGCCACCTATCTGTGTCCTGCATCTTCTCTTCCTCTCTCCTCCTCCACCTCCTTCTCTCTGATTTCTCTGCACCTCTGCCTTGCCCTGACCTCCCCGTCCACCGCCTCCCCGCCCCCAGGCCCCGCATCTCTCTCCGCAGGATGGATCCGCAGCCCCCTCCGCCGGCGCAGGGCAGCCCTCCTCACCGCGGCCGGGGCCGGGGCCGGGGCCGGGGCCGAGGCCGGGGTCGGGGCCGGGGTCGCGGGGGCACCGGAGCCCCGCGCGCGCCCCTGCCATGCCCCACGTGCGGCCGCCTCTTCCGCTTCCCTTACTACCTCTCGAGGCACCGGCTGAGCCACTCGGGGCTGCGCCCGCACGCGTGCCCGCTGTGCCCCAAGGCCTTCCGGCGGCCCGCGCACCTGTCGCGCCACCTGCGGGGCCATGGGCCGCAGCCCCCTCTGCGCTGCGCCGCCTGCCCGCGCACCTTCCCCGAGCCCGCACAGCTGCGTCGTCACCTGGCGCAGGAGCACGCTGGCGGCGAGGTGGAGCTGGCCACGGAGCGCGCGGCCAAGGAGGAGGAGGGCGAGGGGGGCGCCGAGCAGCCCGCGGCGGGCGCGGAGGGGGAGCCGTGGGCCGAGGGGGAGCCCGCGCCGGCCGCGCCCCCCAGCGCTGAGCCCTGCATGCTGGAGCCCGGGGCGGCCGAGGCTGGGGCGGCCGAGCTGCGCGCCGAGCTGGCGCTGGCCGCCGGGCGCCAGGAGGAGAAGCAGGTATTGCTGCAGGCCGACTGGACGCTGTTGTGCCTGCGCTGCCGCGAGGCCTTCCCCACCAAGGGCGAGCTCAAGGCGCACCCATGTCTGCGCCCTGAGGGCGAGCAAGAGGGCGAGGGTGGGCCGCCGCCTCGCCCCAAGCGACACCAGTGCACCATCTGCCTCAAGGCCTTTGCCAGGCCCTGGTCGCTGTCGCGCCACCGGCTGGTCCACTCCACCGACCGCCCGTTCGTGTGCCCAGACTGCGGCCTGGCCTTCCGCCTGGCCTCCTACCTCCGCCAGCACCGCCGCGTGCACGGCCCGCTCAGCCTGCTGGTGCCGATGCCCAAGAAGGACGACAGAACCACGGGTGGCCGGAACTCAGGGCGAGGGCCCGAGGGCGGCGAAGGCACCGCCGAAGGGGGAGACGGAAGCGGCGAGAATGGGGGCGATGCCGGCCCCGCGCGGCCCTCGGCTGGCGAACCCCGCTTTTGGTGCCCCGAGTGCGGCAAGGGCTTCCGGCGCCGCGCACACCTGCGCCAGCATGGCGTCACCCACTCAGGCGCGCGCCCCTTCCAGTGCGTGCGCTGCCAGCGCGAGTTCAAGCGCCTGGCCGACCTGGCACGCCACGCACAGGTGCACGCAGGCGGCCCAGCCCCGCACCTCTGTCCTCGGTGCCCACGGCGCTTCTCACGCGCCTACAGCCTCCTGCGCCACCAGCGGTGCCACCGAGCTGAGCTGGAGCTGGAGAGGGTGGCCGCATTGCAGGCCCTGCAGGCCCAGGCCGCACAGTCGCTGCCACCTGAGCAGGAGGCTGAGGGGGTCCCGCTGCCGGTTGCACACATCAAGGAGGAGCCGCCCTCCCCAGGGACCCTACCCCAGTCCCTAGAACCACCCCCAGTCTTCCTCAGCGCCTCCTGCTTCGACAGCCAAGACCATTCAGCCTTCAAGATGGAGGAGGATGAGGTGGACAGCAAAGCCCACCTGCGTGGCTTGGGGAGCCTGGCCTCCTGACCCACGCAGCCCCTCCGCCCTCCATGGGAGCCCCCGGTTTGCAGTGGAAGGAGAGGACCCCTTGTGTCGACCCCCTTTGAGCTCTGGCCCTAGGAGCGGAGGCCCCAAGCTGACCCTACCCCTCACCCTCCCCAGACCCCGGTGCCACCCCAATGTGTGTCTTCAGGCAGGAGGACTTGGAATAGGAGGCGGAGGAGGCTAGGCCAGAGGGAGGCGGGCAGGTGGCATAGCTGGCCAGGCCGTGACACACACTGGACACTATAAACCTCTTAGGAACAGCCTGCAGGGCGTTCCTGTGAGCAAAGGTCTGTCCCTGTCCCTCTGTCTGTGAATAAATGTGAGCTGGTGAACTCATGTGTGGCTGTCTGTGGGCAGTAAAGGGACTCGCATATCGCAGCCTCAGCCAGGAGGGTCGCTCAGAAGCGCTGAGGGGAAAGGGGATGTGGGTTCCCATTGGCATTCACAGCACATTGGTCTGTGCCAGGTACAGCCAGGCCACACCCATGCTGAAGACAGGGAAGTCCTCTGGCCCCAGGGAGCTAGAATTCCACAGCTGAACTGGCCCAAGCCCACTTTGTGGCAGTAGAATGTTCTAGATCTTTGCTGTCTCATATGGTGGCCTCTAGCCACAAGTGTCTGTTTAAGACAGGCCAGTGTGGTGGGGCTTGCTAAGTGGCTTAAATTGCCCAGGCTGGACTTGAACTCCCCAAGCTCCTGCGTCAGCCTCAGGGTGCACCACTGTACCAGGCTCCGTTTGGTTTTTAAGACCCATAGAAGTGGAGGGGAGGGGGAAGAATGTCTGCTGGCCAGTCTTCCTTTCTCCTGCTCTTTGCCTGCCTACTTTGATGGCTGTCCCTTGCCATGTGTAAATAGCACATGGGCCACTTAGGTGTCTTCCTGCCAGCAAGAGAAAGCAAGCAAGCACAGCAATCACCCCCACTTTCCAGGGTGGCAAACTGAAGTCTCATGGCGGGTGTGGGGCCACATGCCTCCTTGAACTACACAGTGAGATCTTGTCTCCAAAAACAAAAGCCAGGTGCAGTGTGCATAATAGCACGTGCTGTGCCAAAAAGGGGGAGGAGGGGTAGATGGCAACATTTCAGAGCTTCCAAGGACAATGGCCTGTGTGCCACAGGCTCACCCCTGCTCTGTAGATGCAAAGCAGGCCGAACGCTGGTCTCCAGTGGCCCCAAGTGTTTAGCTGTCTCGGGGACTACACAGGTCGGTTTCCTTAACCCTCACAACAGCCTGTAAAACATGTCACAGTGCATAATTTTTGTTTGTTGGGTTTTTGTTTTGTGCTTTGCTTTGTGTTTCTGAGACAGCACCTCCCTATGGAACTCAGGCTGGCCTCGAACTCACTGTGTAGTGGGGCAGGTGCCCAGGAGGATGAACACAGCCCAGATGGACCTCGGGCCACACAACTCCACAGATGCATCGCAAGCTATGGAACAGCTCACCTGCAGTGGGAAAAGTCTATGGTGTGCAGATGATCCTTTCATAAAGCTGTTTAAGGAATACAATCCCAGGTGTGGGGGCACACCCCTGTGATCCCCACACTGGAGAGGCCAAAGCAGGAGAATCTCCATAAATTCAAGGCCAGCCTGGGCTACATAGTGAGATTTCTGTCTCAAAACACAACGATGAAATAAAATTTAATACAGTGAGAGACACATTGCCATGGGCCCCCCTTGGAACACTCCAAATACTCCCCACTGCTTCATACAGTTACTTTTGGTTATCATCTTTTGCCACATTAAATTTTTGTAAAATTTAAACAGGCACCAGGGCTGGGGATGCAGCTCAGTGGCACAGCGTCTGCCTGGCAAGCGTGAGGTTCTGAGTTAAAATCCCAATATCAAGAAAATTTTAAAATTAAAAAAACTCTACCCATACTCAAATGTGTGGGACCCTTTTTAAAAGGAAAGAAAGAGCCGGGTGCTTTCCAAGATAAGTGCACCAACATGGGCTCTGCTGTTTTTCTCAGAATCACCGCAGACAGAGGTGATCACACAGCCAGGCCAAGCCAGCAATGGGGGCTGGGTGAGGTCCTGGGCCGGTGTGTGATGGGGGGGTGGCCAAGAAGGGGCACAGTGATGGAAGAGGGGCACAGGGGCTGTGGGCTGCAATGCAGGCAGGGACTCTGAAGGATGTAAAGCCAGATGGGGGCACTGGACAGATGCATGCAGAGTGGAAAGGATTTGACTTATTTTCTTTTAATATGTCATTGTGAAAATTTTTAAAATTTTTTATGTTTCAGTTCTTTTGAGGCAGGCTCTAGCTCTGTAGTTCAGACTGGTTCTTGAATTCACTTTGTAGCCCGGACTGGTCTTGAGCTCACAATAGTCCTCCTGCCTCAGCCTCCCCAGTGCTGGGATTAAGGATGCAGGCCACCACACCTGGAAAACTTTATTTTTAGGCTCACAGTAGAACTGAGTTTGACTCATATAGACCAATACACACGCATGTGCGCGCACACACACATGCGAGTAGCAGCACAAGCCCCATTCTTTTTTTTTTTTTTTACAAGCCCCATTCTTAACACATCCTCTGGGCTGCTTCTGAATCATTTCCTGGTCATGACACAAAAGGTTCATAAACCTAACAGGTTTTAGAGTCCTTCCTTTCTTCTTTTTTCCTTTTTCTTCCGTGGTGAGGACTGGACCCAGGGACTGGTGCCGTGGCAGCTACAGCCCCATTCTTTTTCCCTCTTTGAGTATCAACCTCAAGGGAAGACTCAGCCCTTTTTAAAATTTGAGACAAGTTTTCACTAAATCTCCAAACTGCTCAACCTGTGCTTTGACTTGCAGTCCTCCTGCCTCAGCCTCTACAATGTGTGGCCTTACTAGTTTTTCTTTTTTAACTGCTTTTTATTTTAGAAACTTTTACATTTCCAGAACAGTTGAGTGACTGATTGTAGACACTTACGGACCCTCACCCGGTTCCCCCAAACGTTACCACTGCCCAGTACCTACTATGGCCCATGTTAGAACCACAGCACCAATGCCTGTGTGTTAGGTCACCCTCCGTGGCACCCCCTGGCTCCACTTCTTGGGGGTCTTGGCTATTGCAGGGAGGTGCCTTGGCTCAGCACAACCTTGCATGTGTGGGTTTCCAGTTCTGGACTGGAGTCCAGGCCTTGAACATGTGCAGCACACACTCCATCTGAGCTGTAGCCTGGCGGCTATCCTGCAAGAAGCAGTCACACAGAAAATGCTCTTCTGTGCACCGACACTTTCAGGTGAGTGTCGTCCAGGGGATGCCAGTCTTGGCCACCCGGCCAGGTCTTTCTCTGCTTTTCCAGCTAAAGTCTGAGAAGGGTCCCAGAGAGGGCGTGGAGGGTCTGGGTAAACACTTCTGGGTTCTGCAAGAGAGAATGATCCCTCTCTGCTGGGCTGCTCATTTGAACTTCTGTTTGCACCAGTGTGGACTCTCAGACCCTGCAGACACTTTCTGTTATTTACCTCGCTGAGCTCACTTACCTGTGTGTGTGCCTAGCACGAAGGAGAAAAATCTAAATCGCCAGGGAGACGCTGTGTGTGTGTGTGTGCGGGGGTTGAAACAGCCTTCGTCCTGAGCTGCATCCCCAGTCCTTTTTGACCGGCGCAGCCCCAATGAAACAGGAGATGCTTCAGGCGGTAACAGGAACTGCCGCTTTATTTACGCGGGCTCTGGTTTATATATTCGGCCGTGACCAATCACAGGCTGCCACGAGGAAGCAGGGCGGGAATGGGACGCAGGCTCTGGCTAATATATCCAGCTGTGGCCAATCAGGGGTTGCCACAGAGTCCGCACAGGGCGAATACGGAGTGAGCACGAGGTGCACACGGGGTGGCTAGTTTAGAGAGGGAGGTAACGCATTGCGGAAGCTGACGTGGTCTTATCGTCCCGGGCGGGGTGTGTTGAGCGCCTGCGCCCAACACCTTTTTATTTCTTATTTTGAGACAGGGTCTCACTAAGTTGCTAGGTTGCCAAAGCTGGGCTTGAACTTGGGATCCTCTTGCCTCAGCCTCCCAGAGTGCTGGGGTCACAGGTGCGTGCCACCTTCCAAGTGGAATGAGGCCCTGTGTCGAGTTGCTAGAGCCCAGCCTGATGATAGTGAGGCAGGGCGCCTCACTTTCCCTAGAGGAACTTCGGCCCGGATTCCAGTCTGGCATAGTCTGCGCTCCTTATTTCCTCTTGTCCCGCTGGTGCCGGGTGCGGCTGAGCTCCAGGAGTATTTGCTGCTCCAGACTGGACTCCCGCCCCCACCTGACGAAAGAAGCGTGGAGCCTGGGCCAGGACGGGGAGAGGCCCACCTACAATCACCTGCAAAGCGTGAGGGTGGCAGAGACGGGGCACAGAGACACAGGCCGGGAGGAAGTGCTGGGGTGGAGGGAGAGAAGAGCTGCGGCCTTGCCAGCTGTCAGCCTTGATACCAAGGCTGGTGTTTGCACAGTGCGCAGCTCACATGCCTGTCTTCACTGCGATCTCTGCGCCTCGGCTCCTGGCACCAGCAGGCCCTCCTCCTGCCGGCTTTACGGTGGGCCGCTCTCTTTGCAGGATGCCCCAGCCTCCCCTGGGGATCCCTGTGATGCCCCAGGAGCCTTCCCTAACCCTCACACCCCATCTCTCTCAACCCCTGTTGTCCAAAGAGATTTAAGAAGGCACCTCGTTTTTCTATCTGAGGTTTCCAGGATGTAGATGTGGAGGGCTATTCTTGATCAGCTGACTTTAAGACAGGGAGATGATCTGCGCCTGACCTAATCAGGCAAACGCTAAAAGCAACAGGGCTCTTCCTGGAGCCGCTCCACAGAAGGTACCACTGTAGGGGAGGTGGAGGCCTCCGAAACCAAGAGCGAGCCCAGGCCACGCCTGCAAGGCACGGCCCCGCCCCGTGCAGGACACAGCCCCGCCTCTTGCAGGACAACCCCGACCAGCAGGCCCCGCCCCGCCCTCAAAAAACAGGCTCGCTGCTTGCGGGACACAGACCCGACTACAAGGACACAGCCCCGCCCCACGCAGGGCCCAGACCCACCCACACAGGTACAGCCCCGCCCATCAGGTCACCGCCCCGCCCACACAGAATATAGCCCCGCCCCTGGGACCCAGCCACGCCCACACCCGGATTTCAGCCTTTCGGGGACTCCTGACTGAGGCACCACAAGCTGGCGTGGCTGTTACCAAGCAGAGGGGATGGACGCCCTGGTTCGGCTACTTCCTGGATGCCACCATCAGGGCAAGTTAGTCTCTGTGTCTCTCTGGACAGACCACACACAGCCGGGCATGGGTAAGCCTGTAACCTCAGAACTCCGAAGGCTGAGGTAGCAGGATCCGAAGTTCCAATGCAGCCGGGGTAACTTAGTGAGGTCCTGTCTTCTAACACAGCAAAATGGCCGCGAGGTAGCCGGGTGGTGAGCGCTGTCCTGGCACTCACGAGGCCCTGCGTTCAATCTCCAGCACTACAAAAGAAAAGTGTAAAATGAGCTGGGAACCCCACCCCCCACCCTGTATGGTCACTGTGGCCTCTCGCTAGAATGTGGGTTCTGTCAGGGCGGGGACATTAGTATAGCATTATTGAAATTTAATTCACGTACACAGCTAGGCATGGTGGTGCATGCCTTTAATTCTAGCATTCAGGAGGCTGAGGCAGAAGGATCATTACGAGTTGAGGCCATCCTGGACTACATAGTGAGTTCCAGACCAGCCTGAGCTATATATCAAGACCCTGTCTCAAAAAATCAAATAATAATAAATGTATATAATAATTTTTAACATTTTGAGACAGAATCTCCCTAAGTTGCCCAAGTGAAACTTGAACTTGTGAAACTCCTGCTTCAGCCTCCCTCAGTGCTGGATGATATGGTGCGTATCCCTGCCATGTCCCCCGGATGCGCCCCACAGCTCCCTCCGTCCCTGGCAGATGTCACAGACAGCAGAGGCCAAGGACATGAAGCGCAGTGGCCTGTGGAGTCCCAGCCCCGCCACTGTCCCTGGCGGGCTCTTTTCTCCACTGTGAGACACAGCTAATAATAGCGCCGCCTCCCCGGGCCCGAGAGGCTTAGCGCGGGGCTGGAGGGACGCAGGGCTCGGGAAAGAGTCATTGTTAATCACGCGGGCTTTACGGAGCCGCTGCAAAGCTCGCACCTCCGGCAGCCGACCGCCACTCCCTGCGCGCGCTTCCGGGAGGAAGACGAGAGAATCCGGCACCCGCGGGACCGGCCTGAGCGCTGGAACTTTAATCCCAGGGACCCAGGAGCTGTGGGAGGGGTGAGGGCAAGGTTCGATTCTCAGCCTGTCACCTCCAGACTCCATTAGGCTCCTGCTGCCAGGTGTCTGCCAGCCTGTGCACCTCGTCTTTTCAGGGCTTTCCACCGGGCCACATCCCCACCCAACCCGGCCGCTTCTTAAAATACTCAGACAAGGTTTCACTAAGTGCTAAGTTGCCAAGGCTACCTCAAACTTACCATCCTCCTGCCTCAGCCTCCTTGGTGCTGGTATTACAGGCATGGGACACCACCCCAGGCTCATTTTTATCTTCATGAAAGTAAAACAGAGCAGGGTGAAAATAACCTTGACCACAGGTTTCCTTCCTGGGTAGCAGAGGTACAGAAAGGGAGGAGAGGGAAAAAGAAGGAAGGAGTGGGGAGGAGGAGGGAAGAAAGGGAGGGGAGGAAGGGAAGGGTGGAGTTGCAGTTGAGAGCCTTCCCCATACACACCACCTCGCTAGGTGATGCAGCCACATGTCCTGCAAATGTGAATTTACAGAGGCTTCCAGAAGATTCTGAGGGCATCAAATTAGCCCAGGAGAAAGAGAACAGGATTGCTACAAGTGTAGACTCACCTTCCCCAGCTTTTGGGGATGCAGCCTTGCCTAGAAGGAGCCAAGCTTAACACCACAAACATCCAAACTACTAGTCACAGGGTGTGGCAGTGCACTCCTATCTTCCCAGTACTGGGGAGGCTGAGGCAGGAGGATCACTGGGAGTTCGAGGCCAGCCTGGGCTTTGTCAAGAGACCCAGTCTCAAAAAAAAAAAAAAAAAAAAATCTGAATGCAGATTCCAGGACACCAAACCCGCTGCCAAAAGCACCTACCGCTGAGCTCAGGGAGCTCGTGGGCCCATGCGTGCCACAGAGTCATCGGGAATGGAAACTCACGCTCCGGTGATGGACAGCACGGCAGCACTGGGATGATGTGTTTTCTGTTTGTTTTACCTATTATTGATTTGCTTTTAATTGACAAATTCCAGTTGTGTATGTTTACCGTGGACAGCATAATGTTCCATTTCTGTATTTCACTATTTTATTTTGAGATAAAGCCTCACTCAGTCACTAAGTGGTCCTGACTGGGCTTGAACTTTTAACCCTCTTGCCTCAGCCTCCCAGGGTGCTGGGATACCTGCATGGCTGCTCCTGCCTCTTCCCTGGGTACAGCACAATTTTCTGGCTGGCAGCAGCAGCAGCAACGTGGTCACCACTAATTTGGGGATTGCAGATGGACATAGGGAGCAAGCAAATCTCCAAACTTAAAACCCACAAGTAACAAGATGGGCGTGCCTGTTGCCACATGCCAAGTTGTTGCTGTCCCAGCTACTGGGAAGGCTGAGGCAGGAGGATTTTGAGTTTGAGGACAGCCTGGACTAAGACCCTGCCTCAGAGCAAACGGATCAGGAAAGTTACCCTTTGACATAAAAGCCAGCAAGGAGGTGGTCTTGACTCTCCTCTCTCTTTCAGTCCTAGAGCTTATTTTACACTTAGATCCATCTTAGTTTGGAAAAATCCACTGGCGCTAGCAGCTGCGATGGATAATGCACAGGATCTGCTTCAGGGACTGGAAAGATTTAAGACAGTAAATAAAGAAGGAAACCAGTCCCACAGGGCGTGGTGGCTCTCGCCTGTAATCCCAGAACTCAGGAGGCTGAAGCAAGAGGATCCACTGAGAGTTCTGAAACCAGCCTGGGCTATGGAGTGAGCTCAAGGGCAGCCTGAATCATAACAAGACCTTGGCTAAAACAACAATGGAAAAAGCAGAAACAAAACAAAACAAAACAAAACCAGACCTATCTCCCAAAGTCGGAGCCCAGCCTGGGCAATTTAGTGCCTCAGTGAGACCCTGTCTCAAAATAATGAGTAAAAGCCAGAGTGTTGGGCCCGGCTCCCTCTGTCCTCTGGTCTGCATGTCCCTCCCGGATGTGGGTGCTGTCCTGCTGGTTCCAGGCTCACCTCGAGGAAACCTGAACCATGCAAGAGCGGAGGCGGGCGACACTGACCCTCTCTTCACAGGAAGGGGGGTGACAAGCACCCCGCCCAGCCAGTGGCTGAAGGTCAAAGCAAGGGTGGAAGGTCATGCACGGATGCTATTTATAGGCCTGCTAGGCGATTGTCCAGGGGTGAGGCTGACACCCATGCTGCAGGAATTGTTTCTGAATCAAACACAGCAGAAGCCTCCCCGGCCCTTCTGGGAGAGAAGGGAAGGACTGGGACAAGAAAGACCCCAGGGCTTCAATAAGATTCTGAAAGTTGTTTCTCAAGGCAGCAAGCAGAAATGGTGCTGGCTTGGTTTTACAGCCCCCGGAGTGAAACCCAGGGCCTTCCTATGGGGCTACGTGCCTGGCCCTTTTTTTATGTTTTTATTCTGAGATTTGAACTACCTCAGCCTCCCAGAGGGTGGCATAAAATGTGCATGGCCCACAGCAGGCAGAACTCCAGCTTTGTTTGCTGGTTTATGATCCTATCCCAGACCAGGCAGGACTGGCCCCGGTCTGCCCCCCTGCCTCCCCTCCTTTGGTCTAAGGATGAGATGGGTGGTGGGTGGGTTGTCAACTACATAATCTTTTTTTTTTTTAATTTTTTTTTATTACCGAAAATACTCACTAAGAAACTACATAATCTTTGAAGCATAAATGAAACATTTTTGCAGTGCTGGAGATCAAACCCAGGGCTTCACACGTGCTACAAAAGCTTTCTACCACTGAGCAAACTCCCCAGCTCTGAATTAATTTTTATGGTCTCTTTCAGTATATGTTTTATCCATTAAGTGTACTTGAAAAATAGTGTATGACATATAAATCATATATAATATATAAATATATTACACATAAGATATATACTGCGATACAACATGGAATATATGTATAGCAGTGCATAGCAATATGTGGCATAAAAATGGGCTACATAATATACTTTTATATATGACATATATTTACATATACTATATTGCGATATATAGATACTGATGTGGGGAAAGACCTCACTGTATAGTTCAGAATAATCTCTGGGGCTGGGGATTTAGCTCAGCGGCATAAGTGCCTGCCTTGCAAGCAGGCAGTCATGAGTTCGATCCCTGGTACCGATAAAAATGAAAAAAAAAAAAGAGAATAATCTCTTAACTCACTGTGTGGCCTTAACTCACATGCTGGCCTCAAACTCACTGCAACGGCCCTGACTCAGCCTCCTGGGTACCAGGATTAGAGGTGTGCACCACCAGCTACAATTCTGTAAGAGATGATTTGTTTGGATTGGATATTACATGATGCAAAAGTTAAAGATATTTAGAGGTTCTTCCACACAGGTGATCTGGGCAGGAACAATGATTACTCTCCCTGAGCCCCTGAAGCTGGGGACCCTCAGCTGTGTCCCCCACGCCCACTCCACTCAGCCTGGAGGGCACAGAGGAAGGAGAGGGTCATGGGAAGAATGTGTGCCCCAGGCCTGGCCTGGCACCTCTTGGCCACACCTGTGGGCTGAGGTCACGCCGGGTGACCCCAAGGATCGGTGTTGCTAAATGGAGAGGTGCAAAGCTCCCTGGATCACCAGTGAGCCTGGGGGGGGACCCAGGTGGCTGCTCTGCGTCCTGACCTTTGGGGCTGTGTGGGCTGGTGGCGGAGGACCTAGGGACAGCCCAGGTGTCCAGGCAAGGGACGGTGACCCTCATGGTCTGATTGCGCCCCTGTGGCCACAGCTCTGGGTCTCTGTGCCTCAGTTTCCCTGTGAGGGGCATGCTGGGCAGATGGCTTCCAGTCTCACAGGAGTAAAGACAGACAAAGAGGGTGTGGGGGAGTCCACAGCCCTCTGTGTATTGCTGTGTGTCCCTCTGAGCGTGGACAGGATCAAGCAAGTGCCTGAGAAAACCCAAATCCTGTGGACAGAGCAGGAGCGGTTCAGGCTGGCGGGATGTGGGTGCAGATCGTGGCCCCTGGGAAGCGGTGGCAAGCACCCATCAGGGGCTGCAGGTTGCTGGGGTGTGGGTGACAGGAGGGGACTCAGGACTGGGTGGGAGGCATGCTCTTGTCACGGCTTCCCGCTCCAGAGCAGGGGCCAACCTGGACACCAGCTGTGGGGAGGAAATGACCCAGAGCTGCCCAAAGGCTGCACCCGAAGAGGGCTCGGCCTGTAGCTGAGGGGACGGGGAGCCTCCCAAGCTGGGCAGGGAGCCGTTCCCGGGCCTGTGGCCTGCTTTTCCGCCCAATGGCCACGGCCGGGGGCTGGCCTCAGAGGGCATATTAATAGCAGGCTGTAGTAGTAGTGGAAACTCGAGCCCGCCAGCAGGGCATGAGTCAGTCTGGCCCTGGCCCAACGCTGCCTGGCCCGCAGGGACACCACGGTCCTGCTCACTCAGAACCTCAGTTTCCGCATCCATGCGCCGGGATAACCCCGACCCCGAAACCCAAAACAGGGCAGGGCACTGCTGGGGCACAGGGACTCCTTCCCCAGCGCCCCAGCTGTGGAGGGGCCAGCTGCGACCCTGGGGTTGTGGGGAGAAGCTAGGCTGGAACCCTGGGTTGGGGGGAGGCTGGGCTGGTACCTGGGGTCCAGGGAAGAGGCTGGGCCTGGACAAGGTCTGGGGATGAGGAGGCCAGGCCAGAACCCGGGTATGGGTTTGGGGGGCCCCGGGCCGGGACCCCAGGTCTTGGGGGTGAGGACGAGGCTAGGCCAGTACCCCTAGTCTGGAGGTGGGGAGGCAGGGCAGGGACCCTGGGTCTGGGGGTTTAGGGGGAGGCTGGGCCAGTACCCTTAGTCTAGAGGTGGGGAGGCAGGGCAGGGATCCTGGGGCTGGCAGGGGGAGTCTTGGCCTGGACCCTGGGTCTGAGGGAAGCCGGTCTCGGTTCCCCAGATGGAGGAGAAGGACTCCAGAGCAGTCCCTGGCCCCCGGCCGGCCGTGGTGGCCTCCACCCCCGAGGAAGCGGGAAGGCACGGAGCCCAGGCCTCTCCCTGAGAGCTGTGAATGGGCTCCCTCCCCCCCAGCCCGTGTTCCGTCTCTCAGGCCCAGCCCTTGGGGGCTCATAGCGCTCTGTCCCCTCTGTCCTGGGCCTGGCGCCCGGAGTCAGAGCTGGTCTAAGTTTGGAAGGGGGAAGGAGGGGGCTTGGTGAGCGGGTGTGGGGCACAGGATGTCTCTGTCTCGGGCTGTCATACGCACCTCTGCCTGGAGAGAGGGAGGGACAAAGGCTGGACAGCCAGAACAAAGAGAGCAGGAGGAGAGGCAGAGCCAGAGAGGACAGCAGGGGTCAGAGCCTAGGGACACCAGGGTGGCTCCAGCGAGAGTGTGGGACAGAGACCCACTGGAGAGGGAGGGTGGGGGGACAGGAACAGAGCAGGGACAGTGTCACACGAGAGAGACAAGAGAGACGGGGATGGAGACAGGGACGTGAGAGACGGGGACGGAGACGGGGACCCTGGAGACAAGTCAGGAAGCAGGAAGCTAGGGGAGCAGAAAGCAGACTGGTGGGGGGGACGAGGCTAGAACAAGGCCACAGGACAGTGACACACGCAGAGGGTGACAGAGGAGGGTAGGGGCCGGCTGACCCCTCAGAGCAACTCCCAGTGAGGACCCAGCCTCAGGGCCCGGGTGCTGGCGGCCCCTTGGGGTCCCCACACCAAGGTCCCTGCCCAAGGGCCCCCCAACGCCTGGTGTCCCTGGGATGGAGTCCAGGGTCCCTGAGACCCCTGAGGATGGGGACCCAGAGGTGAGACGCAGACGAGGGATCCCAAGGCCCCGGAAGGAAGCACTGTGAGGCCCCCAGAGGAGTGGCAAGAGGCCCCGGGCAGCACAGTGTCCAGGGAGATGTGGACACCGGGTGGTGTGGGCCAAACAGCAGCTCCACAGGGGCTGGGGGTTTTGCTGGCTTCACATAGAGGGGACAGTGAGGCCTCTGTGCCAGAGACCCCAACCCCAGTGGGGCATAGAGACAGGTGGCCCGAGGCCGGTGAGTCACCATGAGTCATCCTTCTCTCTGGGGACAGTCACCCCTGTGCCCAGCACCCTGGGCACCTCCCCAGCAGGCCCTGCACCACCCCATCCCACGGCTCTGGGGGACCCCAGACTGACTGTGCCTCCACCGACCACTGCAGGAGGACACTGCCACTGCCCTGCAGCGCCTGGTGGAGCTGACAGCCCCCCAGGTGACCCCGCTGCGCAGCCTACGGGTCCAGTACCGCCTGCTCCGGAAGCTGGGCTCGGGCTCCTATGGCCGGGTGCTCCTGGCCCGGCCTCGCCACGGGGGTGAGTGCCCCAGCTGCCACACCAAGGGGCCTCCACTTCCCAGAGAGCCCAAGGGGCTGGGCCAAGGTGCTGCAGTATGGCGGGATGTCCTCTGGCCCTTCTCGGCTGGGCGCTCTGAGTGGGAGGTGCCCCACACAGGCTGCACAGCAGATAGGGACCGGGCTGCCTTCCCCAAGCAGGCCCAGCCCTGGCCCTCAAGCTGCTCCGCCGCGACTCGGTCCCGAGAGCCATCTTCCTGAGAGAATTCTGCGTGGGCCGCTGTGTGTCCTCACACCCAGGCCTGCTGTGCACGCTGGGGTTCCCCCTGCAGACGCCCCGACACTTCGCCTTCACCCAGGAGTTTGCGCCCTGGGGAGACCTCAGCGGGCTGCTCCAGGAAAAGGTGAGGCCAGACCACGGCCACTGTCAGCCCCTGTCTCAGGCTGGTCCCCCACACACATCCACCAGTCACTTTGCTGCCGGCCTAGGGGCAGGGACCCTTCAGGGGTGGCTGGGAGCAGACAGGGTTGGCTGGTGGGGCCTGGGGCTGCAGTGTGGCTGGAGGGACTCAGTCTCAGGTGGCCCCTGGAGGGGTGGAGCAGGAGGGCAAGGCAGTGGGCTCCTCTGGACAGACCCTGAGTCAGGCGTGAAGCCTGAGGGTCAGGCAGCTTGCAGGTATTTTTTAGGAAGTTGATTTTGAGTTAGGATTGGGGAGGAAAGAGGAAAGGATGGAAAAAAGGAAGGAAGGAAGGAGGGAGAAAAACGAGAAGGAGGAAGGGAAGAACCTGAGGGAGCCTGGAGGTGGCAACAGGAGCCTGAGCCTGACCTTGCCACCCTGCCAGGGCCTCCCGGAGCCCACGGTGAAGCGCGTGGCGGCCCAGCTGGCTGGGGCCCTGGACTTTCTGCACAGCCGGGGGCTGGTGCATGCAGATGTCAAGCCGGACAATGTGCTGGTCTTCGACCCTGCCTGCGGCCGTGTGGCCCTGGGTGACCTGGGTCTGACTAGGCCCGAGGGCAGCCCAGTCCCTGCACCCCCGGCCCCACTGCCCACTGCACCACCTGAGCTCTGCCTGCTGCTACCACCAGCCACCCTGCCCCTGCGGCCAGCCATGGACTCTTGGGGCCTGGGCGTGCTGCTCTTCTGTGCCGCCACCGCCTCCTTTCCATGGGGTGTGCCGCTGGCCCCTGACCCTGAGTTTGAGGCCTTTGCCGGCTGGATGACCACCAGGCCCCAGCCCCCTCGGCCACCTGCGCCTTGGGACCACTTTGCACCTCCAGCGCTGGCCCTGCTCCAGGGACTCCTGGACCTGGACCCCGACAGCAGGAGCCCCCCGATAGCCATCCTAGATGTGCTGGGAGAAGACTGGGGCTTGGAGGCCAATGCAGAGGATCCTGGGGGCTTGGGGAGCAAGGCCTGGGAGGACGGGGAGGAGTGGGACACAGGGGAGTCGAGCTTGGAGGAGGCAACAGATGAGGGCGAGGAAGAAGCCATAGGTGGCGGGAAGTCGGGAACAGATGGCCAAGCTCCCTGGCCAGGTGACTGAGACAGGTGGCCAAGGCCTGGGCCAAACGCCCCTCCCCCAGCCCTGTGGCCACCTGGAGGGAAAGACAGCTGTTCCGGAAGCACAGGGGGGACACAGAGCACCTCCCCATAATGAAGGCCAGGCTTCAACATGGGACTCCCCCAAACTAGGGTCCCACACCCTTGCTGTCCCCTCTGACCAGCCTGTGTCCCCCTGAGGAAACTCCTGGCCCCCTGGGCACACATCTTGTTATCACAGGGCCACATCTGGGGCTCACCTAGCACTTCTGGCAGGATCCCCACTTCCTCTAGGACCCTGCAAGTCTCCTCCTTGTACAGCACAAACTCAGCTCTGGGCTCCGCTCCACCTCTGGTGGTGGTATGGGAATCTTCACCCCTGCTGGACCTTACACACGTGCACACACACCCAGTGCCACAGGCCCACATCTGCACACCCCACCTCCACCTACAGGGCCAGGAGCAGGCAGCCGGCCTCGGCCCCATTGGGTCTCCACTTCAGTGGGGCCCCTCTGCCCGCCCCACTCCTCAGCCGCCTGTCTCAGTGGCTCCAGGCTGCCTGCTTTCTCTCCCTCTCTCACCCCTGCTGGGTGCTGCTCCAGCAAAGGCCCCACTCTGTTGCTCCGCTCCTCCAGCACCCCTAGCCCAGACGGCCAACACCTGCAGCCCTGTCTGTGCCTCAGCACTTGGTGCCTGGAGTCACCTGCAGCACCAGGCCAGGATGCCCTGTCCTTTGGTAGCCACAACCAGCAGAGAGCTGGGCCAGGAAGCTGACCCTCCCTGGAGCTCACACTTTCCTCACTGAAAAGTGGGTTCCTCGGGGAAGGTGGTGCACACCGGTCATCTCAGCCCTCTGGGAGGCTGAGGCAGGAGGATCACAAGTTCAAGTGCCATCTAGGCAACTAGGCAAGACCTCGTCTCAAAAAATGCAAAGAAGTGCTGGGGATGCAGCTCAGGGAGATCCTGGGTTTGATCCTCAATACCACAGAAATAAATGAATAAATGACCAAGTGTGAATTCACTGAAGACCATGCAAGGCCCCGCTGGCACAGGGGCCTTGGGGGGCAGGAGTGGGGTTGTGTTGGGCGAATTCGCCACCCTGGACCATGCAGAAGAAGGAGGGTGCAGGGAAGGGCTGGCAACTGCTGTGCAGACCTGCAAAGCAGCAAGCGAGTGGCTCACTGGACACCAGTGATCGTCCCTTGAGACCCTGAGGAATGGGCAGTGAGCAGCTGCCCAGCATGGCCGAGACCTGACCCAGTTGTCCAGCACCTGCTCCCTGCGGTGAGGTCATTGCACCGCATGGCTCTGGAATCCCTGCCCTCATCTTCTTCCTGCAGACCCGGGTCTGCACCCATGGTGCCCCAGCCCCCACCCTCACATCTCAGTGGTCCTGGAGCCTAGGCTGCAGCTGGTCAAGTGGGGTCAAGGTAGCCACGCCACCACTGCTGCTGGCCCGGGCTTGGCTGTCTGCTTAGCATTTCTGCCGGAATAGAAACAGAGAGGGTGAGCTGGGCTCTGCGATGGCCAGGGAGGAGGCCAGGCTGGGACCCTGGGTCAGGGGGAGGAGGCTGGGCTTCTGGTTGGGGAATTTGCCAACAACCTCCAGTTCTAGGATTCAACGCATGGTGTCGCCCTGGCCCCAGTGGGGCACTAAGGGCGGGGCTGGGGGAGGGGCCTCACGACCCCCAGACGGGGCGGGCCTTGGGCTAGGCAGCACTGTTGGCATGGGCCCCTGGAGCTGGCCCTGGGCACTGCAAGCCGCGGACGAGACAGGACGGGACGGGCGAGCCTCACAGAGGTGAGCCGGGACTCTGAGCCCAGGTTGGAGGCTGGGGGTGGGCAGCCCAAGGTACAGAGCAGCCAGTGGCCAGGCCCTGGGTTTCCACGGGGCATAGCTGCACCTTCAGCCCTCAGAAGTGGCGCTGGGCCCAGGTCTATGAGCTCTGTGAAGACAGGACAAGAGTGGGCTGAGGACTCAGGCTAGGGGTCTTCGAGGGGGACAGGGCCCGGATGAGACTTAGGTCCACCAGTGTCATCAGAACCCACCCTGGTGAAACCCTCTGAAGAGCCAGGAGACCCATGTCCTGCAGACGAGGTCGATAGGGAGGTCACATATGTCCCTGTCCCCCCTTCCCTTCCCGCTGCCACCTGATGGCCCGAGGGTGAAAGATGAACCACGCCACTCGAGACACCCACCTCGTTTCCAAAGCAAATAGACTTGGCTTGCGGGGACAGATGAGCAGCCTCCTTCCCCTAAGAGCAAACAGGTGCTCCAGGCCCCAGGGGTGAGGTGGGACTGGCCAAGGGGGGACGAGGGATCCTGCACTGTGCGGCCTGGGTGCAGGTGCAGAGGACCCAAACCCCAGACTTGAGATCTAGCTTGAAGAACAGGCCTCCCTCACCAAACTTGGGGTCCCAGCTCAGTCTCCTTCCCTCCAGGACTGGGGGTTCATGCCTGCCCTCCCCAACCCAGGCCCAGGGTGCCAGCCTGGCCTCCGCCACTGCAGACCTAGGGTTCCAGCCTGCTCTCCCCAACCCCAGACCCTGGTTCCATTCCTGGCCCCCTCACCTGGGTGTGGGGTCCATGCCCAGCCTCCTCCCTTCCTGGACCCGGGTCCACACCTGGCCTCCCCACCCGGGCCCAGAATCCCAGCCCAGCCTCCTCCCCAGGCTTGGCCTGGTGGCCACAAGCTTACCCCCTCTGTTTGTATCCCAGCAGAAATGCCAGGCAAGCAGCCTGAACCCAGGCCGGCGGCAGCAGTGGCCTCTGAGCATGACACCAAGGACAGCTTGGGCGGCCTCACACCAGAGGAGCTGCAGCAGGGCCAGGAGGCCGCACTGGCGCTGGAGGAAAGGATGGCGCTGGGCGCACAGACCCTGGTGCATGCCGAGGTGGAGCAGCTATACCAGGAGGTTCGGCCCCTGGGCCAGGGCCGCTTCGGCCGTGTCGTGCTGGTCACTCACTGCCAGAAAGGTGCCAGCACGGGGACAGGTGCGAGGTAGTCATGGGCCAGTGTTCTGGGTTGAGCCTCACCAGCACCCCTTCTGAGCCATGTGTTAGGAAACCCCGTTAGCCTCTCTGAGCCCCCTTTTCCTCCTTTGAAAGGATGAGTACTGGTTCCTTTTTTCCCCCCTCGACATTGAGGATTTAACCCGAGCAACATCCCCAGACCTTTTTTAATTTTTTAAGTGCCTGGTTAAACCCTTAAGTGCCCAGCCTGGCCTCAAACTTTGGATCCTCCTGTCTCCCAGTCTCCCAGAGTGCTGATTAGAGGCCACAGCTAAGATGAATAATGATTCCTCTTTTTTTTTTTTTTTTTTTGTCTTTTTCATTTTTATCGGTACCAGGGATCGAACTCACGACCGCCTGCTTGCAAGGCAGGTGCTTATGCCACTGAGCTAAATCCCCAGCCCCTGATTCCTCTTTCAAAGAACTGTCTCACCATCTAGTTCAGGCTGGCCTTGAAACTCACTATGTAGCCCGGGCTAGCTTGAACTCATGGCAATCTTCCTGCTTCAGCCTCACGAGTGCTGAGATGACAGGTGTGTATCATCACACCCGGCTAAGAACTGTTGATTCCAGATCATACAGTGATACCACCTCAGGCCCCCAGACTGTCTGAAACTGTTGCTTTCCTACATCTTCACACCTGGGGTAAAGTTTGTAAAGTAGAAACACAGCCTGAGTGGTCAAGGGGACAGAGCCTCACTCACCAGGGTCCCCGTGGTGCTGTGGGCCTGTGATGTGGCCGTCAGGAGCAGCTCACAGTCCAGGGGAGCATGATGTGGCCACCGTGACAGAAACCTCTCATGGTGATGCAGCGCTGCCTCCTGCAGGGGTGGACAGGATGGCTGGTGGGGACTGGAGGTGGTGGCCTCAGTCACATGCAGCCCTGTAGGGGGCAACCCAGGGCTTGGGCAGCTGGACATGCCCTGCCCCAAGACACGGGAGAGCAGAGCGGACCCTATGTCAGGAGGTGGGGACCGCTCATCAGGAAGATGGCATAGGCTGAGGGGGCCGTGCTGTTGGCCCTAGCCCCTCACGCACCCCACACCTGTTCCTGTTGCTCCCAGGCACGACAATGGCGCTGAAGCAGCTCCCTAAGACCTCCACGTCCCTGCGCAGCTTCCTATATGAGTTCTGTGTGGGCCTCTCACTGGGCACTCACCCAGCCATCGTGGCAGCCTATGGCATTGGCATCGAGTCGGCAGATTCCTACAGCTTCCTGACAGAGCCCATCCTGCATGGGGACCTCATCGCCTTCATCCAGCCCAAGGTGGGTAGTGGTCGAGCATGGCGGCCTAGGAGTCATGGTCACTGTATCAGGCCTTCGGAGGTCATGGCCAGCCTGGGCAGCCAGGATCCTGGACTGGTTAGGCCCTTTAGGGCTCACTGACTTCACAGAGTTAACACTGGATTCCAGTGAGAATTACCAGCCCTCCCGCCATTACACTTAGCCATGCTGGGGCTGGCATCGTTCACAGGCTCACACCAGGCCTCACCAGTCACACTAGGCCTCACCAGTCAGATGAAGTCTCACTAGTCACATTAGGACTCACCAGTCTCACTAGCCACAGTAGGCTCACTAGTATACAAGGCCCACCAGTCACATTAGGCCTCACTAGTCACATGAGGCCTCACTAGTCACATTAGGCATCTTTAGTTACTGTAAGCCTTACTAGTCACATTAGGACTCACTAGTCTCACTAGACCTCATTAGTCACACAAGGCCTCACTAGCCACACAAGGCCTCATTAGTGTCTCACTAGGCCTCACTGGTCACATTAAGCATCTCTGGTCACAGTAGGCCTCACCAGTCTCAGTTGACTTTCCCAGGCTCACATTCCTTGTCCTCCCAGTTGAACCCCCAGGTCTTTAGGCTCTTAGGGACTCACAGGCCTCAGTGGTTCACCCTAGTCCTCACAGAGCTCACAGGCCTTATGGGTTCATGCGAAGCCGCAAAGGCTCATACTGGGCCTCAGTAGGCCTCATGAGCTCACACTAGACCTTACTAGGGCTCAGGGGCTCACACCAGACTGCCTTTTTGGGGTCTCGCTGCCTCCTCAGTTTTCCCAGGCCTGCTTTGGGGGCTGAGGCCAAGTGCTGTAGGTGGGCATTGACCTGGCTGTCCTATCCCTGCAGGTGGGGCTCACACCATCCGAAGCAGCCCAGCGATGCGCAGCACAGCTGGCCTCCGCCCTGGAGCACATCCACGCCCTCGGCCTAGTGTACCGGGATCTCAAGCCCGAGAACGTGCTGGTGTGTGACCCCACCTGCCAGCATGTCAAGCTGGCTGACTTCGGCCACACGCGGCCCCGGGGGACCCTGCTGCGCCTGGCTGGGCCACCCATCCCCTACACAGCCCCTGAGCTGTGCGCCCTGCCACCGCTCCCCGAGGGGCTCCCCATCCAGCCGGCCCTGGATGCCTGGGCCCTGGGCGTCCTGGTCTTCTGCCTGCTCACTGGCTACTTCCCCTGGGACCAGCCGCTGGAGGACACCGACCCCTTTTATGAGGATTTCCTGGTGTGGCGGGCCTCACGCCAGGCCCAGGATCGACCGCAGCCTTGGTTTGGCCTGGCACCTGCAGCCGATGCCCTGCTGTGGGAGCTGCTGGACCCTCACCCTCGAAGGAGAAGTCCCGTGGGCGCTGTCCGGGGCTACCTGGGGCAGCCCTGGCGACAGCAGGATGAGGAGGCCTCAGGGCTCAAGGAGGGCAGGCAGTGAGGCCTGTAGGCTGGGAACCAGGTGCCTCTGGGTCTCAGGGGAACCAACATCCCTGTGTCCTCCCATCACAGCCTTCAGTACCCCATGAGCGCCGTCCCCATCCTCAGCTGTCTTTCTCCTGCCCCCCTCCCCCTTAGCCTCCTGCCCTCTCAGGTCCCTCTCCCCGCCCTTGTGATGCTCCTACTGTTCTCTGCAAATAAAATCCACCTGGCACTGAGGTTACTGAGGCCAAGACTTGAGTGAGAGGAGAGCGCACCAACACCTCAGTGCCTGGCAGGCACTGTCTGCAGCTCCTTCGTGGAGTATGTGATCTGCAGGCTCCAAGCAGGAACAGGTGGGCTGTTTATGCCCAGGAATCATTTTCCTTTACCAAGTCAAGAGTATTTGATGCCATTCTAGTGGCAAACTGCATCCCTAGAGATGCTGTCAAGGACCCCAGGCGGTGGGTACACATGCCGGTCATCCTGGCACCACGGGAGGCCGAAGCAGGAGGATTGCATGCTCGAGCCCAACCTGGGCAACTTAGCAACTTGGTGAAACCCTGCTCCAAATGAAAAGGGGCTGAGGACTTAGCTCAGTGTGAGTGAAGGCCTCAGGTTCAGTCTCCAACCCTGGGGGTGGGGGAAAGGTGCTGTAAAAAGAAGTCTACACACTCACACTCACGGCTTGAGTGTCTCTCACACACAGATGGGAACGTGGTGTTTGTATTGACGGTTCTGTGCATGCTTGAGCCTGTGTGTGTGTGTGTGCATGCGCGCGTGCACGCGTGCACAGGCTGAGGAAGGTCAGGCAGGCGTCCTCCGGCCTCCCTGGCTGCTGGCCGCTGCTTGTTTGCAAACACTCTCTCTTCCTTTCCTTGCCCTGCTTGGCTGAGGGCCCGAGCTAGGCTACAACTCGGGCTAGATCAGATGTCACCCTCGGGGCCCAGCACCCCTGCTGGGCCTCGCAATGATGTTGCCTGGTCCGTGTTGGTGCCGGCCTTGTGCCCATGAGGAGCAGCCCCAAGCACCCTTGCACTGTAGGCACAAGCTTGAAAAGCAGAGACCCACATCCCTGTCCTGGGCGGCCGGGGGACCTGGTGGAGCCGGGGTCGCTGGGGGGCGCCTTGAGGGCCATGCCCTCAAGCTGAAGTAGCCCACAGCAGTAGGTCATGATGTGTCCTGCTGGCACTAGTGAGGGTGTCACCCAGCGGGTGACACAGGGCAGGGGGCAGAGGGCAGGTGCCCATGTGGTAATTGGTGTGGCAGCTGGGGATTAACTGGAAGGTGACAAAAATGACCCAGTAGGGCCTGAGTGGCCAGGGAGGGCAGGAGCTTCCCAGAGGCCAGGGGTGGGTGCCACGCTCATTAAGCCGCCCCCATGCTAATGGTTAGATCCTTAACACCCTGTGCAGTGCTGGCTTCTGTTCCAGAGGGACCTGTGTGAGGTCACCCAGTAGCCAGATTCATACCCAGGTGACTCTGTCCCCGGCCTGGCCAGCAGGAAGAGAGGCCGAGCCAGGGCCAGGCATTAGAAGTGTGTGTGCACGCACACATGTTAAAGTGCAGATAAAGGAGGGAGAGAGGGCACATGTGTGCACACAGGTGAGGGTGTGAGCAAGTGTGCAGTGTGCACAGGCAAGTCTGTGTGTGCAGCAAGGGCATGTGTCCTTCCCTCTGCACTGAGGGGGGCCCTGCACCCTCTTGGGGGGTGGAGGGAAACCAAGCTGTGCTGACTCTCAGGCTCTGCAGAACCAGCACTCATGGACAGGGTGTGAGGACCAGTGTGGGAGCACACGCCTGTTATCCCACTGCTGGGATGCTGAGGCAGGAGAATCATGAGTTCCAGCCCAGCCTGCACAACTTAATGAGATCCTGCCTCAAAAATAATCAGGAATGGTGAAAGCCCAGGGTTTCATCCCTAATATCTGAAAAATAAAAACGAATCATAAGAAGACCGTGCCTGGAGCAAGCTCCCCAGAGCAAGAGCCGGGGAAGGCTCGCAGAGTGGACTGAGCATGGTCACCAGCTGCCTGCCCAGCTTTGAAGACAGGGGTGCCCCCTTAGCCTTCTTCTGGTCAGGGACCCACTGCATCCCCGCTTTGCCCTGCTCTGCAAGTGCCTGACCCAAGAGTGCAGCTCAAATCCACTTCTCTCCTACAGCACGGTGCTGCCAGGCCGAGGCAGCTACTGTTCTGGGCTGGGTGCAAGCTGGTGGCTCAGCTGTCCCGTGGACCAGGGCCAGGGTGGCGGAGTGGGGGTGGCTGGCTGAGGGCCCCAGGGCCAGATGTTCAGGCTTAGCTGCCCAGCCCCGCGGGGTAGAGTGACTGGGGAATTAAGCACCCACTTGTTCAGGGCTGACAGAGAGTAGTGGGGGTGGAGGCACCTAAGCCATCCACCTTAGGCTTGCAGAGGGGTCAGGAGCTGGAACCCCTCTCTGGTACATTTTGGGGGTGACACAGAGCAGGATGGCACCCACTCCCACCTGGAGGTAGCAAAGGAGAGTTCTCCAAATCAGGGTTCTACCCCATGACAACCCGGGGACCCAGGGCAGGAACGGGAAGGTGGCAGCAACCTCCCCTGTGTTTTCCCAGGGCAATGGTCAGCAGTTATTTAAGTCCTCAGCTTAACGAGCTGAGGGGGAGAGAACTCTCCGCACACTCCCTTCCCCATGGCAAGAGTGCACAGCCCATCTGTCAGGACCCCAGGCTCGGTCACCCCAGCAAGTAACTGGACCCTGCTGGCCTTTGCCTGGCAGCGGCAGAGGCGCCAGCTCCATCACCTTCGGTGACCTCTGAGCTGGCCCTGGGCTTCGGGCAGGAGAAGGAGCCGTGGTGTCCTGCCCAAGGCTGCAGGGGCCAGGTGTGAAGGAGCCTCCTCCTCCACACCACCCCTATTCACCCAATACAAGCCGAGGCCTGCCCTGCCCTCTCCCTCATGGCAGCTATGGACCCCAGGGCAAGGTCAGCATCATCCTGGGCAGAATCCAGCTGAGCCGTGGGAGGATCTGCCCTCTCTGAGCCCAAGGCCAAGCATCAAAGCTGCTCCCTGCAGTGCTGTGGTGAGGGCTCTGTGGAGCAGTGCCATGAGGAGAGGCTGGGATGGCCGGCTCCCAGGTGTGTGCCCCGCATGCAGGCTCCACTCTCCCTGCATGGACCCACCTAATCCTCAGGAGAATCCCAGGACCCGGGTCTTACAGAGGAGGAAATGGTCAGGGGGCAGGGAGAGGCAGGGCCACACTGGCCCGAGCCCTTCTGGGTGAGAACCACTCTGTCTTTAGGTGGAGACACTGGGTGCCTCCACTGGTCCCAAAGTCCCTGGCAGTGACCAGTCTCATCTGGGCTCACCTCTGGGACATCATGTGACACTGCGAGCACTCAGGAGCCAGGCCTCACTCATCACCATCCAGAGGGCAGCTGTGGACGGGTCACACCACAGCTTCCGATGCCTGGCCCCTGTTCCCCCTGCCATCGATGGGGGAGTCACATGGGAAGGGCTGCAGACCATACCCCCATCTGCAGGGATGTGACAGCTAACACAGAGCACCTGAGAGCATGGCCTCTAAGGTGCTGAGGGGACACATCCACCCAGGGATGCTGGCGACCACGAACTCTGCACCACTTCCATGCCCAGGTGCACACTACAAGCAAGCAGGGCTGCCTGCCCACCCTTGAGATCACCTCCAGCATAGCCATCCTTCTCACCATCACCACCATCACCATCATCACCACCACCATTACCATTATCACCATCACCACTATCACCACCATTACCATCACTATCACCATCATCACCACCATCACCATCACCATCACAACCCTCTCTCATCACTATCATCACCATCACCACCATCACCACCATCATCACCACCAACATTACCATTATCACCATCACCACTATCACTACCATTACTATCACTATCACCATCATCACCACCATCACCATCATCACAACCCTCACTCTCATCACCATCACCACCATCATCACAACCATCACCATCATCACCACCAACATTACCATTATCACCATCACCATCACCACTATCACCACCATTACTATCACTATCTCCATCACCACCACCATCACCATCATCACAACCCTCACTCTCATCACCATCACAACCATCACCATCACCACCACCATCATCACTGTCACCATCATCACCATGCGTGGTACCTATGATTTTCACCAATCTAAATCCATCTTGTGATTCCATCTCTCTGGGGTACCCATCCCTCAGAAATGTCATTTTCACCTTGTTTTTAGTTAGGTACTGTGACTTTCTTTGGTTTGTCTGAGAGTAGCTTACATCCCTACATCTTGTCAAGGGTCACACATCTCCCCTCAGAGGTCTCTCCTCCTCCCCTGGGGTTGTAAGGGTGGGCACAATTGTACTGGGGGGCCAGGCCACTTCTGCCAGTCTCTTTACTGTCTCACCCAGCTGCCCCAGGCCCCGGGCAGCCTCCACCATCTGGGCCAGCCCTAGCCCCAGGGCGTGGCGCTGCTGCTGGTCCTGTTCCAGGACCTGGGTCAGCCTCTGCAGCTGGGCACTAATGTCCCTCACAGCAGCCACCAGCTCCACCAAGGCAGGCGGCTCACAAGCCATAACCCTCACAGGGGGTGTTGGGGAGGCACAGGGGCCAAGGGGGCCCAGGGTCTGATCAGGACTTGGCCCTAGTGGGGGGTAGTCAGGGGAAAGTTGATCCATGGGAGGGGCTGTAGAGGGGAGGGGGAAGTCGGTCACAGTGGGGTCCGAAGCCGGGGCTGGGCTCTGGGTCTGCGGAGGCATTAGTGTGGGGTTCTGACTGCTGGGCAGCCCAAAGTCCTCAGTGGACAGAGGGTCTGTGTTTGAGACAGGAGAAGACTTAGAGGGGCTGGCTTCTGAGGCCAGAGAGGGTGCTGGGCTCTGCATCTGAGATGTAGGGGCAAGGGGGGTCTCCCTGAAGGTCAGCTCGGGGTGCAGGCTGGGTGTAGCCCGTAGTGCTGAGGTGGAGGAGGGGAATTCTATCCCTGGGGAGGTTGAAAGGGACTCAGCCGTGATGACAGGGCCAGAGGAGAGGTCGGGAGGCCCGCTGGGGATGGTGGTATGATGAGTGGTTGTGGGGTACATTGTCGTGGTGGGGAGCAGGGTTGTGGTGGGGTGCAGGGTTGTGGTAAGGTATTGAATGGTGGTGGGGTTTGGGGTGGTGCTGGGGTTCAGGGCGATGGCGGGGTACGGAGTGGTGGTGGAGTTCGGGGTGATGGGGGAGTTCTGGCTGGTAGCGGGGTTCAGGGTAGTGGCAGAGTTTGAGGTAGTCATGGGGAGCAGGCTTGTGGAGGGCTCCAGGGATCCAGAAGTTTCTGTAGTTGTGCCTAAATCTGGGGTTGTGTAAGTTCCTGGGGTCCCCCCTGGCGCTGCAGAGGACTCTGATGTCAGCTCTGGGGGCACAGTGGGCAGTGGGATCTGTGTGGTAGAGAGGCCGGGCGTGGTCGAGGAAGGCGGGTCTGGAGTAGGCGCCAAAGTGCCAGGACGGACAGAGGCTGAGTCAGAAGTCAGCTGCGGCCCAAGCGAGGTGGAGGGGGCGGGAGGCAGCATGGAAGGCGCTGCCCAGGCTGCAGTGGGCCGCAGCAGGCGACGCTCAGGGCCGGTCTTCTGCCGGGAACCTGCAGGAGGAGGGAAACATGGTCAGCCTGAGGTCACCTCGCTCAGCCCACGAGACTGGCCAATAGTAGGTCGCAGAGCTTGTGACGTCATGGGTCACCAGCAGACTTCACCCGGCCCTACGGCCCCTCCTCCCACCGACTGGAAGCTCCGGGCGCCACCTGGTGTTCTGCACAGCGAGCAAGTGAAGTTGCAGGGACATGGGGGACTGGGAGCTGGGGGTGCAGGAACGTGGGGGACTGGGAGCTGGGGGTGAAAGTACCAAGGATACAGGAGGGAGGGGCGGAAAGTAGCCAGCTGTGGATGTGCATAGATGCAGGAGGATGTTGGGGGCCACCTTGTGGTGCAGAAATCCCACAAGCAGGGAGTTATGGGGTTATTAAATAGCAATCTCAATAATCATTGGAGATAAATGTTTTGGTACTACAGAATGAATTCAGGGCCTTTGCACTGAGCTGCATCTCCAAACCTTTTCAATTTTTGATTCTGAGACAGAGTGTGGCTAAGATGTGAAATTTTCCAGGGTCCTCTTGCCTCAGCCTGCTGGAGTGCAAGGAGACAGGCTGTGTGAACATTTCTGTACACCCCCGGCTGGCAGGCTCGCCTGTGTGTGTCTGTGCTTGCTCTGCAGATTCCCTATCCTTTCCTCCACTGCAGGAGCAACGGGTAAAGTCTGGGTGACTTTTCTCGAGCTTGCCCTGTCCACACCTGGGGCCTTGCTGTGAACATGGCCTGAGGGATGCTGGCTTCATCCAAAGCCTCCACTCCTAGGTGCCAATCGGGAGACTCCCTACTTCCAGTCACCGCCCCCCAAAACGTTCTCCAACATTGCCAGATGCCCCATGGGGCACTGTAGCCTCGATACCCCCATGTCCAGGACAGGTCCTTTGAGTAAGTGTCTACCCCGAAGCCCAACCCCCATGCCCTCACAGCAAGCAGCTTCTGCTCACCTATGTCCCCGAGGACCCTAGGAGCCGGAGAAGGGCGTCCCAGGCGCCTGGCAGTGCCACTGGAAGGGGTGGGTGTCCCCAGGGCTGGGCCCCTGCCTGAAGGTGTGTCCTGTGTCCTGGAAGGCTGGAAACCATCCTGGCCACCTGCAGGAACACAAGGGAGAGGACTGAGTCACACCATCCTTGTGCTTCCCTGGGGCAATGCAGATGGCCCAGGTGGCTGCTCCCTGAGTGACAGCAACTTCCTGTCCATCCAGGTCTCCTGATTCCCCAAACCAGAAACTGGGAAACCAGCTCATAAAATGAGCTCATGCCAGGTGTGGTGGTACATAACTGTAATCCCAGCACTCACGAGGCTGAGGCAGGAGGATCACTTTGAAGTATATGGCCAGCCTGGGTTACAAATTGAGTTCAAAGCCAGCCTGAACTAATAGTAAGGCTGTATCTCAAAAACCAAGTAAAATAAACAAAGTGAGTTATTTCTTATTTCAGCTCCCTAGGACCCGACCCTATTCTTTCTTCTTTTTCCTGGTGAAGAAAATTCTATTTTATCTTTATTAATGAATAGCCTGGCGCAGTCTTGCAATACTATATTTCTTGTAGTTTTTTGGCTGAATACACATAGGTCTTCTCTACAGAAAAACTTCATATCACATCTAAACTTATTCTACCTGGGTGTATATCCAATGTTTTATTCAGGAAGAACAGAAAGACAAGTCACCCTTTTAGCTATGTTGATCAACAAGCTTATTTTAACAAGAGCTTTTTGGAGCTATTCACTCATATCCTGTACCATTCCTCACATGAAAGCATGTAATCCAGTAATTTTTTAGTATATTCACAAGGTTGTATGACAGCCACACAGTCAAAGTTAAGAAGGCTGGACATGGGGCTGGGGGTTTAGCTCAGCGGCATAAGTGCCTGCCTTGCAAGCAGGCAGTTGTGAGTTCGATCCCTGGTACCGATAAAAAGGAAAAAGACAAAAAAAAAAAAAAAAAAAAAAAAGAAGGCTGGACATGATGGCACACACCAGTAGTCCAGCACTCAGGAGGCTGAGACAGGAGGATCACCTGCAGTTCAGAACGGCCTGAAATATGTATCAAGACTGAAATCTGTACTGGAGAGAGAGAGACAGACAGACAGCAAGAGAGAAGATAGAAAGAGAGAAAGAATATTTCCATCCCTATGCCATGAAAGAAAGAAGACAAAAAAAGGAATTTTCATGAGCTCAACAGAAACTTCATGCCAGTTTCCCTGTCCTTCCTTCTCACAGACATCATCAACTTCCCTGTGACCCTGTCTCTCCACACTGACCCTAAGGACCTCTTTACACCCAGGGCCCTGGCCCCACGGCCAGAGCCCCCCCCCCCCCCGCAGCCTCCTGCTGGTGCACCTCATCCTGATGCCACTCTAAGCCAGCCCTGTAGACCCCGCGGCTTCCCTGTGGTTAGCCACACTGCATGAAGCCCTGCTCCTGTCCCTAGCCAGTGCCTTGGGAGGGTGGCCATGGTGTCCCACAGGAAGTCACACTCTCAGGACAATCCGCAAGCCATTAGTGTACCAGCAATTTAAAAAGAAAAACAATCCCAGCACTCGGGAGGCTGAGGCAGGAGGATCACTGTGAGTTTGAGACCAGCCTGGCTACAAAATGAGCTGAAGGCCAGTCTGAACTGCATAGCAAGACCCTGTCTCAAAAAGATGAAAAAGAAAAGATGAACACACAAGTGAGGTAAAGAAGTCTGTCAGGGAGGATTCACTAAAGGTCTCCTTCCAAGGCGCTGCGTTTCCAGAAGGCTCCATGGAGAACGAAGCTTGAAGCTGCTTCCCAGCAAACATCAGCCCACTCTCTGCATCTCGGGAATGCGCCACAGAGCTGCCATGCAGGTGCCCTGCAGGTGGCCCGTCTCTATGCTCATCTTGGTTTCCTTCTCTTTTTAAATTTGTTAACACTGAGCTGCACCCCTGGTACTTTTTTACTTTTCATTTTGGGATAGGCCTATACAAAGTCCCTCAGTCATCCTGGCTCTGTCCTAGCCAGGCTGGTCGAGCATGGAGCTCCCCACACACCCAGCTCCCGCATCTGTGAAATAGTTTCATTCTGGCAACTGGGTCTCGGGCTGCATGGCTGGCATGGGTAAGCATTCTGCCTTGAGGACCTGGGATTCCGCCCTCTCTCAGTCACCTCCAGGAACATCCCACTCTAAGCACGCAGCTGGGTGGAGCCGCACACCCATGGGTGGACACTTCAGTTACTGCTGGTGTTTTTTTTTGTCTGTTTCCTTTTTATCGGTACCGGGGATCGAACTCACAACTGCCTGCTTCCAAGGCAGGCACTTATGCTGCTGAGCTAAGTCCCCAGCCCCTACTGCTGGTGTTTTGTTGATACACACAGAGCTCTGAATCCGGGGCACGCCTGTCGTCCCAGCACCATGGGAGGCTGAGGCAGTAAGATCACAAGTTTGAGTCTCACTCAGGTGATGTAGTGATTCTGTGGCATCCTGGCTCAAAGTAAAAACCAAAGGTCTGGGGATGTCACTCTGAGCAAAGTTCAGTCTCCAGTACCAGAAAAGTTTAGGACCCAGGATCTTTCTGTGCCTGGTAGTAGGGCTGACACAGGCCCTCATTCTAAATGAGGTATAGCTCCCCCAGCCTCACCCAATCCTTCCCTGGTAACCTTGGATTCACCCTTTGGGGGAGGCTTGGAGTTTTTTTGTTTGTTTGTTTTGGTCTTTTTCCTTTTTATCGGTACCAGGGATCGAACTCACGACTGCCTGCTTGCAAGGCAGGTGCTTATGAGGCTTGAAGTTTTGTTTTTTTTTTTTTTTTTTGTTTTTTTTTTTTTAGGCTTGGAGTTTTGATACAGGGTCTCACAATGTAGCCAGCCTGGCCTCCAAATGGCAGCAATCCTCCTGGCTCAGCCTCCTGAGTGCTGGGATTATAGCCATGCACATTTACCCTTTAGCACTTGGCTCTGGGGCCTTCCCCTCCCTCCTTAGGACAGGCCACCCCTCTCTGTGGCCCTGGACTCTCCAGGTTAGGCCTGTCCTCCCTGGTCTCCCTCTGAAGTCCGGGGCTAGCTCTTCCTTCCCCAAGCCTCAGTTTCCACACTGTCCATGGGGCAGATGGAGGACGGCACTTTTCAGGCTTCTTGGAAGGAAGGCTTCTTGGAAAGGAAGGGAATTGAGCCAGGTGACCCACTCAGCCCAGGGTGACCAGGCCTCTGCACATGCTCGATGCGGAGCACAAAAAGTGCAGTCTGCAAACCTTTATGGTGATAGTAACAATAACCGTGATCCAACCTCTAACCTCAACCCGCATTTAATCTCAGGTCCTCACCTGTGCAAGACCTCACAGGGGAGGAACCGTGAAGTTCCAAAACCCTTGGTCACCCCCTTCCCCCTCCTGCTCCTCTGGCCTCCCCACAGCCTCCAAGCCTGCCCCCAGCTCCACCCCACCGGCCTGGGGCACAGTCCCACTCTCCCCACCTGTTCCGCCTCAGTGTTCTGATGCTGTGACTGCTGGGTCCTGGTCCCCACCTTCCTCTCTGTACCCCCACCTGACCCTAGCGGCCCCATCAGCTCAGCCCCTATCACAGGACCTACGGGTGCTCTGCTCCTTTCCGGGGCCTTTCCAAGCCTGTCTGGAGCCTACCACAGTGGGGATCTGTGAGCCTCCCCACTGCCCCTCGTGGCTCCTGCCTGCCCCTCCCTGCTCAGTCCTCGAAGCCTCCTCCAGGCAGCGACTGCCGCATTGGTGTCAACTGTCAGTGCCTCTCCAGGTACAGGACTCTCCCAGGTCTCAAGATATGTTTTGAGCTGGGTGTGGTGGCTCAGGCCTAAAATCCCAGCACTCAGAAGGCTGAGGCAGAAGGATCCTTGCAAATTCAAGATCAGCCTGGGCTGCAAAGTAAAATCAAGGCCAGCCTGAACTGCATAGTGAGACCCTCTCAAAAAAAAAAAAAAAAAAAAAGTTTGGAAGCACTGGAAAGTGAAGTCGCAACTTTCTTAGGCCTCCGGTTTCTCCCCTGCAGTGACCTACACTGCTGTCACTGCCCCACTTATTCATTCATCCAACAAACAAGTGAGAGTCTGTCCAGTTTTATGCACTGCTCCAGGCACGCAGAATAGCAAGCACCCTCCACACACACACATACACAGACCTGGCGCCCTCATCTGCACAACCTGAGTGTGGGACCTCAGATGGCAGAGGTGGCCTTGCAGGCGCCACTACAAGTCCAGGCCAGAAGATGCAGGCAGTACCTGGGGTTCTCCAAGACAAGGGGCCTAAACTGATCCCACACAAGGGGTGGTCAAACAGTATGGAGATGACCAGAGATTTAGCTCAGTGGCCTAAGTGCCTGCCTGGTTAGCATAAGGTCGGGAGTTCAATCCCCAGTACCAAAGAGAAAAATACAATGAATTCCAAATTCTTGGATTTGATTACAGTGAAAGCCACATTGCCGCGGATGTGGCCCCTCAAACTATTGCCCTCACTTCAAACACTGTCCCACTATTCTTGCCACTTTCCACAGCAGCTGGGCAAGGCCTCCTTCCTGAGTGTCATCATGAGGTGTGACTAAAAAATGTGACTGTGCTGCCATGTGCCATTCAACTGGAAGGCAGGCTGGTGACAACACGGCCCTTTGTCCTCAGCTGCCTCAGGAACTGCAGCTGGCACCATATGCTTCCTGCCCTTCCCCAAAGTCAAAACAACCATTAGTTCAGGACATTAGTACAGTGAAATTGAAGATGGTCAGGAAAGAGGCTCCAGAGCTGCTGAGGATTTAGCTCAGCGGCATAAGCGCCTGCCTTGCAAGTGTGCGGTCGTGAGTTCATCCCTGGTACCAATAAAAACCGAAAAAGACAAAAAAAAAAAAGAGGCTCCAGAGCTGCTTTGGAAATGGCAAGGATGACGACGGCATGAGTGTGTTTGGAGTGAGGGGAGGATTTTTTAATTTTGTTTTGTTGAGAGTCCAGGTGGCCTTGAACTCACTATGTAACCCATGCTGGCCTTGAACTCGTGGTAATCCTCCTGCCTCAGCCTCCCGAGTGCTGAGATGACAGGTGTCCACCCTCCTACCCGTTGAAGTGAGGATTTTGAAGGGAACTCATGACAATGTATCTTTTGGTGTAATTTTACAAATTTAAACACACATGTTTTGTTTTTTAAACCACACCTCATAAACCCTGCTGCCTCTGCTGCTGAAATCATGTAAATAATCACGCCATCCTGGACCCTGCAGCTGCTGCTAGTTTTCATGAAACAGTGCTAACAACCAGCGCTTTTGCTGTTGAGCAGGCATCAGTAGCCTCCCAGCCAACTTCAATCCCTGGATCCCAGACTGGAACCTAGAGCGGACCTAGGCCCCAGAACCCGCCCAGCCACACCCTTTTCTGCCCCAGAAGCAGGTGCACGAGTGTGTAAGGCGGATCCGCGCTGTGGCTGCGGAGTCAGGAGCACCTTCCCCGCGCTCACTTATCCCACCCTCACACACATGGGTTTAGTGAGAGCACCCGTGTCACCATGTCCTCAGAATGGCACCGTCTAGAGCAAGCGAGCCCAACTTGAGTGTGGCCGAGAACTGGAGCAGAGGTCTTTCCCAAAGAAAGAAACAGGGCTCTAAGAGGCAAGGTCCTTTGTTTTCTGCTATTGAAGATATGAAGTCGTACCTGTCTTTTCTCTTCCCTCGCTATAGCAACTTTTTGTTTGGTTTTATTTTTTGGTTTTTGAGACAGGCAGGGTTTCACTAAGTCACGTAGGCTGGGTCAGAACTTGTGATTCTCCCGCCTCGGCCTCCCAGAGTATTCAAATTTCAGTCAAGCACCAGGTCTTCCGGCTTCACCCCCTTCCAAGTCTACCTGTTATTAAGGCTGCATAATAGATGTGCCTCTTTTTGTGGGCTTTTTTGACGACCTCACGCTTATCAGGCAGGAGCTTGTGCCGCTGAGCTACAGCCACCCCTCCCCAGATGTGCTTATCTTACACTTGCAGATCTCCATTTGTTGGCAGGACTCTCCAGAGAGGGACCGCTGGCTCCTGAGGGCGGGTGCCCAGAGTACCACCATACTGCCACTAGGAGGCGCCATGGGTTAAAGAAGGCCGCCGTGCTGGGTTGCTAAAAGGCAAGACACTGAAGCCCCTGCAGCACTGGACCCGGAGTGGCGCCCTGGAACCCCAGATGCTGAGCTTGACCAGACCTGATTGCCCCGACCCGAGTCACGCTGCCTCCTGCCGCCCTCAGTGGGTACAAGACTGACTCCTGCTTTGTCTTGTGCGCCTTGTACCTTTTTATACCTCGGGAGTGAACAAGCTGACCAATGGGATGCGCAGAGACCACCTGGCGCACCCGCCATTCACACCCTTGCCAAACAGCGGGCCTGCATGCGCATGCGTGTTGAGTACCCGAAAAGGGCTGGAATGGACACAAGCCACCAGATCCTGTGAGGTGAGGAGGCCAGGCCTCTCAGTAGGTACAGGCGGAGGGGCACTGTGACACAGCCACAAACCAGGGCAGGAAGAGAGTGAAGTGAAGGGAGGAGGTGGCGAGCCAGGCAACTGAGGAAGGGCAGGGGCAGGCATCGAGACATCCATGAAGGAAATGGCCTGATGAGATGACGAGGGACAGAGGTGGAGGGCCAGAGGCAGGGGGTGAGGGAGAGAGGAAAATGGCAGCGATGGAGACAGAAAGGGACAAGGAGGTCAGGCATGGCTGAGGGGACCGGAGTGGGAAGTGGGAATGAGGAGGCTGGGAAAGCAAAAGAGAAATGAGACAACTGGGCAAAGACGAGAGAAGCTGTGGGGAAACCATGAGAACTGCAGAGGAGGAAGAAAACGGGAGAAAGAGAAAGGAATCGCCTGTGAAGACTGCTGCAAGAGACAAAGGGGATCCAGCGGGAACTGAGAGGAAGAAGTGGGAAGTGAATGAAGGCAGAATGGGGAAGGGCATGACACAGTGAGACAGGAGCAAAGGTTGGGGGACGCGTGGGAGACTGAGGTAGGTGACAGGAAGAAATGTGGGAGTCGAAGCAGGTCCAGGCCCCAGGCTGACAGCAAAATGCAAGGTAACAGGTGACACGAAACAGGCTACAGGACATAGTGTAGAGAAACTGTGACCCTGAGACCAGCTATGCTAGACAAGCGCATGCCATCAGCTGAGTTCTGCTTTCACTTGCTTTGGGGGGCCTGGGGTAGGGAGAGCAATGGTGGTGTGGTGGCCCAGGGCTGAGGGGTCTGGAGGTTTCCCACTCTACCTTAGCTCTGGGTCAAGAGGACAGCCACTTCCCAGGTGACCCTGGGAGCTTACAAGGAATGCAGGCTGCTCTCATCTCTCACAGCCACCTGATACCTCTTCTGGGCTCCTGGAAGGAGATGGCCACCACTGTGCTCTAGAAGAGAAGGCTCTTGGGGTCTCCAGAACCCAGGACAGCCTGCCTGGGTCATGGTGGCTTGAGCCAGCCCACTTAGAAGGGACTTTATAGAAACTGCAAAGGGAAGAATGGAGGCCTATGGGCCCCCATGGCCACCCCATCAAACCCCTCACCTGTGACTGGAAGGTGCTGTGTTGCTGGAGAGGGAGTCCCTGGATGCCTGGTGGTACCCCATGGAAGAGCGTGTCCAGGGCCTGGTGCCGTGGTGGCCCCTTTGGCCAGATCTTCTCCTAAAGTGGGGTCCCAAGTCCAGGAAGGATAATCATCATCATCCGTGTAGCCTTGGGAGAAATGGGGTGGTGGTTGACTGGATCCCTTGCCTCAGAGGTCCTTGCTACTACTGCTCCCTTGCCTTCTAGAGCCTACTGGAGCAGCTCCCCAGCGCCCTCACTATAGCCCCCGGAGCAGCACCTGGTGCCATCCTCTTGCCCCACTCTGACTCCATCCCTTGGCTTCCTCCCTGCCTGTCCCCTGGTACCAGTGCAGGTGAGCCCCACGTCTTCCTCGTGGTCACAGTTGTGCTTCCCCCATCCCCCTGAGGGGCAGTCGCTCAGCGAGGTCTCACTTCCCTTACAGCCCATGTCATCCAACCAGATGGGTCCAGTCCCCGGGCCATAATGGGTTTTGCCCACTCGGGCCCGGACCTTTCCACAACCCAGTTCCCAGCAGACCACAGTGGCATCCCGCAGGTCCCAGCTGTCATCACAGACTGTCCCCCAGTGTCCGGCATGCCACACTTCTAGCCGGCCAGCACACTTGTTGGGCCCATCGGCCAGACGAACCCGGAAGGGGCCTGGGGGAGGTGGAAGGCCCTCAGGTCAGAAAGCTGGGGAGCCTCCCCTTTACACCCCTCTCCCTTCTCCTCCCACTCACCTGAATCCCCAGGGATGCTGACTGTGGGGGAGGAGGCTGGGGTCTTAGCAGATAGCTCCAGGGAGGTCTGATGGATTTGCTTGGTGGTGGTCTCAGAGGTCATTTCTCGAGGGTCTTGAGGGGACAGTGTTGTCGTGGTCCCTGAGGGCCATTCCCAGAGGGTCTCAGGAGTTGTTCTGGAAGTGATGTGTGAGGTCCATCTGTGGGGAGCCTCTGTAAGCAGCCTTTTTGGTAACTCAGAGGTTCGTTTTGGGGAAGCCTCCATGGTCAGGGTTGTGGTCTGTGAGGTTAGCTCTAGGGAGCTTTGGGTACCCAGGCCTCTGGAGTTTTTAGTGGTTGGCATCCTGGGAGGTTGAGTGGTTGGTCTCTTTGCATGTTTGGTCACCCACTTCTTAGTACTCTTGGGGGTTTTCCCTGGTGCCTTAGTGGTGGTTTTCTCTGGAACACTGGAGGTTAGGCTGGCAGAGGGCTTGGTGGAAAGCTCTCCTGGGAGCCAAGCATCCCGATCTCTACCCAGGCCGGGGAGCCAGCTCCAGCTGAAGGGGTCTGAGATGGTGTCCAAACCAGGGCTCCCTGGAAAGTGGGTGGAGAAGTCAAAGAAGAGTGAGACACTGCAGTGACAACATTGGTCCAGGGCCCTGCTCTAGCCAGTCACCAAATTCCAGTGCAGTTATGCAACAGAAATTCATTCAGTACCTCCTAAATGCCATGCATTGTGTTAGAGCCTGGGGAGACCATGGTGAGCCAAAGCCAGTGCCATGCCCACCGTGGCCATTACCATGCCTACCTTCTTGGCATTTACTGTCTAGCTGTGACTGACTCCTTTGCCCCCTCATACATGTCACCACCTCAGCCTTTGCTCTGAATCAACGGCCCCACATTCTGTGCCTTTTGATGTGTCTACCTACCTCCATGCCCTTCCTTACCGATCACCAGAGTGGTACCACGTCTGGCAGGCTGCTCCCTAGCCTCAGACCTTTCTGTTGCTCCCCATACCTCAGGAACAGGGACAGAAAGACAAAGCCCATAACATCAAGTAGAATTAAAACACCATCCTTTGAGTCACCACTGTTCATCTTAAAATCTTTCTGATCAGCATGTGTACAACCAAGGATTCACGATGCCTGAAAAAATTTTGGCCCCTTGCCCCTGGCTGCTAGGCCTTGGAATGACATGCCTGGTGAGAGATTTTCCTTGTGCCTCAGGGGGTTTGGGTCGGGCACTGTTGTCCCTGCTAACAGCATGATTTATGGGCAGCCACAGAACCGATCAGCCACATCTACAAGACCACGCCCCTGGGCAGCTTGATCCACCAAGGCTTGGGGGCACATCCGTGGCCGCCAAGACTTCATGCCTGCTATCACACACTGTTGCTGGAAAAATTCAGCACAGTCCACACAGCTCTGCTGGGAGGGGAAACCTGAAGCTCACACCTGCTGGCTCCTGAGCCCTGCCCGGCAGACCTGTCCCTGTGCTGATTGTCACCTGAGTTTTCACTGGAATAAACCAGATCCCTGAGTCTAACAGGCCTTCTGGTGCTTCCAGCAAGGCATTGAAACTGAGAGCATCTTGGGGACCCCCAAACTATAATGTGTTGTGCAGGCTTGCAAATGCATGCTTGTGCATGTCCTTCCTTCCGTGAGCCACAGACTTCTCAAAGACCAGGACTGCCCATGCTCCAGTCTCAGGCCCCAGCATCCCACTAAGCATCTGGCAGCCGAGAAGAGGTCTCAGTGAATGCCAGGGCATGAGCATAAACACAGTGCCTCAGCTGGCTTTGCCTTCTCTGTCTCCCAAGGACTTACATCCACTTCTTTGTGGGACACTTGGATTCCTGCAAGCAGGAAGAGGAAGAAGCTTTCCTGGGAATCTGTGGGAGTCAGCTTTGCCACTTAGTTGCTGTGTAACTTGGAACAAATTGCTCAACTCCTCTGTGCCCCAGTCTCTTCACTAGTAAAATGGGCAAAAAATCCATCGGCCTCGATGTATGAAGTCTGCATGTGGTCACGTGTGGGAGGTACCCAGCACAGGGCTGGGGCGTGGGCACTAACATTCCTATGATGTTCGTGCCAGTGTTTATTTTTGTTCCCTCCTCCAGGAAGCCCGCCCAGCATTAGCAGATGGCAAGGGCTTCCTTACCAGTGCACACGACCCCGACATCCTCATTGTGAGCGCAGTTGTGTTTTCCCCAGGGAGCAGCAGGACAGCTGAACAGAGAGGCCTCCGTCCCCACACAGCCCACGTCATCCAGCAAAATGGGGCCTGCACCCCAGCCAAAGCGGCCTGCAGCAGGGTCTGGCTGCCGAGGGCCTCCACAGCCCAGCTCCCGGCAGACCACGGCCGCATCCCGCATGTCCCAGCTGTCATCACACACCGTCCCCCAGCGTCCATTATGCCACACTTCCAGCCGGCCTGAACACCTGCTAGGCCCAGCCACCAGGCGCAGCTGGGGAGACCCTGAGGTGGAAGAGATGCAAAGAATTAGCGACAGGGTGGACTGGAGCCTTGGAAATCATGAACCAAAATAAATCTTTCCTCCTTAAAAAATTAGAAACAAGGAAGGCAGCCCTCAACTCTTCATCCAACATTCCCTCTGTCTTTTTTTTTTTTTTTCTGGTATCAGGAATTGAACTTACAACCTTGCGCTTGCCAGACAGGTGCTATGCCACTGAGCTATATCCTTGGCCCTTTCTTCATTTTTTGAGACAAGATCTCACTATGTAGTTCAGACTGGCCTTGAACTCACTTTGCAGCCCAAGCTGGCCTCGAACTCACAGCAATCCTTCTGCCTCAGCCTTTTGACTTCTGGGATTACAGGCATGCACCACTGTGCCTGGCTTCCTCTGTCTTCTTCCCATCTATCTATCTATTCATTCATCTAGGCCTTTCCTCCTTTATCATTCCTTCCTGCCTGCCAAGCAGCAGGGATTTGTTGAGGTCTTTTCTTGCCCTTTCTGTGCTGGCCAGGAGGGATAGAGTCAGGCATGGGTGGGTGGTTCCTCAGCCAAATAGAATTACCATATGGTCCAAAAATTCCACTACTAGGGATATACCCAACATAAATTGAAAGCAGGCATTCAAACATATTTGCATGCAAATGTTCTCAGCAGCACTTTCCGCAATAACTCAACGATATTCTAAAAGTCTCTCCATGTATGAATAGGTAAGCAACAAGTGATATTTGTCTTGGCAGTAATTTCATAGATATGGCCCCCAAAGCATAAATGACAAAAACAAAGACAAGACTATACCAAATGAATACACTTCTCCCATCAAAGGAAACAAACAGTAGAGTAAAAAGGCAACCACAGAGGGAAGAAAGTATCCACACATCATAGATTTGTCAAGGGGTTAATCTCCAAAATCTGTAAAGAATTTTTACAACTCAATAGTTTTTTAAAAAAACAACACAAGTAACCTTATTTAAACTGGGCTAAGGACTTCAACAGACAGTTCTTCAAAGCTAACATACAGAGTACCAACAAGTGTATGAAAAACTGTAACTACCCATCAGGGCACTGAAAGTCAAAAGCACAGTCAGACATCACCTCACACCTCTTAGGATGATCACTAAAAGACAACAAATCTGGCCGGGCGTGGTGGTTCATGCCTGTAATCCCAGCACTTGGGAGGCTGAGGCAGGAGGATCCTTGTGAGTTCGAGACCAGCCTGGGCTACAAAGTGAGCTCAAGGCTAGCCTGAACTGCATAGAGAGACCCTATCTCAAAAAGACAAAAAAGAAAAGAAAAAAAGACAACATATGTTGTTGGAGAAATTAGAACCCTTGAAGACTTTGGTGGAACTGTAGAATAGTGTATTATGGAGGCTCCTTCAAAAGTAAAAATAGAACTGCCATATGATCCAGCTACCGCCCTTCTGGATACACATTCCCAACAGCCTTAGGGGCTGAAAAAGACATCAGCACTCCTGTGTTCAATACAGCACTGTTCACAATAACGAAAACGTGGAAACAACTAAATGGTCATGAACAGGAATGGACAGTGAAAATGCGGGCTACACAGAGCCTTTAACAAGAACTTCTGTCATTTGTGAAAACATGGACAAACCTTAAGGGCATTACGGTAAGAGAAATAAATAAGTCGCAGAAAGACAAGTACAGTGCTGTGTAATGCCACCTCTATCAGGTCTCTTGGGACCTTCGAGTACCAGACTCTTAAGTTGCCATTGTTTCCTGCTCTGATATCCCCATGCCTGAGCAATGGGGAACATGCATTTGAAAACAACCACCACTGATCTGGTCGTTTCAAAACCTGTGCACAGGAGGTCATTTACCCCCATTTGCAAAAGGTGCAGCAGCCTGGTTATGGTGATGCGCGTCTGTGACTCCAGCACTCAGGAGGCTGAGGCAGGAGGATCTCTGGGAGTTCAAGGCCAACTGAGCTCCACAGTAAGCTCAAGTCCAGACAAAATTACATAGCAAGGCACTGTCTCAAAAAAAAAAAAAAAAAACAAAAAAAAAAAACAACCAAATATAAATAAATAAAGAACCAGAAAGCCGCCCTAGTAAAAGGCTAAGCAAATCCATTAGTATAGCTGATATTTGGAGCTGGTCCAAAGACCCCGGGACAGTTCCATGGGGTACTGTGGAGCACAGGAAGCCAGAAGCTTGCTCGAATGGACTCACACACCGTTACTGCTCTCCAGGCCTGGGATAGAAGGTGGTCCTTGTTCAGACAGGAATATGGACTTCAGGAAGGAGTCAGAGCAAGAAAACAAGCATGCATCCTTCAGAGACAGAAGTCCCGCTCCTCTTTATGTCTCCCTTTGCAAGAGGGTTCCCCAGGAACAGACAGCCAGGAACTAGGGACTCACCTGCATCTGGCCCAGACTCCCAAGGTGCTGTAGGAACGGCTAGAGGAGGCAAGCCGCCTGCTACTCCTGGAGCCTGGCTCACTGTGCTGGATAGGGACCCAGGTGCTGCCTTCAGGGATGCCGAGCTGTTGCTGTCCACCGCAGGGGTCGTGTGGGCCACATAGCCGAGGGGCATGCCTGGGCAGGAGGGAAACTTTCCTGCCCCATGCCTTCCACCCAGCCTCCTCCTTGTCCACAGCCCGACTGGGACCAGGAGATGGCGGGGGCAGTTAGGGTGCAGAGGGAAGAGGGGGCCTGACCCACCCAGGCCAAGGCCCACCTGAGCACCGCTGACATTTGGGCATCTCTGTCTGGGTTAGGGGTGGCACCCTGTGAACTGTTGCATGTTGAGCAGTGTCCCTGGCCTCTACCTATTCGGACCGGCAGCTCTGCCAGCCCCAGCCGTGACCGTCAAAATGTCTCCCAACACTGCCAATGTCCCCTAAGGGGGCAAAAACTTTCCCACTTGAGAATAATGGATGCAGACCAAGGTTCAGACAGAAAGCTAAGATGGGGGAGCTGGGGAGCCTAGACCATGAGTGTGGGCAGCTGGGGAGAGCCCCGCCTCCAGTCCTTGCCCCTGTGTGCCAGGAGCCTCCCACCCTGCCCCCACTTCCACTGGGCACTCACCATCACACACAGCCCCAGCATCCTCCCGATGGTGACAGTCGTGCTGGCCCCAGGGCCGTGCGGGGCAGAACCGCAAGGCCGTCTCATTTCCCAGACACCGAAGATCATCCAGGATGATGGGGCCAGACCCCTCCCCAAAGAAGGCGCCCCCGGGAGCAGCCAGTGCCGCCCCGCAACCCAGCTCCCTGCAGGCCACGGCGGCATCACGCAGGTCCCAGGCATCATCACACACTGACCCCCAGCGCCCTCCGTGCCAGACCTCCAGGCGGCCAGCGCAGCCATGGGGTCCATCAGCCAGGCGCAGTTTCGGGGCAGGGCCTGGGGAGAGAAGGGCAAGGTCAGGGACAGGAATTTGGGGGACCAGGATGGTGAGCAGGCACTGAAAGCTAAAGGATGGCAGAAGACGCCCATGAAGGGGTCCCCAGTCCCCTGCCAAGTCCCACCCCGTCAGAGCAGAGACTCCAGGGGACAGCTGGACGACAAGGAGAGGCAGTGGCCCAGGCTCCCCGTCAATGCTGCTGTCCTGCCTCAGTCTCCCCCACACCCTAGCCCCTGCTCTGGTTCCCTTCTTTCTGCCTCTGTCCCTTGTTGGCCCACAGAGACAGAGGCCAGGGACCCAGGTGGGGGATGGCACCCCAGCATGCAGAGTGGGGCAGGGGCAAGGACCTGCCCTCAGTGGCCTCCCCAGGCCGAGCCAGCTGGGCCGAGGAAGGCAGGGGAGAGGCCAATGCCCGGCCCTGACCTACCTGTGCAGACCAGCCCGGCGTCCTCAGTGTGGTCGCAGTTGCTCCGGCCCCAGGGGCTTCGGGGACAGTCCCGCAGGGCCTGCTCTCCTCCTCCACAGCCCACATCGTCCATCCACACAGGCCCTGAGCCAGGCCCAAATCGGGCACCCCCAGGGGCAGCCAGCGCCCCCCCGCAGCCCAGCTCCCGGCAGGCTACTGCAGCATCTCGAAGGTCCCATCCGTCGTCACACACAGAGCCCCAGCGGCCACCATGCCAGACCTCCAGGCGGCCGGCACAGCGGTGGGGGCCTGAGACCAGGCGCAGCTGGTCTGGGGGGAGGAGGGAAGGGCGAGAGTGGAGGTGGCAGGGTTCAGGCAGACAGCAGCTCCTCTGGTCCTCAGCTCAGCAGGACCGAGCCTTCTGCAGCCTCCATGCTGGGGGAACAGAGGCCTGAGGGTGCTTACCTTGGCGGGGGGCCCCAGTTGTTAGCAAAGGGGCTCGAGTGGACTTGGCCTGCTTAGGGGGCCGGGGGCTTTTCTTCCGGGGGCCATTCTGGGGGCTCCCAGCTGGGCGGGGGGCTGAGGGGAGACAGCCATAGGTCAGGAGCCAAGCCGTGCACCCTGCCTGTCAGCCAGGAGCTGGATGAAGGTGACAATCTGCTGCTGGGAGGTCAGCACATGTTGTCTCTCCTGGTGGCTTTGGTGGGCAGGTGTGCAGCCCTGTCCTTGGGGCTCACCGTGAGTGATGGGAGGCTCCTCGGAGGCGGGGCTCAGCTCTGCAGACATCACCGGCCACAGCTCCCCATCCAGCGGGGAGGTGGAGTCATCCCGGGAGTCTGCCACCCGCTGACCTATCAAGGGGGAGACCAGAGCAGGGTCATGATGGGTCCCTGACAGGCACAGGGCTGGCCCCAGGAATAACCGACGGAGGGTTGGGTGCCCAAAGGTAGAAACTCCTGCCTTTAGAGGGGCGGCACAGCTCAGACCAAAGGGGATCAAGGACTCAGGCTTCTGGGGTCCCCTCTGGGGAGTGCCGAGGGGCCTCACCTGCACAGACCACACCTGCATCCTCCTCATGTGAGCAGATATGGGCCTTCCAGCCACGGTGAGGACAGAGGCCCAGCCGTCCCTCTCGGCCCTGGCAAGCCAGCTCACTGAGCCACACAGGGCCTGTGCCCTCCCCAAAGAAGGCGCCCCCAGGAGCAGCCAGTGCCCCCCCACAGCCGAGCTCCCGGCAGGCCACTGTGGCATCACGCAGGTCCCATCCGTCGTCACACACGGTGCCCCAACGGCCGCCATACCAGACCTCCAGTCGGCCGGCACAGCTGTGTGGACCATCAGTCAGGCGCAGCCGCTCTGGGGGTGGAGGAGAGGTGTGGTCCCAGCTGGGGGCCCTGGTGAGGCCAGGGACCAGGTGACAGCAGGGCTAGGGCTGTCCAGTAGGGTGCGTCAGGACACCAACACACTGGGTCAGACTTCGGGGTGCTCACAGGGGACTGTCCACAGATGTGGCCCCGAGGGGCTGGGAACAGTAGTCCAGGTCCCAGAAGAGCAGGGGCAGCCCAGGGCCAGGCAGGGGAGCAGGATGAGGCCAGGGGTGGCGGGCGGGGAGAACAGGGACACTTACCCACTGCCTGGATCCCCACCAGTGCTACTGCAAAGGAGATGAGAGGCAGCGCGAGCACACAGATGCCTCCAGCCTGAGTGGAACCCAGCTGAGGAGGCGCAGCTCCTGGCAGATAGAGCCTCAAAGTTGGGCTGGGGACCAGGGTGGGTGGTGCAGGGGGGCAGGGTCAGGGCTGGGGCAGGCAGGGTCAGGTCCCTGGAGTGCTAAGAGGTGGGGTCAGGGCACCCAGGAGCTGCATCCAAGAGCCAGGCAGGCAGTACGCTGTCAGGGTGTCTCAAAGTTGCAGGGAGCAGCTCCCAGAAGACAGGGGCCGCAGGTCAGCAGGGGTCACTCACCGAGGAGGCAGGCCAGGACCCTCATGGGGGCACAAAAAGGGGAAGGACAGAGGCAGCGCCCAGCAAGGCGCCTGGGACCTACGGAGGAGCAGGCAGGGCTGGAGGCTTTGCCAGGAGGGAGAACGGCTGCGGGAAGCGAAGGGAAAAGGCCAGGGAGGGGCCGGCCGAGTTTTGGCCAAGGCCTGGGGAGGAGGGAGGTGTCCAGCTGCAGACACCCACCCGAGGGGAGGAGGGGAGGCGAGTCGCAGAGCTGGGAGACGCTGGGGGTAGCAGGCGCCGGCCCCTCTTGTCTAGCTAGGGAAGCACAGCTGGGAGCAGCAGCAGGGGGTACTTTTGGGTCAGGAGAGGCGCTGGGGAGCCTGGGCTTGCAGACACCCCCAGCCCAGAGGTTTGCGGAGTCCCCCACTGTGTCCCTATGGAGGGGTGGCAGCGGAGTTCCCAGAAAGGGGGATACTTCCAAGGGTCAGGCTGGGGGAGGGGGCCACACACGTGTGTTCCACACCAGCCAGCTGTGAGGGAAAAAATTCGGTAATGAGGAGCATGATGACTCAGAAAGCCTGGCAGGGCCCAGGCGGCCCCTGAGCTCTTGAGTGCCTGCCTCCCCTCTCCCGCCTGCTGCAGCACCCCCACCGCCCCTGCAATTAATGTCAAAGGGGGAGGAGAAGCCAGACAGAAGGGCGGAGGAGGTCGGAGTCGCACTGGAAAAGGCATCAGAGAGGAGACACCGCGGTTCCAGGCTTTATTTAACAAATGGGTGTAAAAAAACAGATGGGACTGCAGTCCTGTACCCACCAGCCCCGCCTGGCTCCCATGGAGTCTGGCCCCTTGGGCCCCTCGCTCCGAGCAAGTATGTCCCTCGAGGGCCCTGTGGGTCCAGGCCAGGCAGACCAGGGAGTCCTCCCCGTGTACACGGAATGACAGGAAGCAGGGCTCGAGAGGGCCCTCAGCTCAGAGGCTGCACGCAGGCTGGGTCTTGGCATTCTCAGACCTCTCTGTGCCCTGAGCCCGCTGCAGCAGTGCTGGACACACAGCAGACACCACTCCCTTGCTTCCTGGGTCATCGCTCGATGCTGCCTCCCTCCTACTCTCAGCCTCCCTGGGTCACAGGTCTTTGCTGAACTCCCTCACCAGGGTGTAGCCCATGCAGCCCCAGCCGCCCTCAGCCTGGTAGCCACAGCCCTCCAGCAGCCCAACGGCCCCCCAAGCAGCCACGGCCACTGGGACCACGAGCCGGGCCCGGGGCTCCCCTGTGCCGCCTGCCCAGGCTCTGGCCCGGGCCTCAGCAAAAGCCAGCAGCCTCCTACCCACACCCCGGCGGCGGTGCCAGCGAGAGACAGAGAGGCGGGTGACCCGGGCTCCATCCCCTGAGTTAGCGCCAGGGGCCAAGGCAAGGACCCCACACACGTCCCCAGAGCCCCGCACAGCCACCCAGGGGCCCCCCAGGCCGGCGGGCGGAGGCAGAGAGCCCCAGCGGGCTCGCAGGCCCAACTTCACCGCAGCCACCGCCAGGAACACGGGTAGCAGGAGGGCCAGGGCAAAGGAGGCCAGGACGAAGCGCAGGCCACTGCTTGCCGCTGCCAGGAGCAGCAGGGCTGGGGGTCGAGTGAGAGCATGGAGAGCCACGCGGTTTTCTGTGTCCTTCACGCCAGCCTGTGGGCAGGGGGCGTGGGGTCACCGTCCAGCTGGCCAGAGCCCCAGGGAGAGGGGCAGAGGCAGGCAGGGGGGGCGCACACGGGGGTTGAGTAGGCGGCAGGGGTGTGGCCCAGAGAGGAGAAAGTCAGGAGCTGTGGGGGCGCCCGCGGTGAGGAGCAAGGGGAAGAACCGGGACGCCATAGGCCGGGCTCAGGAGGGGCGGGAGGCAGGGCAGCTCTTCAGCTGTCTGCGGGGTAAACTGAGAGGGCACTGATGCTGTGACCGCGGGGCAGCGGCGCGCACCCCTCCATCTGTTAAGGGCCAGTGGGCTGGGGTGCAGGCAGGTAAGGCGCCCCGGAGGGAAAGACCCTTGGAGGTGCCCTCCAGGGGTCTCAGCTGACTTGGGGCGTGGCTGAGACCGCTTGCAGCGCCCCACTGCATCCCAACGCTCACCTTCAGCATCTCCAGCACCAGGGGCTTCTCATCTTCCCTCATCTCCCGCACGGACAGGTGGCTGGGGGCCATAGCAGCCCCCAGGCCGCCGCCCACCCCCCAGGGAGCTGGCTGCACCTGGGGAAAACACGCAGGTCAGTGTCAGGTGGACACTTTTATTCCAGAGGTCCTCAAAGGATTTTCCAGTCACGACACCTTGGCCAGTAGTGAGATGACCCCCACCCCATATCCAGCGCTCTTCCCAGCCTCTCCCATCCTCTTTCCCTGCGACCTCCGACCTCCCCGAAATGCCACGGACTTGACACCTCGCTGCACTGCCCCAGCGCCAGGGCTGCCTGGACGCACCACCCCTCCGCACACACTCCTCGCCCTGCCGCAGCCCCCCACTGCCCGCGCTCGCCCCCCAGCCCCACCACGCAGAGGCGGAGCCTGCGGGCACCTCCAAGGGTCGCTTCGATTCTTTGACCAGGTGTGGGGGACACAGGGTCCAGAGGGGGTCGCTGGCGGAAGTGACGTGAAGACTGGCGCGCAAAGGCGGGGCTGAGCCAGTTCTCGGCCTTAGCAACTGTTGCCAAGTTTCCCCAGCCGGGAGCCAGCCGCAAGAGACCCACGCAGGGCTCAGTGGGAAAACCTCTCAGGCCCCTGGAGGAGGCGTAATGGGGAAAGGTGGCTGCCCGGGACTCTGGGCGGAGCAGTACTCACCCGGCCCGTGAAGATCCCTTCCCAGCAGAGGTGGTGGCAAAGTGAGGGCCGAGTTTCCTTGGCGCCTGGACCTGTTCGGAGGGTCCAGGCAGCAGGCTCGCCGGGCAGCCCCAGGGACCTCCACCCGACTCCGCTGCGCCGGGGCCGGGTGTCCTTCTCCACCCCACTCCACTAAGATAAGAATCTCTCCCTACCAGTTTTCCAGACTAAGGCAGGGACGTAATAATTTAGCGCGACCAAATGCCAGAACCCGGACTGCGATTCCAGTGCCTTCCCGCCATAGTGACCACGGCATCACACGCCCATCTCTTTAAAAAAGACAGGGCTGCTGTCCTATAGAAACAACTGACCCAAGATTCCAAATACAAGCAAGTCACCTGCGAGTCAGAAAGCAAGACTAGACTCCAATCGCCCAGGTGGGGCCATCCCATCACTGTCTCCTTCCCCCTCCCCTCCAAAAAAAACAAAGCAAAAGAGGCGTCCGAGTCTTTATTAGCAGTTTCCTTTCTGCTGGGCAGACCCCAGCCCGACCAAAGCAGTGAGTTGGAGCCTTGGGGTTGGGCGGCTCTCCTCAAAACGTGTGCACCAGCTGGACAGCAGGCAGCGTCTGCACGATCTGGATGGAAGGCAGGGCCTGCGGACCCATGACCCCCGGCCCGGCCCCTGCGGGAAGCACTTGTACCACCTGTGAGGCAGGGGCTGTGGGAACCGCTGCCGGGACGGAGACTGGACAAGGAACTGCGGGGGCCAGGAGCTGAAGTGTGGCGGTGCCTCCCCCCACACCACTGCTGTCTAGCAGCTCGGCAGCAGGGGCACTTCGGATGATGAGCAGCTTCTGTCCAGGGGGAGCCGAGGCAGGTGGCTCCGTCAGCCCTGAGGCAAGAGTTTCTACCTCCTGCACACACAGCCGAGTCTGCTCCCCATCAGCCCCGCTCAGCACCAGCACACTCTGCAACCCCTCCTCTGTCTGCAGCGTCTCAAAGACCACATCCTGCACCATGCCCGCACTGGCCTCGACATCCCCAGGCTCTACAGCCCCTGGGGCTGCAAGCAGCTCCTCTGCTGCCTCACTCTGTACTACCAACAGGTTGGAGGCCTCAGTGGTTACTGCTCCTCCACTGGAGTTGGGCAGCTGGCCTGCCAAGGACTGGAGCTGGACTGTGGTCACTTCCTGGGCTGGCTGGAGCTGGACTGTGGTCACTTCCTGTGCAGGCTGAAGCTGGACTGTGGTCATTTCCTGGGCCGGCTGGAGCTGGACTCCACTAACTTCCTGAGTCCCTATATCTCCACTCCCTACATTCTGCAGGACAATGAGGCTCTGCCCTACCCCACTGGCCCCCACACCACCCCCTCCCTGCACCCCTAGGCCCCCAGGTCCTGGCAGCCAAACTACTCCAGTGCCCTGACCAGCTTTTCCTACAACCCGAGAGCTCTGCTGGGTTTGGCCAGCCCCTGCACCCGGGGAGGGCAGCAGGATGAGCTTAGGGGGTACAGGTGGTGGTGGAGGGGGCGGTGGTTGGACACTGCTGGGGATCAGCTGAAGGCCCTGGGCTGTCTGCACCAAGAGAAAGGTCTGGGAGTTGGGTGCCGCTGGGCCTGGTGGCTGGGCCTGAGCTGTGCCGCCTGCCACCTCCAGGGAAAGTGTGGCCTGGAGGTGGGGCAGCACGTGGACATCCTGGGTGGCCAGCGGAGCAGGAGCAGCAGCCAGTAAGGCTGGGGTATGGGCGCTGGTGGCGGGGACCACAGCGGCAGCCTGGGAAGGAGCATGCGTCCTCATGTGCCGCTGCAAGTAGGCAGCCATGACGAAGCCACGGCCGCACATGGGGCAGGCGAAGGGGCGCTCGGCGGAGTGCGTGCGCTGGTGCAGCAGCAGGTTGGATGAGTGCGTGAAGGTCTTGGGGCAGAGCGGGCAGCGAAAGGGGCGCTCACCCGTGTGCACGCGCTGGTGCTGCCGCAGGTTAGAGGTCTGTGCAAAGCTCTTGCCACACACGCTACACGCGTGAGGCCGCTCGCCCGTGTGCACGTGGCGGTGGCGCCGTAGGCACGAGGTGTTGCGGAAGGCCTTGCCACACTCGCCACACTGGTAGGGCCGCTCGCCCGAGTGCAACCGCAGGTGGTACTGGTAGTGCGACGACCACTTGAAAGTGAGACCGCACTGGCCGCAGGTGAAGGCGCGCAGGCCTGTGTGCACACGCTGATGGATGGCCAGGAGCGAGGAGCGCTTGAAGGCCTTGCCACACTCACCACACTGGTAGGGCCGCTCGCCCGTGTGGTCCCGCAGGTGGTAGCGAAGCCCCGATGATCCCTTGAAGGCCTTGCCACACTCGGCGCACTTGTAGGGCCGCTCTGCCGAGGCCGGGGCAGGCAGCAGCGGGGCAGGTGCAGCCGGTGCCAGGGGCTCCTGAGGACAGGTGACCTCAGCCGCCTCGGCCTGCGGGGGCGGGCGCCCGGCCGCTGCCTCCTCCACGTGGCTCTGCTGGTGCGCCAGGAGGCTGGCCAGCTGCGGGAAGGCGCCGTCGCAGCTGCCACAGCGGAAGGCCTGGCCCCCGGCCACCCTGTGGCTGTGCTGGTGGCGGGAGAGGCCGGTCAAAGTGCGGAAGGTCTTCCCGCACGGAAGGCAGCTGAAGACTGGGCCTGAAGCCGCAACGGCGGGAGGGGGCTGAGGCAGGGGCAAAGGCAGTGGGGACAGCGATGCTGGCGGCTCAGGTGGGGCGGGCTCCGCAGCTGGGGCGGCCAGGGGCGGGGCAGCAGGCCCGGGGCATGGCTGATGCTCCAGGAGCAGCTCCTCGCTGCCGAAACCCTGCTCGCAGCCTTCGCAGCGCAGCACCAGCTCCACAGTTGTCTCTGCTGCAGCCAGAAAGAGCTCAGGCACCACAGGGGGCAGTGGGGGAGGAGGGACAGGGGGCGCCGGTGGGCTGCGGGGCGGCAGGGGCCGCTGCAGATAGCTGTCAGTCTCGAGACCTGGGCCCACTCCGAAGGACTCTTGGGGCACAGGCGGGGCCGTGGCGCAGCCAGGCACTGCGGGGCCATGTGTGCGCTGGTGCAGCAGGAGGTTGGACGAGTGCGTGAAGGTCTTGGGGCAGAGCGGGCAGCGGAAGGGGCGCTCGCCCGTGTGCACGCGCTGGTGCTGCCGCAGGTTGGTGCTCTGTGTGAAGCTCTTGCCACACACGCCACATGCATAGGGCCGCTCACCCGTGTGCACATGGCGGTGGCGCCGCAGGCTGGAGGAGTTCTTGAAGGCCTTGGGGCAGTCTGGGCACGGGTAAGGCCGCTCGCCTGTGTGCTGCCGAAGGTGGTACTGGTAGTGCGAGGACCACTTGAAGGCCAGGCCACACTGGCCGCAGGTGAAGGCGCGCAGGCCTGTGTGCACGCTGCGGTGGATCTGCAGCAGTGACGAGCGCTTGAAGGCCTTGGGACAGTCTGGGCACTGGTAGGGCCGCTCGCCCGTGTGGCCGCGCTGGTGGTAGAGCAGTGCTGAGGAGCCCTTAAAGGCCTTCGGGCAGTCTGGGCACTTGTAGGGCCGCTCTCCGGTGTGTGTGCGCTGGTGATGCAGGAGCCTGGATGACCACCTGAAGGACTTCCCACATTCCCCACACTCGTACTGGGCAGCTGGCGTGGGAGCTGCCGGGGCCAGCTTCTCCCCGGGCCCCTCGGCGGTAGAGGCGGGCGCCATGTCTGCCTGCGAGCCAACCATCACACCTGGGGGCAGGACCTTGGGTCAGGGTGGGCAGCTGGGCTGGAGGGACACTTTGACCGCAGGGTACCTGCCTTTGAGGTCGGGGAGGAGGAGAGTGGCCCAGAGGAGACCTTCAGGGCTTTCACAGAAACTGCCCAGCAAAAAGGACCTGCTGCTCAGTCCCTGGGCACCCAGGCTGTTCCATGCCCCCAGACCCCATGAGAAGGCCAGGGTGACCTCTAAGAGGACTGAGCTCTCTTAAAGCTCCTGACTTTCTTCCTCATCCCCCATCGTGGCAGGCATGGCATGGCACATCTGTAATTCTGCACTCGGGAGGCTGAAGCAGGAGGATCTTGAGTTCAAGGCCAGCCTGGGCTATTAGGGAGTTCAAGGCCACCCTGGACTACACAGTGAGACCCTGTCTCAAAAAACCAGAAAACATTTTTGAATAGTTTTGAAAAGACCTTATCCCCAACCCCACCTCACCACTTATTTCCCATCACACCCTAAAGCAGTAGTAGTGACCCCATGGCACCCATGCCAGTCACTGAGAAGGTAAAAGCAATCAGAAATGTTGGCACATTCCTGTAATGCCAGGGTCTCTCAGCTGGCATAACCCCCACCCCAGGGGTAGCAGGTGATGCCTAGAAAAGCGGAGGCTCCTGGTACCTGGTGAGTGTCTCCACGTTGGGCAGTGCCCAGCACAGTCCTCCACAGGAGAACCCAGTCCGAAGTGGATGGAAAGCTGCACCCCCTTCCCAGGGGCCTGCCCCGTGCCTCTGGACCCCCTCCAGGACTTCGAGCTTCCCAGGATCTCCCTGGGGTCCCCTAGCACACCCACATCTTCTCAGAGGAACTGCTGGGAGTGACCCCCGCCTGTGATCCTAGTTACTCCGAGGCTGAGGGAGGAGGAGAGAATGTATGCCTAGCCTGGGCAATTCAGTAAGACCTCATCTGAAAATAAAAAGGTCTGAGGATGTAGCTCAGCAGCACAGAGCTTCCCACAGTGCACCTGTCCCTGAATTCAGCCCCCAGCAATCAAAACAACTATACTCTGTGTCCCCATGCGGCCAGGATTTTCCTGCTCTCTATCCCTTTGGGACAAAGTGGCTCCCTGCTGCCACAGCCCAGCATCCACAATGGCACCCACTCCAACAGTAATGTGGCCAAAAGCTAGGTGCAGTTTTCTGATTCTGTCTCCCTATCAAAAATTTAAAACCCAAAGGCTGAGGCAGGGGAATCCTCTGCAAGTCTAAGTCCAGCCTGAACTGCATAGTGAGGCCCTGTCTCAAAAAGACAAAATTGTAACTCTACTCAACTGGTCTTCTTTGAAAACAGGAAGTAGGATTCTTCCCTCAGGCACCATGTCTGCCTGCCTCCTTCCCAAAGGCCCTGCCCACTTCGCTACCTCTTCACTCTGTATGATCAAACGCCAAAGGGGGGGTGGGGGTGAGGCAGGTGTTTAGCTCAGCCGCGTAAGGGCCTGTTGGGCCTGTCCCACAAGCCCAAGGTTGCAAGTTCAATCTCCGGTACAAAAAAAAGGAACAAAAACAAAACTATATATATATATAAAATCAGGCGTGCCAGGACAGCCCCAGTTTTGCTCAGACTGCAGTCACAAGCCGGGCATTTCTCCTAAGGCTGAAGGCCCTGCTACCTCTGCCCTGGGCAGCTGCAGTGTCTCCCCAGCAGATCGCCATGTGTCCACTGTGTCTGTTCTCAGGATGGACAAGGGGGCCGTCAGGAAAGACCAGAAGCCATGTCATTCTTCGGCTGCAAAGCATCCCGCAGATCCGGTTCTGGGCAGAGCCTGTGGTTTCCTGAGGCCTACAGCTCATCCCTTCCCATCCTGGCCAACTGCCTCCAAGCCCAGCAGGACAGACTGTGTCCCTCTCTCCACATCCTCAGCTCCCCAATCTTCCCTGCGAACTATTCAGCGAGCCCTCCTCCTCCTGCGCGCCACCTGACTCTGCAGGCCTTCCAGCTCTCCATCCTCTCCCCGACTCCATTCTGCAAAGTGCTCATCACTGCCTAAGCACCATACAGCGAGGAGCCAACCCTTCCTTGTCAGAGGGGTTCCCCCCTCTTCCCACGTTGAGCAGTGGCCCTCAACTCCACCCACACCCCTGAAGCGTGGCAGCAGCAGACTGAGCCCTGGCTAGGAATCCCTGTGTTCACTCCAGCACTGTTGCCCTTGGGGAACATCATCGCCCCCAGGGACAAGGCTACCATCCAACACTCCTACTCTGTTTGACGCTGCCTCCCCAGGCAGGGTAGTCAGCGCCACGCAACGGGCTTCCGGTCTGTCCACTGTGTTATGTTGGCCCCTACATAGCCTAGGGCGCTGTTGACACAGCCGGCCCTAAGGATTTTTCCTTTCAAAGATGTGCTTTCCTCGCAAGTGTGAGCAGCTCCTCGTAATGGATCTGCACTGCCTCTAAGAAGCGGTCATCGCCTTTGCACGAGATGTACGCGCTCCTGCGTGGCAAGGGCCCATCCCAGGCCTAGGAGCAGACCGCACTCTGTTTAAAAGGATGCGCCGGCCGCACACCCATCTCCACCTTTGTTCAGACAAACCAGGGGTCGCATCGCAGCCGCTAAGAGTCTGAAGTTTCCCCTTGGATGTCTGGGAAACTGTCACTGGCTTCCAAGGAAATAACCCCGGAGGAGGAGGAAAAGAGGGAAGCTTTGTAAAATGTGCACCCTGCCACGCCCTCTAAACGCAGGCCCTTGCCCTTTAAGAGGGCGGAGCCGGGGCGGCGTGCAGAAATCGGAGAAACAGCTACCTCCCCTTTAAGGCGCCCCTTCCGGTTTCAAGCTCACCGTTTCCCAAAATGCTCCGCCCCCCGGCCCGGCCCCTCCCCCCGCGCGCCCTCCGGTTTCTCACCTGCGGCCCCGGTCGGGGGAACCTGAGGAAGCCCCCGGGCTTCGCCGCGGGGACCGACGGGAAGGTGGGCTGGCAAGCAGCGGCGGCAGCGAGGGCCGGGGAGGGGCGGGGGCTCGCGCCCTCCCGGCGGCCCCGGCGCGAGGCACCCAACCTTTATCGGCGGCCGCTTGCGCACACAACCCCGACGTCGCCTCGCGTCATGACGCACCCACGCGCGGCCCCGCCCCGCCCACTGGCCTGCGGCCTGGAGCTTTACCTGCGTTGGATTTCGTGTAGGGGAAGTAGGGCGCCCCTGGCTTCTTCTCCCGCCTGTAGTGCACCGGGTTCCACAGGCGCTAAGGAGAGAGCCCCGCCCACGCAGGTGGGGTTCTCAGTGACGCCCAGTCTGGCTTCCAACCATCCTCCTGCCACGACCTCTTTGCAATTTTAACGTTGTACTTTGTCTTTTTGAGACAAGGTCTCGCTATGCAGTTCAGGAGCGGCTCGTTTTATAGCCCAGGCTGGTCTCGAACTCACAATAATCCTTCTGCCTCAGCCTCCCCAGTGCTGGGGTCATAGGCGTGCACCACCACACCTAGCTAAAATTTGTACTTTTAAAACAACTGAAAAAAACGAAAAAAAAAAAAAGACAACTGTAGCTTCAGTACACAATGGTTTCTGAATGCGTTCTCGTTTCCCTTCCAGCCAACTCCAAAGTTCTTAAGAGTCTGAAAAGATACAGTTAAAGAAAAATACAGTACTACAGTACGCATAAGTGGGCCTGCCTTTCTCCTGTAATTTGGGCCGAGCATATGCTTACCTTCCAGCACTGTAGATGCAGAAATTCCACCTGCAAGAAATGGCACTCGACTGGATACCCTCTCTCTCAACTTTAAACTCTTGTGAATGTCTTGAATTCTAACCTAGCCTACTACAGTGGCCAGACAGACTCGGAATGTACACACCCTAGATGATGTACTTGGGGTCACCCCCAGAACCATGCCTACCTACCCCAGCCCTGGACTGCAGTGTCTCATCCAAGTGTCAGTTCCCGCATGTGTGCTCCTTTGATTCCATTCATTGAAGCTCCCCTCGCCAACACTGCTGCACCCTGAAATATTTCCCAGTGGAAAATGAACCATTGTTGTGTTTGAGAGGGCGAGCTGAGGTCCCTTTCTCTGGGGACCTCCCCACCTACTGACAGTTACACTCCCTGAGGCTCTGCTATCTTGTCCCTTTCTCCCGGCCCTCCCCTGCCCACCGATCCTGGAAAGAGCTGTGCTCCTGCACCAGGCTGGGCACCAGGTCTTGCTCAGCTTGGCAATCTCTTTGCTTGTGACAGGGCAGACCTGATCTGTCCTTGCCACCTGAGTGACCCCACAGCCAGCCTGTGGCTGATACGAGGCAGTCAGTGTTTTTGTTGGAATAGTGACTTTTCACAGGCTCTTAGGCACAGTCTTAGGGTGGCCTGGGCAGGCTGGGGTTCTGGAACAGTCCGTGCCCTGAGATCTTAGGTCTCTTTTGACACCTGCAGTGAATTCCTACAGGGAAAACCCTCCAGCTCTGTCTACACAGGGCTTTCACTTGGGCTCTTGCAGGAAGATAGCCTCCTCACAGATAGGGAAGCTGGTGTGATCCCTGCCCCTCAGGCTGCTTGGGTCCCTCCAGTCTCAGCCCTCTGGGGTCTTCAACAGTGAGAAACTCCGGGCTCAGCTTCGAGGTTCTCTACCTTCCACAGGAGTTGGGCTGGGCTGCCTACTCAGCACACCTCACTTTGGGGCTGGGAGTGGACCAAAATCCGGGCTTCAGTGGCCTTGAGTAGCTGGGAGGGCACTGGAGAGGCTGTGCACACTCCACACAAAGCACCCTGGGGTGCAAGTGACAGGAGTAGCTGGGGCAGCCTGCCTAGGCCTGGACCAGAACAGGAGGGCAGGGCATCTGACCCATGCCCCTCGAGCCTCCCCTGAAGACTCTTGTTACTCCTCAAGGGGTGTCACTGGGTTCCTCAGTAAACTGAGGACAAAGGAGCCCAAGACAGGATCCTGTGAAATGAGCCAGGTGTCCCTCCAAAGCCTGGGGGCGCCAATGCAGGCCTGCAGGATGCAGCCAAGTGGGCAGAAGCACAACCACAGACGGAGGAGGTAGGTGCAAAGCAGTTTATTTAAAAGACAGACAGGCCTGGAAGTAGAGGTCCCACAGCCTGCCAGGAGGGGCCCACAGCACAGGGCAGTGGTGGTGTACCTGTGGCAGCTGCACACGGAGCCCTTTCTGTCACACTCAAGCCAGGTCACCCCTGCTCAGGTACCTGCACCCATGCACCTGCTGGACTGCTCTGAGAGTAAAAGTGTTGCCAGGTGACAGCACCCCAAGCAGTTTGAACGTTGGGTCTCTAAATTCACCAACACTGGACTGGGGGCTTTTAGAGGGTTTAGAAGGGAGTATGGGCTGTTGTGTAAACAACGTATTTCTACCCTCTGGGAGACGACATACTTTTGCTGGTATTTATTTAATTTTTGCCTTACTTATTTTGTCTTTTTGAGATGGAGTCTCACTATGCAGATCAGCCTGGCCTTGAGCTCACTTTGCAGCCCACGCTGGTCCCAACATCCTCCTGCCTCCAACTCCAGAGTGCTGGGATTACAGGTGTGACCAACCCTGCCCAGTTTTATTTTGCTTTTGAGACAGACTCTCACTGTGTAGCCCAAACTGGCCTTCAATTTTCTGGGATCCTCCTGCCCCAGCCTCCTGAGTGTTGTGATTACAGGCATGTAGCACCACACCCAGCTAGAGACTGCATACTTTTCAGGGTCTCTGTCCAAATTGGGCCTTTACCCTCAAGCCATTGTCCTGCCTGGTCACACTGGGGAGATGACACATACCCACAGGACACCTGGAAGATCTGGGAGATCAGGAGGAGGAGGGGTGACTTAGACTCAGGCTGGTCACACTTGCAACCCTCCTGCCTCAGCCTCCCAGAATGCTAGGATTATGGGGTATACCCCCACGCCCACCTGACTAGATTCTTCTCTAACATGAGTACCCCGTTTAGTTTCACCCAGTGCTCTTCACACACTGTGCCCATGTTTACAGTGTGATACGCAAAGGCAAAACCAGCACAAGTCTTTGTCTTTCTTCACCATTCCATGGGTAGGAGATATTTTCCTCACCAAATCCTAAGCACTCACTCGGCTCTTCCTTACAGGGACAGCGACAGCGTCAGCCTCTCCCAGTGGAGGAAGCACCCGGTGGCTTCTCTGGCCCCTCCCCATCCTGAGCTGTAAAACAAGGGCTGGGATATAAGCACTTAGGTGATACGGTGACAGTCAGGTCCCCGCTGAGATGGCTGCTAGGTGATATCCAGGGGTGGGAATGCCAGACCAAGGGAGGACTGGGAATAGCACAAGATTTAAGACCATCGTGCTGTTTACTCTGGGGGTTTCCCGTGTTGCTTTGCAGGCCACAGAGGCTGCCTGTGACTGGACTGTGCAAGGAGAGTGTTTGGATGTGTGTCTGTCTGCCTCCACTGTGTCTGTCAGTCGGTTGGTTTGGTTTGGCAGCAATGGGGATTGCACTGAGTTACATCTCCAGCCCTTGGTCGTTGTTGCTGCTGCTGCTGTTTTAATTTTTTTTTTTCAGAGACAATCTCACTAAGTTGTTAAGTAGTAAGACTGGGTTCAAACTCACCATCCTCCTGCCTCGGCCTCCCAGAGTGCTGTGATAACAGGTGTGTACCACCACATCTGGGTCCCAGAGCATGCCTGGCCTGCAGATCACAGGACAGTTGACACCTACTCAGAGGGCCTCTGCCCAAAGCCACCCCAGCCTGCCCTGCCTGGCTCTATATGCCTGCATTGGTTTGGTGCCCTCCCTGTGCCCGCCAGTGCTTCCTTTCCAGGCACCTCCTGCCGTCTTGCTCACCTCTGTACTCTCCACTGTGCACACAGTAGCAGTTCAAACCGGATGAGGGGGTAATTCCAGCCCTCGGAGGCTGAGGCAGGAGGATCATCACGAGTTTGGGGCCAGCCTAGACTCTTAGCTCAAAGCCCTGTTTTCAAAACAAAACAAAACAAAACACACAGCTGTTCAGTCTATGTTTGCTGAATGACCAGATCCAGTCCCACAGCTCCAGGCGAGGCTGGGATTGAAACAAAGAAGCTAGGGCATCCCGGCTGAGAAACTTCGGACCCTTGGAACAGGGCTTTAGTACCCTGAGGCTGGGCCTAGGCTCCCAGCACCGCAGGCACCCGCATGCCCCCTGGTGGAGCAACCCGAGGCCTGCGCCTGGCACCACCCTTGGGAGCCACCTGGCCTGGCGGGGCTCCAGGGGTGAGAAGCCCGGTCTGCACTCCAGCAGGGCCTGCAGAGGTCGTGCCCTGATCCTGTGCCCTCCATTTCTCTAGAGACCTGGGGTCCGAGCCTCAGCCCCTGGCCTGAGACGCAGAGGGGGAGTCAAGAATGCACCTGGCAGGTGGGCGACAGTCAGAGACAATAAACAAAGAAACCGGTCACCTCAGCATTTTGGGAGGCCAAGGCAGGAGGGTTGCAAATTTGAGTCCAGGTTGGGCAACTCAGTGACTTAAGAGACCATGTCTCAAAATTAAGAAATGAGAGGCTGGGGTGTATACTCAGTGCAAAGGCCCTGGGTTCACTCCTCAGTACCAAAGAAAGAAGAAAAGTCTCTTCCCTCCCTCACTAGCACAAAAAAGAAGAAATTTCTCCCCTCTCTCACAAGCATCTGAGCCGAGCGGCCCACAGTGAAGTGCCTTGGGGAGCCCCGTGCCCCACCACCCTCTCCACCTACCCCACCTGGCTCTTTCCCCTGCAAGAACCTCAGAATTTGGTAGTTGCCCCAAAGCCACCCCCCCCCAACGCTGGCTAGAGACCTTGGGCCTCAGTTTCCCCTAAAGGTCTGGGCCCGCAGCCGGGTTGGGTGGGGTGAGTCCCAGCGGCCTGTCCCCTCCCCCACCCCTCCATGGCCGCTCTCCGCTAGCAGCCAGCACCTGTCCTTCCCGATGCCAATTAAGAGTCCTCCACATAATCGCTGCGGTTGACTGAGGCTGTCGGGCTGCTGCAGGCCTTTGTCCCTTAATTGGCCACCTCCGGCACTGCGCGCCCCACCCACCTCAGTTCAATATCCCAGCTCCAGCTATGTGCTAATTGCCCCTGGGCTAATAGGCCAGCCCCACCGCGGCCGCCTGTATCAGCCTCACCTGGCAGCCGGGCCCCTCTACAGTGCAGGTCCCAGGGACTGGGGCCCCTTGCGGCCAGCAGGGACCCGGAGCACCCCGGCCATGCACCCCGGAGCCCCCGCAGGCCCTGGGGTCTCAGAGCCCGGCCCCCTCGAGCTGTGTGCCTTCGTGAGTGGGGCGGCTGCACACATGCTGCGGGCCCTGCAGCCCCGACGTTCCCGGACCTCCAAGAGAAGGCCCAACCACCGGAGATTCCTGCACAACCAGATCTGCAGGTGCGACCGAGTGCGCGGGGCAGGGGGAGTCCTGAGGTCCTACGGGGGATGGGTGGTAAGGAACCCCCTTGACTCAGTGCCACAGCGAACCCGGGCAAGAGGCCGAGAGAAAAGGCCGATTGCTCTCCGGGCTACACGGTCATGAAACACCAGACTTGGCTGTGCGTGGGGACCTGCAGGGCAGGGAGCAGGGCTGCTACAGCACCGGGGTTTCTTTTTGGGGTGATGGAAAGTTCTGGAGCTAATTAGAGGGGTGGTTGCACAACATCGAGAATATACTAAATGACACTGAATTAACTGCCCAGTTTAGAATGTTTTATGTGTATTTTAGCCCAAGTTTTAAAACATACACAGGTGTACGCCTGTATGTAATCCCAGCACTCAGGAGGCTGAAGCAGTAGGACTGCCCTATAGAAGACTATGTTAACAAGTTCTGTGAGCTGTGGCGAAGGCGAATGCTGGAGAGAGGCAAATGCTGGAGAGAGGAGGCACTGTGGGGCGGTGTCCCAGGGGAGGTGAGTGAGGAAACCCAGAAATGGCCTGGGGGTCAGTCAGCAAGGAGCTTTCGGCTGGAGCAGGGAGGATGCCTGGTGGGAAGGCAGAAGCTGTAGGGCCCAGCCCAGGTTGACCAGGGCTGGGAGATGACCTGGCCCCAGCAGCCTTTCTTGCCCCCCCAACTGGCACTACCGGGGGATCCCCAGTGCCCTTGGGTCCTCCAGGGAGTCTCGCCATCCACCTACCCATGCTGCTCCCCACTGTGAGCCCCAGGCCTCCTGTCCACCCCTCCCCCATATGCTCCCTCCCCAGGGGTCAGCGACCCGCTCCACGCTGTACGCTGGGTCACCTGCTAAAGCTCCACCATCTGCTGCATCATTTTGTCTCCCAGGAAACCCCTTCCCTCAGGGAGACTCTGCCTCGGTCTCTGCATCACAACCAGGAGGTTCAGAGAGGCTCAGGCAGGGACCAACGGAGGCTGTACAGCTAGCAAGAGAAGGCAGCACAAGCGGTCTCACGACCCGCACGTGTGACCCAGGCTGTCCGGATGCAGCTTTCCTGGGAGGATGAGGCGGACAATTATGGGGACAATGACATTTTTTTTTTTTTTTGGTCTTTTTTCCTTTTTATGGGTACTGGGGATCGAACCTATGACTGCCTGCTTGCAAGGCAGGCACTTATGCTGCTGAGCTAAATCCCCAGCCCACAATGACAGTCTTGACAGCTAATAATTGGATGGCACTGAATATGTACCAGGCATGTTTTTTTCTTTTACTACGGAGGATTGAACCCACCACCTCATGCTTGCCAGGCAGACACACGTGCTGCTGAGCTGTATCCCCAGCCCTCCAAACTCTTATTTTTTTTTCAAGCTCTTCTTTATTAATCCTTTTATTTTCAAGCACTTTATTAATCCACAACGGGATAGTGCTTGCTTAGATGTGTACTAACTCCTGAACCTCCCACACCAGTCCTGGAGGGTGAGTGCTCTTCTATCCTCACTTCTCAGATGAGGGGACTGAGGCAGAGAGGTACCAACACCCTGTTTTCTGTCAATGCTTTGTCTCTCCTGGGCTGCAGAAAACCTCACCCTGGGAGGTCTTGGAACCCACTCTGAGCAGTGGGAGTCCCTCTGATGACCTCCTCCCCTTCGAAAAGCCGAGCCTCCCTCCCACAGGATACCCGATACTGCGGGGTGCCTGTCTCCCAGGTGCCTGCCCTGTGCTTGGGTGGTCCTCTGGCTCCTTTGTGAGCTCCTCCATCTTTGCACTTCCCAGAACTCCCCACTTTTGCACTGTCCATTTTTCCCATGGGCCTTTGCAGACTGCAGAAAGGTCTGTGGGCCCTCTGCACAGTGGCTCTCAAATGCAGTCCCAGAGCCCCAGCAGCAGAGGATTCTCAGTCTCCCCTGGGAACTCACTAGAAAAACAGCCTCAAACTGGGGCTCCAGCCAGGCCCCAGGCTCCACAGCCCCTGCATGGGATTCCTGCAATCTGTCCAGCGCTTGGGTTTTCCTGTTGATAACATCAGGAGTGTTTCCTTTGTGGGTTTTTTTTTTTTTTTTCTTTTTGAGACAGGGTTTCTCTGCAGTTCAGGCTGGCCTTGAGCTCACTTTGTAGCCCAGGCTGGTCTGGAACTCTCAACAATCCTCCTGCCTCAGCCTCCTGAGTGATGGGATTACAGGTGTGAGCCACCACGCCTGGCTCTTCGTGTATTTTCTTAAGTACCTTGAATTCATCACAGACATCATGACCCTCAGTCCTAAATGGTAAGTACCAGCCTTTCAGGTTAAGGCTCCATCAAGGGTGATGCACTGCATTTGCTTGTTAGGACTCTTCAGTCAGTCAGTCAGTCTGTCTCTCTCTCTCTCTCTCACTGAACCTATGTATATAAGTTTTCCCTGGGTCACCAAAAGCATAAATATTTTCCTTGGAATAAAAAAAATTCTTTTTTTTTTTTTTGTCTTTTTTCATTTTTATCAGTACCAGGGATCGAACTCACGACTGCCTGCTTGCAAGACAGGCTCTTATGCCACTGAGCTAAATACCCAGCCCCAGCCTAGACTGGTTTTTAACTTTCCTCCTTCTGCCTCAGGCTCCAGGATGCTGGGGGGCCAGCCAGGTGCCCCCACCCCACCGAGGGATCATTTGCTTAGTGAAGACTCAGATATATCTTTAACACACTTGGCCTATGACTCACCACCCCATTGGGGGTGAGGATCCAACTCATGACCTTGCACTTGCCAGGCAGGTGCTTGCGCCTCTGAGCTAAACTCCCGGCCCTGACTCACCACTCTTAAGTGTAGGATTCATGGCCTTCCACACACCCTGTCCCAGCACACTCCCCTCACCCCCACCCTGAGAAAACACTGCTTCTGGTCTCCAGCATCTGCCCATCTGAGTGTGTCATCCAAATGGAATCAGAGAAGCGGATATAATTTAAACCAGCCTTCTATGGAAGTTTAGCACAAAACTCTCTCCCTCCCTCCCGCTCTGTCTCACACACACCTTTGGCATAGAGCTCAGCAGATTTCCCAGAGGAAACCACCAGTGTAATTAACACTCAGATCTAGGAACAAGTCTCACCCTGCAGCCTTCTCCCCACAGATCCAGATCATAAGCCATCTTTGTCCCTGTTCTAAAGACTGGGATGGAAATCGGGCCCTCAGGCGAGGGCTTGGCCACTGAGCCCACACACTAGCCTTGCCGTGGAACCCAAGGCCGCGGCAGTGAGCCACCTATATGTTATTTTGATATAGGGTCTCACTAAAGACTGGGTTTAAATTCCTCCCTTCCAGAGGGCTGAGATCTCTGAGATACCGGTGGGCACCGCCCCGCCCCGCCACATCCAGTCAGTTCCCCAGGCCCCCAAGAAGAAGAGGTCTACTTTAGCTTGTGTGTCTGTTGCCCTCACTCAACTCTGAGACTGTGTGTGACTCTGCTAGAGTCGTGAAGCAGAGGCCTAGCCGGCACAAATTCTGGACTGGGTCACAATCTACAGTGTCAAAGATGCCCAGGGCTGCTCTGGATGAGCTGCCTTGTGCAGTGCACCACGTCTACAGATATTCAGAGCTTCCCTGCTAACACCCATCTCTCCGCAGGCAGTTCAGCAAGATTGAGGCCGCCACCCAGCGTCTGGCCCTGTCCATCCTCTGCCAGGAGGCGCCTGCCCAGAGACCACCACCCCGAAGACCGCCCTCACCCTCTCCGTCCCCCTTCCTGGGGGTGGCCTGTGCCGCGGCCCCCGCGGAGCTGCCCCACGCTAGGCTCGGCCTGAGCCTGGCTGCCCTGGACGCCTCCCCGCTCGACTTGTTTGATGATATCGTGCTCCCCGCTGAGGGTCCCCCGGTTTCCTGGGACCCCCTGACCGCGGAGCCCATCCAGCCGGCTCCCAACCTGACCCGGGCCGAGCCCCTTGCGCCCCGCGCCCCGGAGGGAGGCGCCGAGACCAGCGCTGTGCCCTGGGGCTGGGTGAGTGGGTGCGAGGTATCTTGTGCCTGGGGTTCTCGGGGAATTCTCGAGGACTGGGGGGCCCCCGTGACTCCCAGCACCTGCCAACTCAGCCGGGCCCCAGCAGCCTGGAGACCGTGACTCGCCCCTGCGGAAACGCCCGGAGCCCAGGCTCCGGCTCAGACTCAAGAGGGAGAGTGGGGGAAGGGCCTCCACCCCGGGCCCTGCCCCCCGCCCATGACCCCCGGGCGCGCGGCCCTGCGGCTCCCCACCTGAAAGGAAATAAAGACAGCCCTGAGCGTGGCCAAGGACAGGGCGGGCGGGCGGGGGGGGGGGCAGGGTCCTAACTTTCCGAGGAGGCCCCGGGTGTCTTTGCGAAGCCCCAGGGCTTCCCTAACTAGCTAAGGCCTCCCCCGCGCGCCCCGCGACCTGGGAACCTGGGCGGCCAGGGTGAGTCCGGGGCTGCGTACGGGGAGCCAGAGTTCACCTAGACCGCCTCGCCGCGCCACGCCTCGCCCGCCACTCACGCCCGCCTCGGCTCTCCATTGGTCTTACGCGCGGCCGTCCCGCCCCACACCACTGTAGACCAGTCATGGGCTGACCGCCTTCGGGCACGCCCCTCACAAACAACAGCACAGGGGCGTGAGGATTGGCCGGCACGGGGGGCGGCGGGGCAGCGCCAGGCAATGCCGATTGGCTCTTCGGCGCACTGACCACGTGTCCGGACGCCGCCAAACGGTGACCCTTACCCGACCCCGCCGGCTCCGAGTAGCTGGAGTCCTAGTCTCACCTGGCGAGGGCCACACGGCGCGAACCGGCACTTCCGGTGAGTCCCCTCGCCGCGCGTGCTGCGGGGGACCGACGGTCCCGCGTGCAGGTGGGAAAACCGAGACTGCGGCGCCACCCGAGGAGATCCCTTGGCAGGGACGATGCCCCGAACCTGGCCTCTCCGGTCGCTGGCTGTGTCCGGCGTGCGTCTGGCCCCCATTTCTCCCAGGGGGAAACTGAGGCTCAGCTAGTGGGACTTGTCAGAGGTCGCCAGCCAGCGATTCTGGCCGAGGACTAGGTTCCCCGCGTGCCTCCTGGCTCCCATGCCTCCTCTTTTCTGCCACAAACGGAGCATTCTGTACACACTGCTCTTTGCCCCTTTACTTCTTGTCCTTAGCCTGAAGGGCCTGCCTGTCGTCGTTCCTGCTCCGAAAACAGCCTCTTCAGCCTTGGAGGGCGCCTCCCTCTGTCTCTGGCCCCAAGAGTAACCGCTGTCTGGACCTCTGTCGCCCCATACTGGTTTGGCTGGGCTCTGACCTTGGGTAAATCTTGCTTTTGGCTTTTAGTTTCAGTACTGGGGATTGAACTCGGGACCCTCACACTTGCACTACATCCCAGTCGTTTTTAGCTTTTATTTTGAAACAGGTCTTACTAGTATTACCCAGGCTGGGCTGGAACTTGCAGCCCTCCTGCCTCAGCTTCCCATAGTACTGAGGTGACAGGTGTGGCCTTCAACCCTGGCTCCCATGCCCCCTCTTTTCTGCCACAAACGGAGCATTCTGTACACACTGCTCTTTGCCCTTTTACTTCTTGTCCTTACCCTGAAGGGCTTGCCTGTCGTCGCACCTGTTGTGAAGACTCCTTAGTGAGGCTCACCCAGATGGTGGCCCACGCCTTCCAGTGGACCCTGCGACCTGCATTGAGGGCTCGCTGATGGGCAGCTGCCAGCCGCTGCCCGGGCAGTGCTTCGAAGGAGCTGTGTCTGCCACTCTGAGAACAGCAGCTGCCCAGCTGTCCCCTGGGGTTGTGGCTGTCCACCCGCCTGTCAGCCCACAGCGGGGCTCCCATCCAGCAAGTGCGCTGCAGCAGTGCCCCCTGTGCAGGGCCAGAAGAGCTGGCCAGTCCTTTGGTGGGAAGGGGGTGCAGGTGCAGGAGCAGGGGCAGGGCCACAGGAGCTTGTCTGTAGAGGCACTGGAGCCTTGGAGTCTGCGTACCTTGTTAGTGAGCCAGAGCTGCCCTGGGCCCAGCGCGGTTTGTGACAGGAGCAGGGCAGCAGTTAAATGTTTCCTAGAGGCCCCCTCTCTGACCGCTTCCAGGGAGAGGTTCCCAGACAAATCCAGCCCAAGACAACCAGACCCCTACAATCGCTGCTATGATGTGATTCATTGGATCTCTCTGTCTTTATACTGGAGGGTATTTGCATCCCATCTTTTAAAAGCCAGAATAAATTCCACACGATGTAAATTCACCACTGTGCTGGGGCTGCAGCTCTGGGTGGAACATGCTCTTAGCACAAGTGTAGCCTGGAGTTCTTCCCCTGTGCAGAAAAGAATAAAAAGGGAGGAAAATGTGCAGATGTAAATCACCTGCTGACTTTGAAAGTTGAGGTAGTTACACATAGGCTGCATTTTCCTATGGCAGCTGGTATTGAGTTGTAATGATAATAAACACCTGTGTACTCACCACCCAGCTTAGAAAAACAGACCCCAAAGTTGATGCTCCTGCTGGCACGCTTGGGGAATGGGCCTGGGCAGGTCAGCTGCACACACAGTTAGGGGCGCTCCAGACAGACCGCCAGTACCACAGCTCCTGCCATTCAGCTTCAGGGACCCAACTTGGGATTCTGGGGAGTTGGGGGTGCCCTCTGTGCACCAGAGCTAGAACCAGTCACACCTCTGCTGGAACTCAGCTTCCTCTTTGGGAGAATAGCTGGGCAGGTGGCTTCACCAGGCCCAACCTTTTTTTTTTTTTTTTTGGTACTGGGAATTGAACTCACGACTATGCCCTTGCAAGGCAGGTGCTTATGCTGCTGAGCTAAATCCCCAGGCCCAAAGCCCAACCTTTTATTTGTTTGTTTGAATTGTGATAAAATATACATATAACAAAATTTATCCTCTTGGATGGGTGTGGTGGTACACCATTATATTTCCAGCACTCCAGGGAGGCTGAGGCAGGAGAATCCCAAGTTTAAGCTCAGTCTGAGCAAATTAGTGAGACCCTGTCTCTAAAAAATAAAGTAAGGGCTGGGGCTACAGCTCAGTGGGAAGGCCCTGGGTTCCATCTCTAGCCCTGCCAGCATTAAAAGCAGCAGACACTGTGCAAGGGGGCTGCTGGTGATGGGATCCTGAATCCGTCCTCACACAGGGCAGGCGAGCAGTCCACCCCGAGCCACACCCCAGCTGGGAGCCCAGCCCATGACCATTTAAAAACGCAGGCTCTGGTGTTCAGTGCTCCATGGTGTTGTACAACCCTCATTGCTGCCTAGCTCCAGCACGCTTTCATTACCCTGTATGGTTACCCTGAGTTCCTCCCCACCCAGTCCCCAGGACTCCCTGCCCTGCTGTCCACCTCAGTGGCTTCCCATTCTGCGGTGCCCCATGTGACCTTGGTCATGGACTTTGCTCCTGGCCAGGGCTCCACACTGTTATGCAACTAAGCAGCCCCTTTCCTTCAGCCACAGTGCTTCACGGTGGGGAAACTGAGGCTTCACAGCAGCCATTGGCCACCTGGGGAGTCAGACTGAAATGTCCTGAGGCCCTGGGCTCTGAGGCACTGCTGGAGGGGGTCTAGGGCCAGGGAAGTGTGGCTCTGTCTCCCCAGGGCCACATGTCAGCTCCCTAGCCAGCTCTATCACTGCATGGGCTCCCTTTATCCTAGGGTTGGTGAGTTACACCTTCAAGGAAGCCTGGGGTGGGCCTGGCCACTCACCACCCCACCGAGGGGCAGAGAGTACTTACATTGAGCTCACACATTCGGTGATGCTGTGTACCTCCAGGGAGGATGAAGCCAGTGGTGGGGAGGATGACCCTGGGCCTGGGGTAGACACAGGCATCCAGGAAGCTGGCTTCCAGCTGCAGAGGCAGAAAGAAGAGAGCAGGGGCACAGACACAGGCTGATGCGCCTTGGTGCTGTGCCCCTGCCCCTCTGTCACCTCAGAAATGGCAGCAGCCAGGTTGGGCCGCATCCTGCCGGGCTCGTCCATCCTGTTCCTGTGTGACATGCAGGAGAAATTCCGCCGCAGCATCGTGTATTTCCCAGAGATCGTTTCTGTGGCCGCACGGATGCTCAGGGTAGGGACCAGCCCTGAGACCTGGGGGTCCACATCCTGATTCAGCCTCCTCTCTCAGTGCTGGCTTTTGTCCACCCCACCCCGCCTCATGTAGGTGGCCCAGCTGCTGGAGGTCCCCACCGTGCTGACCGAGCAGTACCCCCAAGGCCTGGGTCCCACTGTGCCAGAACTGGGTGCCAAGGGCCTCCAGGCCCTTAGCAAGACCTGCTTCAGCATGGTGCCTGCTGTGCGGCAGGAGCTGGACAGCCGGCCCCAGCTGCAGTCCGTGCTGCTCTGTGGCATTGAGGCGCAGGCCTGCATCCTGGTGAGGTCCTCTTGCTCCCTGCACTGCCCCAGCCTCACCTGGGACTCCTCCTGGCCTGGGCACTCACCTTTGCCTGGGCCTGCCCTTCTCTGAGCATCCTTCCTCTGCATCCTCTCTCTGACCCAGCACACAGCGCTTGATCTGCTGGACAGGGGGCTGCAGGTCCATGTGGTGGTGGATGCCTGCTCCTCTCGAAGGTGAGGGGTTCCCTGGGCTGTGGGTGTGGGCCCAGAGTGTCACTGCCCTGTCACAGTGGTGTGGACATTGCACTCCTTCCTCTGTGCAGCCAGGTGGACCGGCTGGTGGCACTGGCCCGCATGCGGCAGAGTGGGGCCTTCCTCTCCACCAGCGAGGGGCTCATCTTGCAACTCGTGAGCGACGCTGCCCATCCCCAGTTCAAGAAGGTGAGGTGCTGTGTCCCCCTAGGAGTCCTAGGAACTAAGTCCTAGGGTGCTCACCTGCCACTGCCATAAGTAAATGAAGAGATGTGGGGTGAGACTGCAGGGAAAAATCATGCAGTGTGAACCTGGGGTCTTGGGGTGCAGGGTGGAATGTGCTCTGGAGAGCAAGGCAAGTGTGGGGGGACAGCAGAAAGCCTGGAGGTGGGAGCCCCTGGACCCCTTAGCTGTCCCTTGTGCCTTTTCACCGTCGAATGCTAGTGTTTTCTTGACGGTCTCTTGGCCTCCACAACCACCTCTAGAGTGGCCTTCCTGGTTCCAAGGACAGGCCAGCCCCGAGCCCCTGCTGCAGGCCCTTGCCTGGAGAATGAAGAGGAAATCTGGGGCTCAGTGTTCCTGCTCCTTCCTCCCCACAACCCCATCTGTTCTGTGAGGCATTTATTCGGCACCTAGTGTGTACCAGTTGCATGGCTCAGCCAGGGCAGCTGTGAGGTCAGACCTCTAGAGCTGGCCTCAATGTGAGGACATAAAAAGCCAGTCACAGGCAGGTACATGCTGACCTGCAGCTGTGGAGGGAATGTCCACAGGACACTGCAGACAGGAGGGGAGCAGCCTGAGGGACAAGAGCAAGAAGGTGCCAAGCTGCCTTACTGGAGGAGCCACACGGCCAGTGGTCAGCAAGCAGCCCATGGCAGGGCCAAAGCAGGGGAAGGCAGAGCAAAGACTTGGCAAAGATTGGGGTGTTTAACAATGGGCAGCCACTGGGGTTTGGCAGAGGGACGCTGGCCACAGTCAGTTCAGTTTACAAAGAGCCACACAAGTAATCCCAGCTACCTGGGAGGATGAGGCAGGAGGCTCCCCAGTGGGTGGTGTGGAGGATGGGGGCTGCAGCTCCGAGGCTGCTTGGGGACTCACCTGGGGCAGTGGCAGTGGGGTCTGGTCCTGGAGATGAACTTGGCCGGGCTCCTGGGTACATGAAGTGTGGCTGGCTGCTCTGCTCAGCTAAGATGTAACTCGTTAGATGGGCACAGAGTATAGGACCGAAGCCTGAGCTGGATCTGGGAGATGAAGGCCCAAAAGTCGGAGGGATTGGGAAGGTGTGGCTAGGAAACCCAGAACACAGCCAGCTGGTAAAACAATATGGCTCGTGGTTAGGAAGAGAGCCGGCCAGGTGTGATGGCAGCGAGGCCCCAGGAGCGGGGCTGCCGGCCATGGTTGGGGAGCTGAGATGGAGGGGTGTCCTCGGATCTGTCGGGATGGAATGGGGACCTTGATTCCTCTGACCCCCCCTGCACCACCAACTCCTCCTGCAGATCCAGGACATCATTAAAGAGCCCGCCCCGGACAGCGGGCTGCTGGGCCTTTTCCAAGGCCAGAACCCCCTTCTTTGATTCACGCGGAACTCTGACTTGAGGAGAGCCCACTCTTCTAGTCACCATAACCTAGGCGGAAGCACTCCCCCTCCCATCCCTGGATCCCAAGAGTGGTGCGGTCCATCTGGAGTACCGCCCCCTCAGGGGAGGGAGGCGGGGTTCTGTCTTCTCACTGGGTAGCGGCTCCAGGAAATGCAAATGAGACTCCCGGGCTTGGTGGGAATTGGCTGAGAGCGAGGTGGAGGTGGGGCTCTGCCCTGGGCCACTTCACGCGGCAGGGAGGAGAGGGGGACGTGTCACTGATTGTGGGACCCGCGCTTGCGGAATAAACATTGATGTGACTCTGGACCGAACCATTGTTGAGCTTGGGGGTGTGCCGGGGGCCGCGGGCGGGAGAAAGAGGGGTCCGCCGCAGGTGGGGAGGGGGCGGTCCTCCCGGCTCCGAGCCCTGCGCAGCGCAGGCGAAGGCTGCGGCGTCCACAGCTGCACGCGCGACTCCGCGGCCGGGGTCCCCCACGCTGCTGCCCGCCCCCCGCCGGCGCGCGCACGCCTAGCCCGCGGGCTGGCAGACACGCGCTCGCCACCTCCCCCGCCGGCCCCTACGCGCCACCCCCGATCCCGAGGGCCCCGCGTCCAGAAGGCGAGGTGAGCGCGACCGCACCCGGTGCGGAGGGGAAACTGAGGCACGAGGACGTGGGGGAGGAGGGAATAGGCATGCAGACGGTGGACAAAAGAGAAGACAGACAGTTGCAGCCGAGAGTCCCGGCTGCCTCAAGGTGCGGGAGCCGGACCCACCTGGCAGTCCAAAAATGCTGCAGCCAGGGGAACTGGGACTCGGGACTCCACGGCCCCCTAGCCTGCATCCCTCCTGGCGGCAGGCGCCCTGCTGGCGTTCCGAGTCCCCGAGTCCGGACAGAGCCCCCGGCCGGCCGCCCCCTCCGCGACCCCGGCAGGTCCGGTCCTAGCCTGGCGTCGCAGCCCTGGGGACCCAGGAACCCCGGGACAGGCGGCGTCGGCACCCCGTCCCCCGCCTTCCGGATGCAGGTGTCCCCTCCGCACCCACAGCCTGGCCTGCGTCTCCGCGCGCCCGCGTCGCCATGGCAACCAGAGTCTATTTTGCGCTGGGAACACGCAGCTCCGCTGCAGCGCGCCCCCCCCCCCCCGCCACCGCGCCCAGAGCGGAGGCCTCGGGCAGCACGGGGTGGGGGGAGCAGCTGGGCCAGGGGACACGCCGGGGTTCGACTCACGGGTGCAGGCCAGGGCTGGGCGTCGGTGGGACGTCCCTATACTTTATTCCCCTCCATTCTGCTTCCCCACGTGTTTCCTACTTGCCGCCTACTCCCCACGCCAAACCTGCCCACCAGCTCCAGGTCCCAGGGACCCCGCCCCCTCGCCACTGCCACTGCCACCCCCGGGCCCTCTGCCGCCACCTGTCGACCCCGCCTCCGCCCCTCTCTGGTGCTCTGGCTCCACGGCTTCCCGGGACACGAAAACCCCTCTCTAGGTGCGCGCCCCCTTGAGCGCGCGGCCCGCTGCCTAGCTGTCCCCTCCTTGCTGCATTCTCTGTCCCTCCTCTCAGTCACTGCCCCGGACCACTTTGGTGTCTTACCCCGTTCCGTTCCCTGTCCCCAGTTCCCCTCCAGTGTGCCCAGCCCCACGGCCCAGCCCTGGTCTTCCCAGCGGGAACTCACTGGGGGCTGTCCAGCTCAGCAGCCCCACAGCACCCCCTGCCTGGTCCTTGCATCTCCTGTCCCTGGTGGGCAGCTGCAGAGGGGACAGAGCCCACAGGAGTGCAGGCAGGGCCCAGCATCAGGGCTGGCAGGGCTTGATGGCTGAGTCCTGTGTGGAGCCCCACGGCTGTGTTGGGGGAGCTGAGTGTCCACGTGTGGAGTGGGCTGCAGGCCACAGGTGTCCCCATGGGCCATGCTGCCTCAAGTGTGTGTGCTGTGCTGTGTCTGTGTGGTCTTTCAGGTAGGGAAAGAACTTGTCCCCCAATAACTCGTATCTAGATGGGTCTCAGTCCCCACACCTGGAGGAGCTGTGTGCATGGGGTTATGGAGAGGTTGCCTGTGTGTGCATGTGTCTACACAGTGGGAGAGACTGCGTGTCCCTGAGTCTGGCTGGAGTCATGATGTGGAAGGGGCATGAGTGCCCGGCAGCCAACACTACAGAACCTACAGGCAGGTGGCACTGGAGCTGAGAGACGAGGCCCCTCTGGTATCTGCCTGGGGAGAAGAGCCTTGCTGAAGCTCAGCCAGGCCAGGCTTCCTTGTGCAGTGCACAACCTGCCCCACTGAACACAGCAGCCCAAAGCTGGAACCCAAACTTGCAGTCCTCCTGTCTCAGCCTCCTAGAAAGTACAGGGATCACAGGCAGGTGCAACACTGTCACGGAGGAAATCCACATGGCTGCACCCATCTGCACCCCTAGGAGGGGTGTGTCCCTGCCTGTACCAACCTACATCCCCTTATGTGACCTTTTAAAGCCATCCAGGCTGGGTGCCGTAACACTAACCTTAGACACTGCGAGTTCAGGGAGATGCTCTGGCCTCCTAAGAACCAGAGCCCTCACCCGAAGTGGCTGCGTGTGTATGGCAGTCCGCCTCATCCTGGCTCTGCACGCCATGGGGTGAGCGCAGTGTGCACTGCAGGGGGCCTGGAGAGTGAGGGCGGCTGCTGCCTTGGCAGGGGGGCGGGGAGGGTGAGGCTGCTGTTACATGCAGGAGGCAGCCAGGGCCACCAGGCAGCCGGTGTGTGGGTTTGCATCCCTTCTTTCCTTCCTTCCTTCCCCAGTGGATGGACTGACTGTGGTACCTGTAGTGAACCCGAGGCCGTGTCCTGCACCATATCTCTGGCCCTGTTTTATTTTTAACTTGTTTCCCTGAGCCTGGGCTCCAAGTTGCAATCCTTCTGCCTCGGCCTCCCAGAGCAGTGGCTCTGTTCACCTTTTTGAGGACTCACTACATTCCACAGTGTGGGCCAGGCTGCTTTAGGTCCCCAGGGACACCCACGGGGGAGCGCCAACCGGCAGCGGGGGATCCCAGACTGGCACTCAGGAAAGGGCGGAGCTAACTGAGCTGGACCCACAGCACCCCCCATGACCCTGTCCCTTGCCAGCTATTCTGTGGACCACGTGTCCCTACATACACGCACACACGCATGCACAGTGCACAAAGAATAAAAACACTCTTGGAGGGCTGGGGATTTAGCTCAGCGGCATAAGTGCCTGCCTTGCAAGCAAGCAGTCGTGAGTTCGATCCCTGGAACTCATAAAAAAGGAAAAAGACAAAAAAAAAACACTCTTGGAGCGAATGGCCCCACCCATACCTGCTCTCTCTGACATCTCCTCAGGGCGCTGCCAGCGCCTGTCTACCACACAGAGAGGTCAGCCCTCCGGTGCAGGAACCCGGAGACCATCATGGCTATGATGCTGAGTGCTCACAGAATCAGGCACAGGGGTGGGGGTTCAGACCCGCACTCCGAGCCCTCAGGGAGGCTGACGCAGGAGGATCAAATCTAGCCGGGGCAACTAAGCAATTTAGTGCGACCTTATCTGAAAATAAAAGAATTTTAAAGAGGGCAAAGGATTTAGTTCAGTCGGAGAATTCTGGGTTCAAGTCCTCAGTACCACCCCCACTGGACGCTCTGCAGACGCTGAGCAGAAGGATGGGAGCGGGATAGACCTAGTCCAGCCCCCAAGGCGGGAGCGATGTGCTGGACTGGGGTAGTTGTTGAGGTCCTCACCCTGCAGAGGGCAAGAAGGACGCCTTGGGCACCCTGCCAGGCCTCCAGGAGATTAGCGTGCTTTGCAGTCCGCAGCCTAGGGTAGCTCAGGTGGGTGTGTCTGGGCCTGGCAGCATTGTTGCCATGGAGACAGTGGCCAGACCCTTCCCCTCCTGTGAGTGTGCGCACACACGTTCCTGCGTATACATGTGTGAGTGCATGCGTGCGCGTGTGTGATGTGTGTGCTTGTGCGTTCCTAAAGAATCCCATCTGCAGACGGCGGACCATGCAGGTGTAACCAGTTTTTCTCAACCAGGGCATCAGTGCCCATGCCAAGGTGGCCTGAGGAGTCTTCGGCGGCCAGGCCTGGGGCTGGGGCTGACCCTACCATCTTGGGGACACCGCGAACCGTCCCACCGTGCACGGCACGGGCTGCCTAACGAAGCAGGAAGCGACCCCAAGCGTCACTGGCCAGCTGAGAAGCCGCCCAGCTGCCAAATCTGATGCCCACCTTCTCTCTACCCTCTCTACCTCTTCCTCCTCTTTCCCCCTCGCAGGCCCTGCTCTCCCCCTGCGCAGCCTGGCGGCCCCGGCGACTCCCCACGCACGCCATGCCGGCCCTGCTGCTGCTCGCGACGCTGGCGTTGCTGGCATCGGCTGCGGGCCCTGCTGGGGCGCGTCCACCCAACGCCACGCACGCCACGCCCCCGGGCCCGCTGCCCGCGCTGCTCGCGCACCTGCGGCGCCTGACCGGGGCGCTGGCGGGGGGCGGGGGTGCGGCGGGCGCGGGCGCCAACGGCACCAAGACGGGGCCCGCTGGCAGCCCGGGCGCGGCGGCACGCGCCCCGCCACCGGCCGAGTTGTGCCACGGATACTACGACGTCATGGGCCAGTACGACGCCACCTTCAACTGCAGCACAGGCTCCTACCGCTTCTGCTGCGGCACGTGCCACTACCGCTTCTGCTGCGAGCACCGCCACATGCGCCTGGCGCAGGCGTCCTGCTCCAACTACGACACGCCTCGCTGGGCCACCACACCGCCGCCACTGGCTGGGGGCGCGGGCGGCGCGGGCGGCGCGGGCGGGGGCCCCGGGCCCGGCCAGGCCGGGTGGCTGGAGGGCGGTCGTGCGGGGGGTGCCGGGGGGCGTGGGGGCGAGGGCCCAGGGGGCAGCACGGCCTATGTCGTGTGCGGGGTCATCAGCTTTGCCTTGGCCGTCGGGGTCGGCGCCAAGGTGGCCTTCAGCAAGGCGTCGCGCGCGCCCAGGGCGCACCGGGAGATCAACGTGCCCAGGTGTGTGTGCGCTCGCTGGAACCCATTGGCGGAGGGGACCTAGACCGGGCTTCAGGCTGAGGCGGGGCGGGGCGGGGATCGGATGACCTGGGCCTGGAAGCACCGGGCTATTGATCGACTGGAAGGAGAGCCCAAGCCCCATTCAATCAACAGTAGCTATTTCTTGAGCACCTTCTTTGGGCCAGGAGCTGGGGATGCCACAGGAAAGCATCAAGGTCCTGCCCCTTTTTGGTTTGAGTTCCCAGCCCCAGTCTGCGGATCCTGGCAAAGTGCTTAGGCCTCTAGGGTGCCTCAGTTTCCTTATCTGTGCAGAAGGGCTGACAGCGGTTCCAGGTGATTGGGTACTGAGTTGATGCATGCCAAGTCCTGGCATACAGGGAGAGCTCATGAAATACTAGTAGTTCGGTCAGTCAGCCAGCAGGTACACAAGCAATTTTAGATGTGGGTAACTGAGGAACAAAGCCTTGTGTAGGGTTGGGGGGAGTGTCAGAGGTGGGTGGTTGGACTGAGTGGCCGGAGAAGGCCTTTTTGAGCAGGGTTCTGCAGAAAGTGAGGGGACCCAGCAAGTGTCATGTGCAAAGGCCCTGTGGTGGCCTGTGCCAGACTTGAAAAGGGTCGGTGCAGTGGAGGTTTCCGAGGAGGTGGAGGGTGCAGGCAGAGCAGGTTTCCTGAGAATGTGAGGACCCTGAGCTCGCATGCGGAAGCTGGGCAGAGGCTACTGCTATGTGAAATAGGAGAGCCATGGGCAACACTGGGGTGCTGGGCAGTGTGGCCCAGGCAGAGTGTGTCCCGGAGGCCAAGTCGCCAGTGCTGCCCAAGGGCATAAAGGCAAAAGAAATTAAAGGGGTTTTGGTGAGCCTGAGGCTTAAGGTCCGCACACGGGGGTTGGGAGGAGGGGAGCGGGAGGCGGGGGACAGGACCAGATTCGCCTTGGGGCCTCCAAGGGGGTGGGGTCCAAATGACCCGGGGAGGGTTGTGGGAGAAGTGGGGAATAAAGCCGAGCTGACAGCCTCCCCTTTGAGAGGACCGGGAGCCCGAGGCCCACTACCGCCCAGGCCGCTGACCATCCACGCCCCGCCACCCTCAGGGCGCTGGTGGACATTCTGCGACATCAGGGGGGGCCCGGGACCCGCCCAGACCGAGCCCGAAGCAGCTCCCTGACGCCGGGGATCGGGGGTCCGGACAGTATGGGCCCCAGGACGCCCAAGAACCTCTACAACACCATGAAGCCATCCAACCTAGGTGAGTGGGATCTCTCGGCACCGCCCCTGCAAGGACACGCCCTTTGGACTGTGCTCCGCCCTTGGACACGCCCACTGGGTCCAGCCCCGTGCTCTTATGCACAACCCTGGCGGTTCTGTGGCCCCGCCCCTTGCAGCTCCTCCCCCAAACCTTAGGCCTGGTCTTCAGGTTCTCACTGGCGCTGGCCGCTTGACCCCGCCCTGAGACCTGTTCGGTGGAGAAGTCCGACAGTTGCGGGAGGGGAAGGGCCTCAACTGGCTTTAGGGAAGGCGAGCTTCCCCAGGAGTGGTGTTTGAACGAGAAACTGGGGTGAGGGGAGCTCCAAGTAGCTGTTTGCGGGGATCAAGTGGTCTCACGAGGCCTCAGAGCCAGCAGAGGAGCTGCATCCTTGTGCCAGAGCAGTGAGCAGCCCGGGGGAAGATGTCTCTGAAGCCGTGTGGAGGGACGGGGGGGGGGGGGGGGAGGAGGGGGGGGCGTGACAGGTAGCTGGGGTGATGGACCAGGCAGCCAGAGAGCCCAGAGCTAGGCCTAGTGGATAAGGTGTGGTAGGAGCTGGATCTTGAGGGACAAACAGTCCTTCAGACAGATGGTGCCAAGGCCCTGGGGCAGCCTCAGATAAACAGCTGGAGCGAGGGGCAGGAGATAGGCTGCACTGCCTGGCTGCTGTCCCCAGACTGGTTTGTCCAGGAGTGATGCTGCCTGGATCTAACCCTGGACATGGGCTGGCTAGACAGCCACAGCTGGCTTGGCAGCCCAGAGGCCAAGATAGGTCCCAGAGGGTCAGCAGGACCCAAGGAGAGGAGACAGGGGCCACTTCTTCTTGCAGCCATGAGCCCCCACCTGCAGCCCCCAGCCTGTCTTCCGTGAGGCTAGTGGCAGGGTGCCACCGGCAGACCCAGCAAAGTTCTGGATATGAGCTGGGCTTAGGGCCAGGATCTCGTGGATGGATCAGGGTGCACAGCTGGGTGGCGATGGTGGTGACATCGCCTCCCTTCTTGGTCCCCTCAGATAACCTGCACCACAACTACCTGCACCTCAACGTCAGCAGCCCCACACACCACGCTGCCACGCTGGGTACGCGGAGGGAGGGCTCTGCCGCCTCCTGCTGCAGCCTCAGTGCTCTCCAGGGGACCTGGAAGTGGTCTTCGCCTTCCACACCCAGGGCACAGATGAGGGGTGTGGACAGGTGCCAGATCCTCATGTGGGAGGTGTTTCTCTCCCCAGTGGAACCTGTCTCCAGGGATCCCTGAACTGCTTCAGGGAGGAGAGGCTGGAACCACAGATTTCCAGCCCCTCAGGGCTGAGGCCTGACCACTGGGCTCAAAGGAGGAGGCTGGGCCTGTATCCCAGGTCTAGTGAGGGAAGCCAGGCCTGGACCCTGGTTCTAGGGTGGGGGGAAGCTGGGCCTGGACCCCAGTTCTGAGTGGGAAGGCCAGGCATGGGCCCTGGGTCAGGGGTAGGAGGCCAGGCATGGACCCTGGATCTCTTCCTTGGGTGAGGAGGCTGGGCCTGTATTCTGAGTCTTGGGTGTAGAGGCTGGGCATGGACCCCTCCTTGGGTGGGGAGGCTGGGCATCGATCTTGGGTCCAGTGGGGGAAGCCAGGCCTGAATCCTGAGTCTTGGGTTGGGGGAGGTTGGGCATAGATGCCCCTGGGTCTAGAGGGGATGTTAGGCTGACCTGGCCCCTCTGCCGCAGACTGGCGTGGGGTGCCCCCGCCCAGCCCCCCACTGCACTACTCCACGCTGTCCTGTTCCCGGTCCTTCCACAACCTCTCCCACCTACCCCCCTCATACGAGGCGGCTGTGAAGTCGGAGCTGAACCGATACTCCTCCCTGAAGAGGCTCGGTGAGTCCCCGGGAGGACAGGGGTGGCCAGGGCAGGCCTGGGTCCCAACGCCACGGGGAGGACCATGCAGAGTAACTCGATGCAGGGGCCCAAAGGCTGTCTTCCGGAGCCTGGCATGGGGGTGCATGCCTGTAAGCCCAGCTCTTGGGAGGCTGAGGCTGCTGGATGGTGAGTTCGAGGCCAGCGGAGGCTGTAATGGGAGACCCAATCTCACAAATCCCAGACCTGGTGCCTCTTCTATGCCTGGCTCACAGGGATGCCTGAACCAACAATGGGTCCTCCAAACACTTTAAACTGTGAGGTCGAGGAAAAATACACGCTTCCAATATGTAGTCTGCGAGGCCCAGGCATACACACATACTGTTTAATTACAGAACAGTTTGAAGTTTTTTTTTTTTTTTTTTTTTTTTTTATGGACATTTGCCAAAATAGAGAAAATGAAACGGTGGATCTTAAATCGGCCCTGAGCCTTTAAAGTGATCCCAGCCACTAGGCCAGGCCCTTTCATCTTTGGGGTCTCCTTCATGCACCCCATGGGCTCAGAACACTTCTGTCCTATTTCACTCTTCACCCAGCCCGGGGTGGAGGTGGGGAGTAGAGGGTGCACGGGGCGGTGGGCTGGGCGGGGGTGGGTGGGTGGGAGCGGAGCGGGCGGGCTCCCCAAGGCCACTGTCCCCCCTCGCGCAGCTGGGCCCCACAGGTCGCGCCCCGGTCCCAGCCCTGGGGTGCAGCGCGGCTGGCTCAGGCTGTGGGACGCCCGCGACCCGCGCCCTGCCTCCGTCCCCAGCCGAGAGGGACTTGGACGACGCGTACCTGAAGCGGCGGCCACTGAACGAGGGACCCCGTGGGACGCTGCCGCTTCACGCGCTGCGGCGCCCGGGCACCGGGGGCGGCTACCGCACGGACGCCTGGGGCCCGGAGGCGCTGGGCCTGGCGCCCGCGCCGCACCCGCGCCGGGTGATGTCCCAGGAGCACCTGCTGGGCGACGGCGGCCGCGCGCGCCCCGAGTTCACGCTGCCGCGCGCGCGCCTGGTGTCGCAGGAGCACTTGCTGCTGTCGTCGCCCGAGGCCCTGCGCCAGAGCCGCGAACACCTGCTGTCCCCGCCGCGCAGCCCCGCGCTGCCCCCCGAGTCCGCGGCGCGCGCCAGCCTGGCCGCCTCTCACTCCAACCTGCTGCTGGGGCCCGCAGGGCCGCCCACGCCGCTGCACGCGCTGCCCCCAGCTGGCCTGCACGCGCCGCTGCACCACCACGCGCTGCACGGCTCCCCGCAGCCCGCCTGGGCCGCCGAGGGCGGGGGGACGCTGGCGCGCCGCGCGCCCTTCCAGCGCCAGGGCACCCTGGAGCAGCTGCAGTTCATCCCCGGCCACCACCTGCCGCAGCACCTGCGCACTGCCAGCAAGAACGAGGTGACCGTGTGACCCCGCCTTGCGGACCTCGCCGCCGCAGGGGAGGGGGCTGCGTGCGAGGTGGCGGAAGAAGGGTCATGGCCTGCAGTGTCACTGCAGGGAGGACGCTGCCTTCCCAGCAGGCCATCGCCGAGGGACAGGCGCCCGTGAGCACATCACCCACGCTGTGTGTGCTACCTGCAGCACCACGACAAAGACCTCATTCCGGTGGTGTCGCTGACAGTCTGTCCCCTAAGATTGCGCCCTCTGACATCGCCTCAGAGGCCAGTCCCTCGCTCCCAGGTCGGCTGACCCCCGCCTCTGAGCACCATCCTCACGTGGAGTCGGTTTCTTCCTGTGTCTGCTGTGGAGATGTCCGACGCTGTCACTGCTCCGGTCAAAGCCATCTCCTCGGGACACGGTGTAGGGGAAACGCCCTGCAACTGTGTCATCGCCCGCGCCTTGGCCTCCTTTCCACAGGGTCACAGGTCGCCACCTCCCTTACCCTTATGACGCAATTGCCAGAGAAGGTGCCTTTCCCCATGATGCGGTCAGAGGGATGTGCCTCCTCCTGGGGTGTCTCCAGAGGTGACTGACTGCTTCTGGGACCCCCACAGGGGAGTCACCTTCCACAAGGTCGCTTCCAGATGCTCCCCTTGGGGGTGACAGGAGCAGATACTCCACTGCTGTGCTTTGTCCTGAGCAGCCACTCTCCCTGGTGCGTGGTGCCAGGCCCATGCTGGGGAGGGCGGCAGTGAATGTGCTGTTCTGAGATGTTGCTGACTGGTGCCAGCACTCTGGAGACCACCCTGGCACCAGAGGCCACCCCTGAGGAGGTGATGGCCAGTCTGTCAATGGGCAGTGGCAATGACCCTCTGCAGCCACATCACTACTGAAGGTGTCCTCCTCAGGCAGAGCACCCGCCTCCTCCCATCTGTACCCAGGGATGGGACACAGCAACTGCCAAGCCCCCATCAAGGGAGGACAAGCTCCAGGTCTGACCCGTGCGGGACTCCTCAAGGATGGCTCCCCAGCCAATTCCTTCTGCCATATCTGGAGATGTCATCAACTCTCCTGACAAAGCTCTGGCAAAGAGGGCTGGGATGCCTGCTCTCGACCCTGCCGCAGATGTCCCCTGTGCCACACCAAGCTCCCCATTCGTGATGGAACAGCACATGGGGGCATATTAACCACCCCGTTTCCCAGGATTTGGTGACCCCTCTCCACTAGCCTTCCATCCTCCTCCAGGATCTACTGTCACTCACAGTGTCACCACCAACCACGATTCTTCACATCCATGGTGTCACCACTTCCCAGGAGCCATACAGCCAAGAGTGTCTTCAGCCCCAGGACCCACTCCAGCCAGCGTCTTCACATCCAAGAGGTGTGACAGCCAAGGTGTCGTCCCTTCCTTTGTGATGCCGTCTTCTGGAGATCCATGAAGACCATAGAGTCACGACCTCCCTAAATGTGTGCTGGCTCTGCAATGTCACATCCCAGGGCTGTCACCTCCCTGACAGGTGGATCTGCCTCCTAGGATCATCGCAGCCATGACTTCATTGCTTCCCAGAATCCACCAACCCACAGTGTCATCAACCCCAGGAGTCGTGAGAGTCAAAGGTGACTTTACCTCCCAGGAACACTCAACCATAGTGTCTTTGTCCCCGGATGCCTGTGGGCAGTGGTGTCGTCACTCAGAGTCCATTTCAGCCTTGGTGTCGCTGCTTCCCTCACTCAGCACACCTGTGATGTGTGTCATCAGCACTGAGATTCACCATGACCCTGGTGTCCCCACATCCATGACAACAGTGATATCATCAGCTCCAGAGACCCACCATGCTCAAGTCACCACCATGTCTCATCCCTGAGGACCCATCATGGCACTGCCTTCCAAGACCTTGTAATGGTCATCTGCGTGGCTCCTGAGATTCACAATGAGGACTGCATCACCACCTCCTGGGATCTGTAACAGCCAGTGGTGTTATTTCCCAGAGTCCTTTTCAACCATGGCATCATCAGCTCCCAGGACCCAGGAAACACGTCTTGTGGTCATGAACGAGGCAACGCCCTGATTGTGTGCAGTCACCTCACAGGGCCCACCGTCTTAGGGCCAGGCACCTCGATGAGCTGTGTGGTTGTGCCCCGAGTGGTGTGGCGTTCATAGGTCCCTTCGGGAAACTAGCACAGCACGTGTGCCCCACACCTCTGTCGCCCTTGGGGAGAGCCAGCATCCCCTCTGAAGCCATCCCCCACTCTGACCCCTCACATTGAGTGTCACTGCCTTGCTCTAGACTAAGGTGGATGCCAGGACCTGCCCCCCAGACTTGGGCATGGCCACCTCCCCCTGAGCACTGATGAGGGCATCCAGGCCCCCACCAGCCATCAGATCGGTGACAGGGTGACCTCAGCATGCTATTACTACCGAGGTGGAGTCTCCAGGCAGGCCCTCAGGAGGTGCTGCCGCCCCCTTCCCCTTCTGGTCCCCGGGCCACACCACAATCAGTGGTTGCTGGGTGGTGCCACATCTGCTGGAGGGCTCAGGGCCCAGGTGTCCCCTCAGTGCTGTTTTGAGGCCCAATCTAGGCAGGCTCCACCCTGTCCCCGGCACTGTACATAGCCATGTTGAGGGGCAGTGTTCTCCACTCTTAAAAGGGCTACACCGTTCCCCAGCCCCAGGAGAAGTGGGGACCCCCCCTCCTTAAGACCTCTTTAGTTACTGGCCTCTGGGTCTGCCCATGTGAGGTGCATGGGGCAGGAACTGGCCTCAGCTGCCACAAGGATGGTGGGGAGCGGGTCCCTGAAACCTGCCAGGCCCTGGCCAGCTTTGTATCACCACTGCACCCCCATCCCGCAGTGTGCTCAGGCAGACTGGGGTGCACCCGGAGAGAAGCCAGACAGTCCCTGCCCCACTTGCCACCCCACAAGACTCAGCTTTCTGCAGCTTTCCCAGATGTGGGGTTCAGGTGCACACCCCCTCCACCTGCCCACTCCTGCCTGGACTCTGGGGGCCCAGCCCCCACCTTTTGCTCTTATTTGGCACAGGTGGCCTGATGGGGCCCCACACTCTCATCTCAAAGAGGCCACAGAGGAGAAAGGCCTAAGAGTGCTGGCAGGCCTGAGCGGGAACTGGTCACCTTCAGCCTCCCTGTCCTTCCACACTCCCTTGCAAACTGTACACAGAGACCCAAGACTGTGCAGAGTGGTATGTGCACCACCCTGCTGGGCACCTAGGGGGCCGTGGTAGAGAGAACAGGAGCAGCGCTGGGCCAGAAGACACCCACGCTGCCCTTCCTTTCCCCAGCATCCAGCCACCCTCAGCACTGGCCCTGCTCAGGCCCCAGCGGAGCTGCAACATGGTATTTTTGGAATAAACAGATGTTTTCCTGATCCGTGGTCTCCAGAGTTGCTACCAGGAAAGAATAGCCCCCTGCCTGTAGGTGGGCCCCCTACAGGCCCCCACATTGGCTGCAGGTCAGTGCTATGGGGAAGCCGTCTCCAGGGCCAGGTTCCTGGGGCTCTGGGACCCCCTCCAGCATTGCTGACCACCAAGCTGAGCGATGGAGATTGAGACCAGGGCCTTTGCACTGGCTCCATCCGCAGCCCTTGTTTTATTTTTTATTTTGTGGCAGGGTCTTGCTCAGTTGCCCAGGCTGGGCTTGACCTTGGGATCTTCTCCCTGCGCCCTGCACCCACAGCTCATAAGCCTGTGTCCGTGGCCTGGCGGTCCGCTCCTTGTGATTTCCCGGCCCAGACCTCGTGACAGGGGCACAGGTGTCCCAGAGCTACACCCCAGACGCTGTCTCCTTGGCCTCAAACCCAAGGTGTTGGGAATTGGTTGCTGCCTGGGAAGAGGAGTTGGTCCCTGGCCTTTCTGGCAGCTCCTGGTGGCTGTGGCAATTCTGGATGTCCCCTGCCATGGCCTTTTCTGAGTCACCGGTCACGCTGCACCAGGACCTTCCAGACTTCATCTTGCATATCTCCTCGGACCCTGTTTCCAAATATAGGGGTGCTAGGACTCCAGGCCGGCCTCAAACTTGCCAGCTTCCTGCCTCAGCCTTCAAATACCTGAGACCACAGGCGATTGCTACCACATCCGCTTCCAACATATTTTCTGCGGGGCATATGAGTGTGGTGCTCATCTCCCTCCTAGTGTGGGTTCTGCGAAAACCCAGAAGCGCTTTCCTGCCCACGCCCACCGCAGCACAGACAGGGAGGTTTCACAGGCTTTTGGAAGGAGGGTCCCCACTCTAACACCTAACTGGCACCTCTCCCTGGGGCCTCGCCTGGCGTGGAAAGCTCTTGGGAAAGAGGGACCAGATGGGAAGAGGGGTGCTGGAATTGAACCCAGGGCCTTCTCACTGAGCTGCATCCCTAGCCCTTCTTAAAATTTCTTGAGATAAGATCTTGCTCAGTCACTCTTGCTAAGTTCCCCAGACTGGACTGCCTCAACCTCCCAGAGTGCTGGGATCACTCACAGATGTGCACCACCATGCCCAGCTTCATCTTTATGGCTGCTGTTTTTTTTTTTTTTTTTTTGTCTTTTTCCTTTTTATTGGTACCGGGAATCGAACTCACGACTGCCTGCTTGCAAGGCAGGTGCTTATGCCGCTGAGCTAAATCCCCAGCCCTGCTGCTGTTGTTTTGAGACACAGCCTATGTAGGTAGTTCAGGCTGGCCTCAAACTCACTGTGGCCATTCACCAAAAATCAGGAAGCAGGATTTGAAAAGTTTTTAAAAGCAATGGGGCCTCTCAGATCTGTGATGGAAGCACAGCTAGGTTGGGTGGTACACACCTGTGAGCCCAGCACTCTGGGAGGCTGAGGCAGATGGGTCACAATTGTGAGCCCAGCCTGGGCCACTTAGTAATTTAAACCCTGTCTCAGTGTGAAGGCCCTGGATTCAATGTGATTGAATGACATTGTGGCCCAGAGCCCCCTGCACCTACGCCTGTGTGTGGAAGCCACATTTTCTGGGGTCTCAGGCCATGTGGCACCTACCCTCCACCCCATCGCTGGAGCCTCATAGTCGAGTAGGGTAGGTCAGCAGGCACAGTGGGACCCCTTTGTGGGCCCGAGGCCCAGACCTGCTCCCTGCCCACCTGAGGTTCAGCGGCCCCAGCCCCAAACCCGAGCAGCAGGACACACCTCACTTCTGGCTTCTAGACCTGGCTGGGCTCCCTTCATGTCCCCAGCACCAAGCTGCTGGGCTCCTCTCATATCCCCAGTACCAAGCTCCAGCCCCTTTAGCCCTGACACTGCTGCTACCTCTGCTAGGGATGCTGCCCCAGGACAGTGACACCCAGAGGCCACCTGGGCATGCCCAGCTCTGCTTCCTGTCCTTCTGTCCTGGCATCAGGCACTGGCTGGCCTGATGCCAGGACTCCCCTGCTGCGGCTAGCTCCTTCAGCACCCCAGGCTCTGTCCCTCTGGGACCCTCCTGACCCCTGGGGTGGTGAGAGAACACAGGTGTCTGGCAGGTATCAGCAGTGCATCCACTTGCAAGGAATAAATGTTATCAAGTAGTAAAGCAATAAGAAACCAGCTGGGTGTGGTAGAGCATGCCTATAAGGCCAGCACTTGGAAGGCTGAAGCAGGAGAATCACTGCTCAGGAGGCAGAGGCCAGTTGGGGCTAGCTAGAGAGTTTGAGATCAGCCTGGACTACACATTGAGTTCAAGGATGGGCTGTACTACACAGCAAGGCCCTCTCTTTAAAAAATGAAGAAGATGGGGCTGGGGATTTAGCTCAGTGGCAAGCTCGAGGTCAAAAATTTGATCCCCAGCACCACAAAAAAGAAAAAAAAAAAGAAATGAAGAAGAGGAAAAGAGAAAGAGGAGAAGGAGGAAGAAGAACTTAGAAGCTGCACACAGGGTGCACACCTCTCATTCCAGCACTCTGGGAGGACAACCAGAACTTTGAGCCCAGCCCGTGCCATTCAGTGACTAAAACTCTGTGTCAAAATCTTAAAACAGGACTGGGGATGTCGCTCAGTGTGAAGGCCATGGGTCTAATCCCTCATACCCCAAAAAGAAGGAAGTGCGTGTCACACAATCCACAGCCATGCGCATGATCCTTACACGCCCACTGGGTGGGCTGCAGTCTCCCAGCAGCTGCCCTGTCCCTGCCAGCTCTCGGGTTCCCTTCCTGTTAGTGAGCTGCAGTCATCCACATCCAGGAAGCCAAAAATGAAGAGCAGGTGTGCAAAATGCCCACCTGTGGCCAGTCCCCCACACACTCCAGTGTTGTGCTGGTGGAGTGTTTTTGGTACAGTACTAGGGACTGAACCCCGAGCTTGGCACTGAGCTACACTACCCTCTTTTTTTTTTAACTTCCTTGAGAAGGGCCCATCAAACTGCTAGATCCCCCAGGCAGGGTTCGAATTTGCAGTCCTCCTCTGAGAGCCTCCTAGAGAGGCTGTTGAGATTACAGGTGCTGGGTGATGTTTTTACACCTCTGGGGCCCATTGAGGGGGGAGATGGTGGCTGGGGGGTCTTCACAAGGTCCTGTACCCAAAAGGCTGCTGTCTGACTGGGAAGGCCAACAAACTATCCAGGTGGCTGAGGTGGGCTACATCTGCTGTACAGATGACCTAAGGGAAGCCACGTTCAACCTCTGGTCCCCTCCCACTTGGCATCTCTAAAACACCTGCCCTAGAGCTCCGGCCACTGGACTGTCCTTGAGGTATGAGATGGTCCCTCAGGAGAAGGCTTGCTGCGTGGGGCATCCTGGGATTATAGGCAGCTAAGTTACAGACCTCAGAACTGTGGCTGGAGGAGCATCTGAAGGCCAGGCCTCAGGATAACATGCCTGGCCCAACCTACCCACTCCCGTAAGGGAGATGCAGCAAGCTGGAATTATGTGGCTATTGATACTGCCCGGTCCAGGAAGCCCAAATAGGCATCAGCCACACACAGGTGGGGACCAAAGCTCCCGGACCCACTCCTTCCCAAAGTGCTTTGTTCTCCATGCACTCTTGCTACCAGACTCTTTTTCCTTATTAGGTCAGTAGGAGCCATGCAGCTACCGCTGCAATCCTATGGGTTGAGGCAGTTTGACCTCTTTGTGCCCACACTGATTTTGCTGTATAAATTACCTCGACGAAGGTCCTCGGTGGGCCCCTTTTCAGGACCATGCAGGAAACCCCAAAGCTGTTCTTCACTCATTTCCAATAAATCTCTCCCTGCTGCCTCCCTTAGGTTCACAACTTCACTCCTCAACTTGGGCCAGAAAGGCACCACATTTGACACCCAGCGCTATTTCTCCTGCATCACTGGCTCACATCGTAATTCCAGCAGTGCCATAAAAGGCTGAGGCAGGAGGATTACAGGAGCGTGGGCCATTTTTAGCAAGACCCTGTCCGGACAGGAAAAATAATTTTTAAAAGGCTGCAATGTAGCCCTGGGTCCAATCCTGTGTTTGTGGCGACGTAGGGAAGGGGTGCTGGCCAGGAGCAATGAAGCCTTGGGACCCTCCAACATTTTTCTCTGGCCTCCCAAGGAGTCCCAGATCCATCTACCCGAGGTCTGAAAGCCAAGACTTCAAGGTTAGTCAGCCAGGTCTTTGGGTCTCTGCGACAAGGCGAGGGGTCAAAGGTCATCTCCACCACAAAATGGCGCCTTCTAGGAAATTATAGCCGGACTTCCGGCCCACCCCACCAAAGTGCAGATGAGGGGACGCAAACGGTAGGGAAGATATTTGCATACACAAAAACATCAAGTGATTTCATTGCCCGATACAGTCTCCTCCGCTCCAACCTGAGTCCCATTGGCCAATCATCAATTCTGCCCGCCTCCCCTCCGACCCGTCTTTCAGGCCAGTGATTGGTCCGCAGGAGTCTTGTGACCCCCCCCCCCAAATCACAACAGGCCATCCCTATTGGCCCAAGCACCTCCCATCACGTATTTAAAACTCCGAGTCCCGCCTCCTTTGACCCCGCCTCAACCCTGAAAACAACCGTTGGTCGCGTGCGCGACTTCCTCGCTATCAGGAAGCGCATGCGTACACCGGGCGGTAGTGGCGTCTTATTCAAACGGCCCAATCAACGGCCGCGCCGCTTCCGGGCCCCCTTTTTCTCTACTTTCCGGTGTCTCGCATTCTCCATTCCCGGGCGTTCCTGCCCTGACCCCCATGCACAGCCCCTGGCCGCGCGGCTTTCCTCCAGACTTCCCTCGTTTCTGTCTGCAGTTTGAGAAAAGATGGGCGAGCGCGTCGAGCGCCGAGGAATGTGCGCGCTGACGTCTACGGTCGAGGAGCGCCGTGGGGGCGTGGCCTGAGGGGGCCTATAAAGACTCTGTGGTGCGCGCACCACCGGTTCAGTGCGGTCGGGTACCCAGGCGGGCAGAGCGGTGGGCGCGGCACGAAGCTGTTGAAGGAGCCACAGGGGAAGGGAGAGGGGCTGCCGGGGTCTCGTCAGGACCGAGCTGCCGCAGTTGGGCCCCCCCGCCCCGGCCGGCGGCCAGAAGAACGCAGGAAGGGGGCCGGGGGGACCCGCCCCCGGCCGGCCATAGTCATGGTGAGCGCGGACGGTTGGGCCCGAAAGAGGCAACCGGGAGTTCTCGGCAGGAGGCGGTGGAGTCCCAGATCTTCTTCCGGGCGGCCTGAGGGATTTGAGGGCCCATTTGGAGTTTCTGGGCCAGGGATGGGCCGAAAGGCCTTGCGACGGAGCCCCCACAGATGCCTAGGCCAGGAAGCCCCGCGGGGCCTCGGGCGGGCTTGGGGCGTCCTGCGCCGGCTTGTGGAAACCTGGCACCCGTCGCACCTACTGGGCCTGACCCTACTTCTGCAGGATGGTTTTAATAAGATTGGGTGAGGCAAGAGAAAGCCGGGTCTCAGGCCTACTTGGATCCAGGGGCGTCGTTCGCGGTCAGGAGCCAGATCTGGAATGCCAGAGTGAAGCCCTCTAGGTCCCTGGATTCCCTTCCCCCTGTTTGCTATCTGAGCACCCTGGGGTGGTAGCCTGAAACCTGATTGAGGGCCTGGGAGCCCGGGGATGATGGTCATCTTGGGACCTTCAGGGTCGAGTCTAGGGTGGCCTCTCTTGCTGGCTGCTCACCCTGATCTCCTTCGTGTCCAGAACTCCAACGTGGAGAACCTGCCTCCCCACATCATCCGCCTGGTGTACAAGGAGGTGACAACGCTGACAGCCGACCCACCAGATGGCATCAAGGTCTTCCCCAACGAGGAGGACCTCACAGACCTGCAGGTCACCATTGAGGGCCCTGGTGAGTGAGGGCATGAGTGAGGGAGGCCACTTCCTGCTTCCTGGCTTCCGCCTGTGAGCCTCACACGGCACCGTTTACAGGGTGGTCCTGCCAGTCTTGGGCATGTGGCCAGGCTCATAGCTACACAGGAGCCTTGAAAGAACTGTATAGCAGAAACTTACCTAGGCTCAGAGTGAGGCCATCAGATGGGGTAGAAAGTCATGGGAACAGAGTTTCAGGCACTGTCAGTAGCCTCAGCAAAAGGTCAAAATGATGGGCCAGGTGATCAGAACTTCTGTTCTGCCAGTCATTTTCATTGACTGGGGACAGGTAAGGGACAAGCTAAATACCAAACTCTAGGGGAGGCAGGTGAGAATGAAGCCATTGCATTGGTTTGTATTGTGAGGGTGACCGAATTCCATTTTCTGCAAACCACATTTCTGTCAGCGCTCAAATTCCTCCAAGGCCAGCTGAAGTGTCCAAGAGCCCAGGGAAGAAGGGACTGCCCTGGAAGAGTGCTGATTTGGGGAGGCCTTCCCTGAAGAGTTGACAGTTAACAGGAATCTGGCTGTCTTCGTGGAGAGGTTGGGGGTGAAGGATTCAAATGATCAGGGGCCAGGATTCCCAGAAAGACTTCAGGCAGGCAGGCAGGCTTGGGCACTTTGTAGAAATGAACATAAAAAAGTAGGGAGCAGTGTTTATCTAGGCCTCTGCTGGAGCCTGGGGAGGAGGCCAGTCCAGGGTTTGTTGGAATATGACAACTCCCTACAGTGTTCCCCCTTAACCTGGGAGGTGGAGGTGAGGGCCAGGAGAGCAGCCAGGTGAGAAGGTAGTGCTGTGGGATTCCGAGAGGACTTGGGGCAGCTGTCCAGAGTGTCATGGATCTGGGGGCTGTAGTAGGTGGGACATCTTTTGAGCCACGCAAAGAACTGTTCCCTGGGGGTATAGAAAGGCGAGGAAGACAAAAGACAAGCAAGTCTGGGGTCCCTGCTTCCTGGAAGTGGTAGATCTTGGACAGTCATTTGGGACAGTCACAAAGCGATGAAGACACAGGAGAGGGCTGCAGAACATGGCTTTTAAAATTTCTTTTTCCTTTCTTTTTTTTTTGAAGACAGGGTCTCTCAATCTCAGGCTGGCCTTGAACTCACTATGTAGCCCAGGCTGGCCTCAAACTTGCAGTAGTCCTCCTGCCTTAGCCTCCTGAGTGCTGGGATTGCAGCACTCAGGAGTGAATCAACACACCTTACATAGTAACTCTTAAGGGAGTGAGGAGTTGCTGCTATTGGTCCTTTGAGATCTGTCCTTGTTGTCATTAAGTGGGGCTGGGGATTTTTAGCTCAGCAGCACAGGTACCTTTCTGGCAAGCACAGGGTTTAAGTTCAATCCTCAGTACCAAAAAGAAAAAGAAGAAAAAATAAACCCAGCCTGCCAGGCACCATGGTGTATATTTGTAATCACTCAGGAGGCTGAAGAATAATAGCAATTTTGTTTTCTGAGGTATGGTCTTGTGTGGCCCAGGCTGGCCACAAACCCATGGCAATCCTCATGCCTCAACCTCCCAAGTGCTGGAATTTCAAGGCTGTGCCATCCCGCCCTGTGAGGATTGCAATTCAGAGACCAGCCTGAGAAAAGGCGATTGGACTATAGCTCAGTGTCAAATGCAAAATCCTGGGTTCAGTGCTCTGAAATGCCAAAGAAAATGGGGGCCTTGGGCTGCAGCTCAATGGTGGAGTATTTGTGTAGTATGACTGGCCTCTTGTGTTCAATTCCCAGGACCACAAGAAAAAAAACTCCCCACCTTGTGGGAGAGGCTTTGGGGTGCTGTGGGCTGCCGGGAGTCCCCCCTCACTTACCCAGCCTCCCTTTGCTCCACTCCAGAGGGCACCCCGTACGCTGGGGGCCTGTTCCGCATGAAGCTGCTGCTGGGAAAGGACTTTCCCGCTTCCCCACCCAAGGGCTACTTCCTAACCAAAATCTTCCACCCCAACGTGGGCGCCAACGGCGAGATCTGTGTCAACGTGCTCAAACGGGACTGGACAGCTGAGCTGGGTATCCGGCATGTGCTGCTGGTGAGTACAGCAGAGGCCCCTGCTGTTTTTGAAAAATTGTGGAAGGCCTGAAGTGAGGCGCCCCCACACCCTCATATTCTTGCTCCGAGCCTGGGGTCCTGGTCCTGCAGTACATGGAGGTGTAGGGAGCAGGGTTAGAGAGGGGTTTTGTTTTTGCATACCAGAGATTTTCAAATCCATAGCTCAGTGGTAATTATTAACTAGGTTCCTGCCTCTGTGAGGCTGTCTGCATGCTAGGTTGTTTTCCTGCACTCTGTCCCTCACACAGGGGCGAATGTGCCCCAGGGACATTGTGCATTGTCAGAATACCTTGGTTGTCAAGACTGGTGCAGGTGCATATCCCACGGTATCTGCTGCCTCCCAGGTGGGGTGCCCTGGTATAGGCCAGCTCTCCAAAGGCCACTTAAAGTTTAGGTTTCTTCTATCTTTTCCACCCCTCCCAGAAGCTTAAAAAAGTTGCAGGGGTTTTTGTTGTTTTGGTTTTGTTTTCAAGATGGTTTCTTTAGTTCAGACTGACTTTGAACTCAGTGTATAACCTAAACTGACTTTGGGGTGGTGACCCTCCTGCCTCGGCCTCCCCAGTGCTGGGGATGACCACCAAAAAGGAAATTTGTAATGAGCCTTTGAGGCAGGTGATAGGGAAGAGGGAAATTGGGGTTTCCCCACCTAGGACAGTGGAGAACAGCTCCAGGGCCAACCCTCTGGACCTGTCTCCCTGCCCCACCTCCCTGACCCTAAAAGCTTGGAGATATCTGAGAAGTGGGAGAGGCCCAGCAGGGTAGCACCCCTCTGTAATCCCAGCTCTTGGGAAACTGAGGCAGGAGGATTGCAGTTCAGGGGCAGCCTAAACCAAAAGAATCAGGGCAGACCCTGTACCTCTTAAGAAATATGTTAGCACCTGGAGCATGGTCCCTGTGCCCAAGCCAGTCCAGCTGCTCTGCACTCTGATGAGCACAGGTTTGCAGGCCTCCTCTTCTCCTGGGCCTTGGCTTCTGGAGTACAGCCCAGCCTTGCCAGGGTCCCCTCTAGCCCTGAGCTGGGGTGCCTGTCAGACCTGTCTATTGGTTGGCACTAGTTCCTGTGGACACCTTGCCACCCCTAGTGCCCACTGGGGCGCTCCAAGACTGCTTGCCCAGGCACTAAGCCTCTTTGTGGGTGCTTGACATGGGAGGGCAGGGAAACCCTGGGCCACTGGGGCAGCAGGAGGGCACTGACCAGACCCACCCCCAACAGACCATCAAGTGCCTGCTGATCCACCCAAACCCTGAGTCTGCGCTCAATGAGGAGGCTGGCCGCCTGTTGCTGGAGAACTATGAAGAGTATGCAGCGCGCGCCCGACTGCTTACTGAGATCCACGGTGGTGCCGGTGGGCCCAGTGCCAGGGGCCCCTTGGAGGCTACTGAAACTGCCTCTGCAGAGCCCGGAGCCCCAGGTGGGGCCGAGGGCCCCATGGCCAAGAAGCATGCAGGGGAGCGTGACAAGAAGCTGGCAGCCAAGAAGAAGACGGACAAGAAGCGGGCTCTGCGGCGGCTGTAGGGCCTCTTTGTGCCCCTGCCCTCCCTCCTGTCTCTAAATTATTTAAATTATGGCTGGGGTGGGCTGGGATCTGGATTTGGTTTTCTAAATAAAGTTGGAAAAGCAACTGCCTGTTGAGTTACCAAGAGGGTGGCCCAATACTCCGTAACCTGTCCTCAGTGAAGGGGGTCACAGCATCTCCTAAAAGGGGTACCCTCTGGAAGCCCCATGCTTTATGGACCCTACAGCCCGGCCTGAGGGTGGGGGGGGGTCTGGCCTGCAGTCCTGCACCAGCGTCATCTGGTCCCAAGGATAGCTGTAACAGTCTTGATACCCAGCTTTCTACTGCAAACCTGAAGGAAACTCAAGACCCAGACAGCAGGTGGCACCAGTGTCTCACTCTGCCCCCTCCCAAGCATAGCAGAAGCAAGGACTCCTTCAGGCTTCTTCACCCCAAACCCAGGGTGGGAGGGTCACTGTGGTGTCTCATACCATTCCAGTCCTCACCTGGGCCTCCCACTGTGGGCAGTACAGTGTGTACTCCAAAGAACTAAATGGGTTAGGGTTAATCTAACCCAAGAGAAATACCTACGCCTGGCACATAAGCACGCAGGAACCTACATCTAAAACAACCCACCCTTCCTGTAATGAACTGGGTGATCTCATGAAAACCTACCTAAACCACCCCACACCACCCCCCATTTTTAACCCAGATTCTTGGCTGCCCAAAACCTACCCCCTCCATTACTCAGCCGCTGGCCTCTCAGGTCTCCAGCTCCAAACATAGTAGCAGGCCTTAGTGGTCTTGCAGGCTGGCATGGAGCAAAACTCCCTATCGCGCGTGCGTGCGTGTGTGTGTGAAAGTCATGTCCTGTCCGTTCCCACCCCCCCTCCAGTGAGCTGACAACTTGTGACAAGGCCCAAGGCCCCAGGAAAGTTTATTGCTCAGGCACTCTTGGTGGGGCGGGTCCGCTTCCTCTTCACCATCACAGGCTTCTGGCTGCGCAGGATGGCACTGGCTCTGCGGATGGCAGCCTATGAGGGAGGGTAGTCCTTGAAGTGGGGCATCCAGAGCCCATACCTCTTTGTCCCTCCCTGCCTGGCCATAACCCCTCACCATGCGCAGGTCTGGGCGGTACTTGTTCTTGCGGATCATGTGTCGGATACTGCTGAGGGTGGCTCGGGCATTCTTGTTGATGGTAGTGCGAACATAGGAGGTGGCTGGCTTCCGCTGTCCTGGGAGACAAACGCGAACCAGCCCATCAGGGTTACGAACGACCTCCTCAGTCCAAGAACCAGGGCACTGACTTGGCCCTGAGCACCTGGGGGGCCCCCTCATACACTCAGCCAGCATATGCTACTTAGGAGGCCAGTCTGAGCCTTGACAGACAGACTTACTTAAGGTCCTGTGTGTAGCAGAGCTGCTGTTTCCAATCTGGGTCACAAAACACCAGATTGAGCATTTCAGGGTCAGCTACCTTGTGGTACAGGCTAGAATGGGGCAGAAGTGGGGCAGCACAGGAGGCACAGTCAGGATGCCTGTCTTGATCAAAAAGCAAGCAAGGCCAGGGGATATGGCTGGGCGGCATAAGCACTTGCTTGGCAAACGCAAGGTCCCAAGTTCAATTCTCAGCATACAAAAAAAAAAAAAAACCTTCAAGCTGGTGACATAATGTGAACCTGGAATTCCAGCAATCTGTTTGGGACACTGAGGCAGAAGGATCCAAAGTTGAAGGCCAACTAGGGCAACAAAGTGAGATCCTTCCTCGATATAGTTTTAACTAGGCTGGGGCTGCAGTCAGGACAAAACTCGGGGTTCAAACCCCAGTACTCACACCCTCACAGCAGAGCAACAACAAAAGTGGTGACAAACTGTCCCAAGAGCCCTGCCTCTTCTGGACTCCTCACACAAGTCACTTTGGAGAGATCCCCAACAAGCCTGTCTGTGCTACACAGCAAAATGAAGAGGCTTCTGACCCAACCTGATCTCTAGGTTCGAGGGAGCCCTTACCCATTGACCTCTACCTTACCAACTCCCAGATGGAGAGGTCCACCCCAACGGGTTGTCTTGAGGACTTGAGGATTTAAACTTTTTGTGTTTTCGAAACTGAGTTCCTATGCCTTTAACTCTGCACAGCGAAGGCTGGCCTCAACCTTCAGGGCACTGGGATTACAGTACATGCCTGAGCCACCACATCTGATCACTCCGTAAAGACTTAAATCTGAAAACGTCACACAAGTGTAGGACCCAGTTGTGTGGTGGTGAGGATTCAGGTCCGGGGACTCGCCAACCTTGCAGAGTTAGGGCGGAAGCCTAAAGCGGCTTCCCCAGCATCCTGCCCCTGGGAACACTCTCCCCTGCCGAACGAGCCCTCTGCCCGACTGGGAACCAGCCAGCTCCCCGCGGGAAGGGGCGCTCACCGGATCTCCGTTTCATGACCACCACGACCCCCTTGCCGTCGGCCGCCGGCTCCACGCCCACCGTCTTGCGGTGAATCAGCCCGTTGTAGCGGAAGGAGTTGCGGGCCTTCAGATTATTGGGCTCCTGGGAAAGAGGCGCCAGGATGAGCCTGAGGATGCCAGGCTGGGGCCCTGGGGCCCTCTCCCACAGGGCCGTGCATCGGGGCGGCTCACCGTGCTGTACGTCTGCTTGTTCCGCTTGATCAGGAAGCTGGAGCAGTTCCGCACCACCATCCACTGCAGATGCGCGGACATGGCGGCGACTGCAGGGCGGCGGCAAGAGGAGGGTATCAGAGCAGTAGACCGGAGGCGCGCCCGGCCAGCAAAGGGGTCAGTGAAGGGCCGGAGGCGCCCCCGAGGGACCGCGACCTGAGGCGGCGGAGACGGTGGGACAGGGCCAGGGGAATGCGAGATGCTACAACTTTAGGCGTAGGAGAGGGGGACGCTAAAGACGCTTGCGGGTCGAGAATAAAAGCCAAATACGGTGGCTCAGGGTCCCTGCGCCATGCTCACGCCAACAGCCACGCGGGTCGCACACTCACCTCCTCTCACTGCGGCCGAAGACGGAAAGAGGAGGGACGGGGCGGGGCACCGCCTTTAGTATAGTAACGTATTTCCGCTTCCTCTTCGCGCGCGCGCCGGAAGTAACTAGCCGAGCCTCCGCCTTCATTTCGGCTCACCCTCGGAGGATGCTCGGTAATATTCGGCAATTTCTGTCTTGCTGAGCGCCTTAGAAAACGTTCAGCAATTGCGGTCCGTGGAACGCTGACGTTTCGTGCGCCGTTCGGAAGTTTTCGGAATTCGTCGGATAGATTTCCGAATGGGTCCATACCGGAAGTACCGAGACCTTTCCCAGCACCCTGGGTCCTATATTGCTTAACCAACCTCTGGCACTGTCCTTGGCACACGATGAGTGTAAATAAGCACTTGTTTTTTGAATGAGTGTGTGAATGCAAGGATCATTTAATCATAGCCCCCCAACGAGCTCGGGTACTTCCGGTTTTCTTCGTAAGCCCTCGGTTTTTGCCTGCTGGGACATTTTTGGAACTTCCTGGAAACCTGCCAGGTGCAATCAGCCACCCTGCCCTATTGGTGTATGTGTAGTTTGGGTCTGTTCGGAAACACTCGGACCCCACTCGGCAATACGAATCCTTTGGCTAAGGCCATAAGCCCTTAGCAGTTTGTGCTCCTCTGGGCCTTAAACGCTAAAGTCAGGTCTGGGGACAATCCAGACGGAGCTGCGTTGGACGACTTCGCCCCGAGAGCGTGGGCCAGCTGTTGGGAGCAGAGCTTTGAGCTGAATGCTCCTAGTTCCCTTTCGTCCAGATTTTCCCAGGCCTTTGCTGCCTTCCGCCCTGAGGTCCTCAGTCACCCCCAAAGCTTCCTGTTAGTTTGTGGTCTGTCGTCAGGGCCATCCTGGGGGAGCAGGGCCTCGCCAGCCCAGGCAGGCGACCCTGCCAAACAGCTGGCGCGCCTCCCTGCGGTGCTGGGGACTGAAGCAGGGCTTTCGTGCTCAACTAGGTCCCCAGCCCTTGTCATTTTGACACGGGCTCTCGCTAAGGTACCCAGGCTGAACTCAAATTTGTGATTCTCCTGCCCCAGCCTCCCATGTCCACCCTGACTGGTCGTGGTTTCTGGGCCCACCTGCGCCCACCCCTGGGGTCTGGGGAAGCTGGCACCAAACAGAAACGATGCCTGGCTGCCTCCTCGCGGAATCCTGAGGGCTCTGTGTGTGTGTGTGTGTCCAGGGACCAAACCCAGGGTTGCTGTACTACTGTGCTGTATCTCCAGGCCCTAAGTTACCCAGGTGGGACTGAAACCTGCGATTCTCCTGGTTCCACCTCCCAAAGTGCTGGGGTTACATCCTCAAGTTGGGCCAGGAGGGGCAGCCCCGCCCGGGACCGCCAGGTGCCCGGCCCAGTTCAGGTGACCACGGACGCCAGGCACACCTGGCGCCGTCCCTGACCCCGCCCCGGGAGCCCGCCGCACCCCGGATCCCAGGCCATGGCGGCGGCCAACGCCTTGCAAAGCGCCCCGCCGGGGCCCGCGTGCCAGCCTGCACCCGCGCCGCCCGTGTCCCCCGCCGCGGCGGGCCTGGGCCGCTGCCGCGTGGCGCTGCTGCTAGCCGTGGCGCTGGACGTGGCAGGCATGGCGGCGCTGCTGACCGGCGTATTCGCGCAGCTGCAGGTGCGCGGTCGCGACTTCGGCGACCTGCTCATCTACTCAGGCGCCCTGCTTGTCTTCCTGAGCCTGCTCGGCTGGATCCTCTGGTACACCGGCAACATCGAGATCTCGCGCCAGGAGCTGGAGCGCGACTACGGCCTGCGGCCCTCGGCGCTCGCCCGCCTGGCGCGCAAACTGTCCCGCCGCTGGTCGGCGCCAGCCGCCGGCGCCCGCGCGCACGGACCCCGCGGAGCGCGCACGGACCCCCGCGCGCCCCCGCCGCCTGGAGCGCGCCGCGTGCGCCTGCAGCTCGCCACGCTGGAGGCCGGACCCGGTGCGTCGGCGCGTGCGGCTGGCGAGCCCCAGGTGAGCGCGCCCGGGAGGGGGCGGGGACAGGGATGCACGCTGGGGGACCTGGCAGCCAACCCATTCGGTCGATGTGCTCTGGGCCTCTGCGCCCGCGTTCCACAGTGGGGATATCCGAGGCCCAGGATGGCGCAGCTTTTAGCCGGGCCTGGTGGTGCACGCCTGCTATCCTAGCTTCAGGCAGGGGGATAACAAGGTCGAGCCCGGCCTGGGCAACTTAGCGATTTATGAAGACCCTGTCTCAAAATAAAAAATAAAAAAGGCGGCTCGGGAGCATAACTCAATGCAAAGTTCCTGGATTCAAAGCCCTGTACCACCGCCACCAAAAAAAAAAAAAAAAAAAAAAAGCCAAAAACATCATCTATGCACGACAAGTCAACTTTTCTCCTATGCATCCAGAATGATAGGAACGATCTGCTATTCTTTGTGAGGTCTGAAAAAGAGAAGTCACTTCCACCATATTCTATGTTCTGTGGCTAAGAAAGAAACAGGTCTAAGACAGGATGAGTAACTGTGTGCATAGGTAAAGCCTGAGCTAGTATGAGATTGGGCATATCCGTGTGAAAACAGCCATCTCTATTTACAGTTACCCGGGAAAAATCCTTGCCATTCCCCACACATCTCCCGGCCTGGGTGACCATGGCTGCGACCACCTGCTGGAGCCTGGAGCCAAGTACCAAAGTCTGGGCTCTCGGAAAGAAAGGAGTCTGTTAAATAGGACTCATTTGGGCCTGGGTGTGCTGGTCAGGATGTCAGGGCAGGAAGGTGGAGAGCAGGGTTTTGAAGGAGAGAGCTGTCCAGCTTAGATGAGTTTAAATGTGGAATCCTCCTGCCCCACCCTCTAAGAATGCTGGGATTCCGGGTTTGCACCACTATGCCTGGTGGCTTCCTGAGTCCACTTTCTCCGCTGCCTTCTCGTCTCTGTGCTGCTGTCCTGCCTCTGCCTTTCCTTACCTCCCACCCAAGGATCCCAGGGAGTGTTAGGGACCCATGCTTGTGAATATGAGACCCACCAGTGGGTGGGAGACACAATGGGGGTGACCCAAGCATGAGCACCGCTAACCCCACCCTCGATCCCACAGACTGCCACATGGCCCCACCGATCGGGACCTGACTGAGACCTGCAGCTGCCCCATCTCGACGGCCACAGGATGTCCTCAGCCCTGCTGCCCTCCCCGGATAAACAGCTCTGCCCTCTCACTCTGTTCATCTGTGCTTAGCCAGGCTGTGCAGGCGTAGGGTGGGATGAGGGTGCGTCCTTGCGTCCGGGGGTTGCTGGAGCCCAGCTTCCCATGATCCTCAGTAAAGGTCTCTGAGCCCCACATGTGCACTCACACCTGGCCCAGGATACCCAGGCTCTCAGAAAGAACAATGCATCCCTGTGCCATGTCTGTATTGAGGGGTTCCTCAGACAGCCCTACTCTTCACCGCCTTCTGTTTCCTCGCCCTCTTTCATCTCTTCACTCCTGGCCCCTTCCACCCCAGAGGGCGTAGCGGGTACTTGGCTGGTGGAAGGGGTCTTCTCGCCTGTCCCCCGATCCTTGGACAGCAGTGACACTGTCCTGGACAGGCTGCACGTGCCCCGCAAGAAGCCCGGGAAGTGGAGCATGTCCCGGCGCTGGGCCCACCTGTGGGAACAAGAAGGAGCCTCGCTCAGCCTGCGCCCCTGTCCCTCACCCAGCCAGGCCCGGGTGCACCGGCTCACCAGAAGATGCAGATGCTGCAGATGAGGAGGAGGAGGCCTCCACAGGTCCAGCCCAGGGCCCACATGTGCTTCTTACGCATGTTTTCTGCACGCACAGGGAGGGTTGGAGGCTCTGCACGGGTCAGGCCATACCCCTGCCCGCTCCCCATGGCATCCAGGCCAGCCCCTCACCGTCTGGCCGCTGGTGGTAGCAGACCCCATCTCGGTAGCAGCAGCGTAGGCGCAGGCAGAGGTTGGGGCTCTCGATGGCCGCCTGACCCCCACAGCTCTCCCGGTCCCACACATCACCCTCACAGCCTGGGGGCCACCAGCAGATGGTCACAGCTGGCCCTGCACTTCGGGGCCCCTGTGGCCACACTTTGGGAATTCAGCTGGTAGTTACTGCATGCAAGACTCAAGGGTCCTGACATGGCCTCCATCCTTAGACCTGGGATCCTGGGCCAGCCTCCCTGCCCCCGCTGCAGACCTGGGGACCAGGCCCGGTATCTCCCTCCCCAGACCTAGGGATCAGGTCTGCCCCCCCAACCCAGGGGCCAGGCCCGGTCCCCACCCACCCAGGGACCAGCCTGGCCTGCCCCCACTGCCAGACCTAGGGACCAGGCCAGTCTTCCCCAGACCCATGGACCCCAGACCCGACCTCCCTACTCAGACAGAGGGTCCCAGCCTCTGCCCTGGAGGCCCCATAGTCTAATCAGAGTGTCCCCTCCCTGAGTCCCCACAGTTTCAGCTTCTGCTCACTCCATGGGTAGAAGAATCCGTGGATTCCGATCCCTTCTGTGAGAGAAAGGAGGTCATAATGGAGACCATACAGAGGACTGGGCAGCCCACTCTGTGACCCTGTGCCTCCTCCCCACCAATGCCCTCACCGACTGAGCCCTGCACCAGCAGGAGCAGGCCCAACGCTGAGATCCCTGAGCCCACCATGTTGCCTCCCCAGACACTGGTCCCTCTGTGGGGATAGGCCTTAGGGACATCACCCCAGCAACGCTGGGCCCCGCCCACCCCAAGCCCCAGAATTCTGAGTTCTGTTGCTGGTCCCCTTAGCACGGGCTCAGCCAGCAGGGTCCTCCTGGCTTGGTCATGTCTGGCCTAGGAAATGACTTTTATTCTCCCCTTGCAGTACTGAGGATTGAACCCAGAGCCTTTGCACTGAGCTATATCTTCGGCTCTTTTTCAGTTTTTTATTTTCAGACAGGGTCTCACTAAGTTGCTCAGTTACCAAGTGTGGCTTGAACTTAGGATCCTCCTGCCTCAGCCTACCAGAGTGTTAGGATTACAGGCCCAAGCCAGCGTGCCCAGCTGGGAAGTGGTTCCTGTAGTGCCCAGATGTAAGGATCTGTGTCAGGGGCCTCAGGCTTTAGGGGACGCCTTCAGCCTCTGAAGAGAGGGAAGAAGAAGCTGAGGAAGAGCCTAGGCTGGGCCAGCTCCCTCTCATCACTGGGAACCCAGAATGGGTGGATCCGTTGCGAAGACCTCCTCACCCAAGGACCCTTTGCTCCTAACCCCATATCTGCAGAGGTGGCCTCAGGTGGCCAAGGAGAACCCTTTCTGCTAGGGAGTTTTTCCCCTTAGCAACTTGGAGGAAGGGCCAGGACCCAGGGGTCTCACTGAGCCCCATTGTGAGGAACTGTTGCCCAGCAACCAGGAGACCTGGAGGAGGATGGGACCTGGAGGCCAAGCCCTGGTGCCCCAGCACACTTGTCACCCAACAAGGCCACACCAGGCCTCCTCTCTGGGAACCATGAGCCAGTGCAGGTCTGGCAGAGGCAGGTGGCCTAGGATGTGAGGCACAGGTGTCGAAGATGACTGCTGCCAGGGCCACCCAAGACTGAGCCCTCTGAAAAGGAGGGCTGCACTCCAGAGCTTCTTGTTTATTTCCTTTGGTTTCCCCATAGTTGACAAGGGTGTGGCACCAAAGGAAGGGACCCAGAGCAGGGCTGGGCTGGCACCTGGCACCTAGATCACCCAGTCCCAGCCGCCACTGAGCTCTAGGAGTGAGCATTCCAGACCAGAATGGGTTCCTGGGCTTTGGCCAGGGGTTACTGATCTGAGGAGAAAGGCTGGACCTAGAGCCCCGGGGCCGGGGAAAGAGGCCAGGCCAGGACCCCGGGTCGGAGAGGGGAAGCCAGGCCCTGGGCCCTGGGTGTGAGGGCAAGGGTCAGAGCCAGCTATTTCCCAAGCCTAGGGCTGACTCCTGGTCCTACCCTTGTCTCTTGTAAACATCCTGGTGGGTGCTGAGCTGGCCCTGGGCTACCTCCGTCAGAGATGACACTGGTCAGAGGGAGCCTGGTGGGGGGCGCGGAGTGGGGGTCAGTGGAGTTGTGGGGCTGAGGGCAGGCAGCTGCTGACCATTTCCTGTGTCAACACCATCTGGACCCACTTCCCAATTCCCGGGATTCCTTAGGGATCAAGGAGGGGGTGGGGGGCGGGGCTCCCTCTCCCTGGACTGCGGCTTGGGACTGGGGGGGGGGCCACCTTCACGGCCCTCACCGCTAATGACAGGTTTGAAGTGCCTCTGCGGCTGGCCTGCCTCGTCACCCCCCTGAGGCCAGACGGGACCCCCCAGGGACAGACAGACGGACACACACTGCCGGGGATTTGCTGACACACATGTGGCCAGCACATCTCCCCAGGGGCCAGCACTGCAGCCACCGGGGACCCCTGATGGCCCTGAGGGCCCCGGGTACACATCTGGAGTCTGTGAGCACCCTGAGGGCCTGGTGGCCCTGCCCGGGACCCCAACCGCTCTCCCTGAAGCCCACTTAGCCTTGTGTCTGCTTCCTCGTTCTGCGGCTGCACTGCTGCCCTCCTCTGTCATTGTCATTTTCTTGGGATCCCTCAACCCTGACCCTGCGTCCTTGGTCTTTTTTATATCCCCTCTCTGTCTCTCACATGAGAAGTGATCCACTGTCCTCCATCCAGGCAGGGGGGAGCACCAGGGAGCCCCCAACTCTCCAGGACCTCCCGCAGCCCCAGTGAAGGGGAGAAGTCTGAGTCCACTGCAGGGACCAACACAGGGCCAAAAGTGCCCCCCCATTTGACCCAGATCAGTGACCTTCTGCATGCAGACAGCCCCCCCCCCCGCTGAGTATGGGGGGAGCTCCCCTTGTTATCTTCTGTCACCTCCAAATGATGGAGGGAAGAGGCTGGGGGAAGAGGCTGAGGGAAGAGGCTGTGTTTGGACCCACCGTGGGGGGGGGTCATAGTGGAATGCGGGTGGGGACAGGATTGCCGGTCCCCTCGTGGAAGTGGCTGGCCTTTCTTGATCCCTTGGTGCTCTCGGCTGGCCCCAGGCCCTGTCTCCCATCCCCTCAGGCCAGTCCATCCCCAGGCTGGTGGCCTGAGTCACCTTGGCTGGCCCTGCCGGTCTGGGGGGGGGCTACGTCAGCTCTCCCCTCACTGACGCAGCCCAGGGCCCCCCACACTGACTCAGCCGGAAACAGGCCCCCTGAGGGGTGGGGACCCAGTGGTCAGAGGCCTGGGTCCCAGCAGAGTGAGGGCTGGGGAGGCTCCTGGGGCCCCCCAAAGGGGTGGCCGACCGACGAGGGTTGTTCTTCTTACCTGAGGTGATGAAGTCATCTCCCACCAGGGGGGGCTGTGACCTCACCTCCCTGGGGACCTGAGCCCCGGCCTCCCCAGTGTGCAGTGTGCCGCAGGGAGGAGGAGACCCTGCCCACACAAGCTCAGGAGAGGCCCCACTTGGGGTCTGCAGAGACCTCTGGAGCCCCCTGCCCGTCCTCCATCCGTCCTAGTGCTCTCTGCCAACTCCTCCAGGGAAGCACTCCTGGAATCACTACCACCGAGTTCCTCCCTCACTGGGCTCGCATCCCGGGCCTCTGCTGGTCTCTGTCTCTCCCCATCTTTCCCGGGGTTAATAAAGGGGCATGCTGATGACCACCCATGACTTGGTCATACTTCCCAGGTGAACTTGAGTTACCTTCACTGCGTTGTATGGGGCAAGGCTGGTCCTTATTACTGTCATTTCACAGATGGGGAAACTGATGCATGGGGGCAGCCTCAGGTGCTGAGTCCCCTCCTCTCTAGAGATTGTCTTGGTCACTCTCTGCCATGACCTGTGATACTGAGGATTGAGCCCAGGATCTCTGCACTGAGTTACATCCCCTGCCTTTCTTCCCTTCTTACAGAGGCCAAGTCACTAATGCCCAGGCTGGGTTCAAACTTCAGATCCTCCTGCCTCAGCCTCCCAAAGTACCGAGATTTGGGGTGTGTACCCCCATGCCCAGCTAGGGGAGTGTCTTGATGGCCCCCTCTCTGACTCCCCGGTGTCTGTCTTGGTCCTCTGCCACCTTCATATCTCTGCCTGCCTCTGCCTTCCATACCTCAGTGTTCAGTGTCAGCCACCAGCATTCCCACCTAGTGTGGCCCCCCATCCAGCCTGGACTCCATCACTGCTCTAGGCCTGGCTCAGGGTGCTGGCCCTTACAGCCTGCAGCCTGCCTCCTCTCTGGGTCTGGGAGGGGGTCCCTGTCTCCCTCTACATGGGTCCCTGGGTGTCCCCATGAACCCCTTCACCTTGTTCTGATGTGGACCCAGAACTTGTGCTCCCTGCCTGTCCGCTGCTGCACTCCCAGCTCTGTCCCCGGACCCCCACATTGCTCTGCCTGTCCCAGCGGCCAGACCCCCACCCAGCTAGCACAGGGCTCAGCTCAGGCTGCGGGCTGCCTGTGTCTGCCCCTGCAGTGGAGGTGGAGGGAGGGGACGCCAATGACCTCACCAGCCCCTCTCCGACCACCCCCTCTTCACTTTTCAACTTTTCCAACTTTTCCTGCTGTGCCCTCCTCTGAGCGAGTCGGCGTGAGTCCTGAGAGGCAGCCGGCTCGTCTGAATGGAAAAGGCAGGAGGGAGGGTGAGTCAGGATGTGTCAGGCGCCCTCCCCGGCCGCCTGCCCCCCGCCCGCCTGCCCCGGCCCCCTATATAACCCCCCGGGCGCCCGTACTGCCTCATTGCGCCTGCTGCTCGCACGCACATGCCTCCCCTCCCCAGGCCGCGGCCCAGCTGACCCCGGGGCTGTGGGGTCCCCGGCTGGCAGCGGACAGGGAAGGGTTAAAGGCCCGTGGCTCCCTGCCCCTGCCCTGGGGAACCCCTGCCTGTGGGGACATGAACTGTAAGTGGGTCCCAGCGCCTGGGGTGGAGGACGGTGCAGGAGGCAGGCAAGGACAGGGCCAGGACGGCACAGAAGGCAGGGAGTGCTGGGGCCACGGCGGAGGGCAGCGTCCAAAGACGGTAGCAGCAGAGTCCGGGCCAGGACAGATGGGCAGGGCGAGACCAGAGGCCAGGGAGCAGAGGCAGATGCTGAGAAGAGGGCTTTTGGTGTTATGGGGATAGGCAGACAGGCAAGGGAGGGAAACTGAGGCAGGGCCTCCATAGAGGGAAGCGCGCCCAGGAGGGCCGGTGCTAGCCGGGACAGAGGGCGGCAAGGTGCAGGCCGGGCTGGGCTGCGAGCAGCCTGTGCAGCTGGACGCGGGAGGCACGCGGGCCGGGGGGCGGGCCGGGGGCGTGGAGGGGGAAAGCGTGCGGGCGGGGCCGCTGATTGGCTGACGCGCGCAGTGGGCGGGGCGCGCCGGTCCCTGACCTGAGTGAGGGCCCCGCCCCCATGGGGGGGCGCCAAGCGGACCTGGGGCTCCGCAGGGTCCAGGTGTCTGGGTCCCGGCCCGGCCGGCTCTGCTCTCGCGCCCAGGCCTGCGGGGCTCCGGGTCGGAGGGGGCAGGTCCTGGCCTGCGCTCCCCCTGCCGCCCCGCCCCGGGGCCCAGATTCCGGCGTCCGGGGGCGGACGGCGGACGGGAGACGCCCGGCCCGTCTGCCCACCCTAGGCCCGTCTGCGCCGGCGGGCGGGGCGCCTGGAGGGAGGCCGGCGACCTGCCCTGGGCGCGCCCAGCCACCCCGCCCTCCCTGGGGCCGGGCCTCCTCCCTCAGACCCGGGGCCCGCCTAAGGTCTCCGTATCCTCGTACCCCCAGGTGTTTGCCACCTGGTCCTGGTGGTGCTGAGCCTCTGGCCAGAGAGAGCTGCTGCCCGCGGACCGCCTCCTGGTCCCTCGCGAGCAACCCCAGACCCCCGGGCGGAGCTGGACAGCGCAGTCCTCCTGACCCGCTCCCTCCTGGTGGACACGAGGCAGCTGGCCGCACAGCTGGTAGGAGAGGGAGAGGGCACTGGGGCCGGAGTCCACAGGGGTCTTCACCGCCTCAGCTGGAGGGCAGAACCCAGAGAGGGCACCCTGGTGCCAGTCCGGGCTGGGGTTGGGGTCTCCCTCACAACTCTTCTTCTCCAGAGAGACAAGTTCCCAGTGGACGGGGACCACAGCCTGGACTCCCTTCCCACGCCGGCCATGAGCGCTGGCGCGCTTGGCGCCCTGCAGGTATGGGCTGGGCCAGGCCGGATGTTCAAGTGTGTGCAAGCTGGTGGTGGAGGGCATCGGGGCAGGGTCTCCTGATGCCCTGTCCCCTCTGCAGCTGCCCGGTGTGCTTACCCGGCTTCGAGCCGACCTGCTGTCCTACCTTCGACATGTGCAGTGGCTACGCCGGGCGGGCGGCCCTTCACTGAAGACCCTGGAGCCCGAGCTGGGTGCCCTGCAGGCCCGACTGGACCGGCTGCTGCGCCGGCTGCAGCTCCTGGTATGCCTGGGTCCCAGACCTCACTAGTCTTGCCCTATCTGCACCCCATCACCTGCCACCCTGGTGCCTGAGACCTTGAACCCGGGGCCCCCGGCATCCCAGAGTCATTCTGGAGACCCAGAGCCCAGCTCGGAACCCTGTTCTGAGATCCCAAACCTGAGATGCCCAAGTCGCCATGGCCCTGTGACTGACTGAGGTCTTAGACCCCACAATCTGGCCCCAAAAGACCAGACTGTCTCCTCGTGTCCCTGGCACCCCATGGTTCCAGCCTTGTGTGCCTGAGACTGTGAGGTGCCACAGCTCCAGTCCCTGCCTGAGACCTGAGCTCCCTGTCCTGAGGCCCTGTGCCTCGAGAACCCAAATCCTCCCCCCAAAGACTTGGAGGCCATGACCCTCAAACAATGACAAGCTCAAACTCTCTTGAGGCCCAGGCCCTAACCCCAAGCTGCAAGAATGACCCCACCATTGAGATCTCTCCACAATGCCAAAGCCCCAGAACCTACACCCAAGGGCTAGCTCGGACTTGGACCCCAGACCTCAGACCCCTGCCCTGACACATGGTCTACCTTCCAAGACAGAAGTGCCTAAAACCTCTGCCAGGCCTGTGCCCCACCCCCACCACTGCTAACCTGTGCCCTTTCCTGACAGATGTCTGGCCTGGCCTTGCCCCAGGTCCCCCCGGAACCGCCGGCCCCACCCCTGGCACCCCCTGCCTCGGCCTGGGGGGGCATCCGGGCGGCCCACGCCATCCTCGGGGGGCTGCACCTCACCCTGGACTGGGCTGTGCGGGGCCTGCTGCTGCTGAAGACCCGGCTGTGACCCAGGACCCAACACCACGGCTGCCCTCCCAAGCCTTGTCTTATTTATTTATTTATTTCAGTCCTGGGTGCCATGGTCAGGGGACGCCCCTCCTCATGCCCTGGTTAGACAGACTCGGGCGAGGGGGCACCTGTGCCTTATTTATACTTATTTATTTAAGGACCAGAGGGGGAAGCAGGTGACTCTGGTCCCCAGAGGCTCTTAAAGAGCCTCTCCCCGGCTGGGGCGGAGCATAATATTATTATTTATTAAAGGATTACTTTGTAAGGTGGGGTGGGCTTCGGGTACAGAATTGTGAGGAAGCCTCCAGAGAGAGGCAGGAATTGTACTTGTGCTCTACCAGGACCTGTGTGCCGGGGGCCAAGAGCTGGCACCTCACAGGCAGAGGGTTTCAGAAGGTCACCCTGCCATGGATGGTACCTGCAGGGACTAAGCAGGGGGCTCAAGGTTGTGGTTCTGGCGCCTTCCCCGATGTCAAGTGGGAAGGAACCTGGTGTCCAGTGGTGGGAACAGTTCACTATTGCCAATCCCCGGAGTCTCCATGCTGCCAGACCCAGGGGGGGGGGCGAGAAGACAGCCCAGCATCACATGCTGTCCTGGTACGGCCAGCAGCAGGCCAAGGCCAGGGGCGTAGCTCATTACTACAGTGCCTGCCTGGCAAGTGCGAGGTCCTGAGTTCGAATCCTGGTACCAAAAAAAAAAAAAAAAAACAGGCTGCCCAGCCGCCGTTTCATCCAGTGCTATGCATCCCTTACTACAAATATGACTTTTTAAATCCTGGAGGGAAAGACACCAAGACTTTGCTGGCTGGCTGAGGGCTGAGGCGAGAGGAGGGGTTCAGAGTGACATATCATTTGCACTTGTATCTTCCAGAATTTCTACCATGACTGTATTTTGCATGACATTTAAAAATAACAATAAACACTATTTTTAGAATGACAAAATATTGCCCTTCCTTCCCCTCCCCCTGAAAAGAACTCTTGGAAATGAATGAGAGATCCCACCAACTGGGTATGGTGCCACAGGCCTGCAATCCCAGCATTCAGGAGGCTGAGGCAGGAGGATCACCACATGTTTGAACTTCCAGAATTTTCTTGAGTTCTCAAATATGCCCATTTTCCTGGCCAAGAACCTGGCATCCAGACAGCCAGAGCAGTGTCTCTGCTACCCAAGGTTACACAGCTGGGAACAGATGGAATAGTGATTCTCTTCTACTTCCATTTTTTTGCTGCTGGAGGAGGAGGGGATGGTATGCAGGGCCTCAGGCATGCTAGGCAAGCACTCACCACTCAGCTGAGTCCCCAGCCCTTCTTTCTTGTTGACACTGTGAATTGAACCCGTGGTGTCACACGTGCTGGGTAGGTGCTTGCCCACTGAACTATATTGCTGGGCCCATCTTTGTTCATTATTCTAAGACAGGGTCTTGTGATATTGCCCAATCTGGCCCCAAATTTGCAATCCTCCTGCCTCAGCCTCCCAAGTAGCTGGGATTACTCGTAGGTATGTGGCCCTGTACCTGGCAAAATTGAGATTCTGCTCTGGTTGGGCCTCACCTGAAAACTGGTGTCAGGACATTGAAGCTGGGTATGGGTTCCAGTCTTACCCAGGGTCCAGGGAAGGATCAGTGGCAGAGCTGGGAATGTGACTCAAGCCCTTTGATTAATTATCCACTTACAACAATGCAGACCCCCCCCCCGAGGGTAGGGGGGCATGCAGTCTGAAGTTGAGTCCGGGGGCAGAGGTGCTGCCCTTGGTCTGGGTCCTGATTCTCCCACTCTGGCTCTCAGGGCGCCAGGAGTGCCCCTGGGATGAGTCCCTGTGTGTCAGCTGAGGTCACAAAGCCCCCTCTGGGCTCCTCCCCTAGGCCAATGCTGTGCACCCCCCAGGACCATGGCCACAGCCCGAGTCATCCCCCAGCCCTGGGGAAGTTGAGCTCCAGGGACCAAGATCAACAGCCTGGGGTGGGGTGGGGGGACCCCATGTAGTGAACCCCTATGGGGGTCATGAAGTGGTTTTGGAACACCCGGCCAGCCCAGCCACACCGGGGCCCCCAGAAGTGGGTCCCTGTTCTGGGCAAGCTTCAGCAGACCCTCCAGAAGGGCGAGTACCTGCCCCTGCGTCCAATGCCCATGTTCGAGAGTAACTTTGTGCAGGTCCCCAGCTGCCTGTGCCCTGGGGGGGGGGGTGAGGGCAGGACACAGGGTGGGGGGCTAGGAGGGGCTGGAAGGTGGGCCTGAGGGGGTTTGGGCTGGGTGCTGCAGGCAGCCAGAGACAGGTGGTCCCAGCCCTGGTCCCTGGCCGCCCCAGGTAACAGCCGTGGGGAGCCCTGTGTTCCTGCATCAGCGAGCTAACCGGCTGACCCTGGGTGTGGCCGCCTCTCTGCCTGGCCTGGTGCTTCCAGACATCCTGCTCATCGCTCGCCCCCAGGCCAGGGACGGCTCCCACCTGCAGCTGACCAGGTGCCCATCTGCCCCCGCCCCCACTCCCCCACCCCCCATCTGGGTCTAGCCACCACCGTCTGCTGTCCCCCAGGATGATCCCCCTGGACTTCGTGCACCTCTATGTCCACAACTCGTCTGCCCGGCGCCTGAAGTTGCGGCTGATCACTGGCCGCTGCTACTACCTGGCTCTGGAGGCTCCGGACCTTGAAGTAGGCTTCCTATTCGACTGCTGGGTGCGCCTGGCCCACATGCTCCAGGAGCCCACGACTGCCAGGACCTCCCGGCCCCTGCACCCATCTGGTCAAGGTTCCTTGGCCAAGGTGCCCGCCTCCACTTGGCACCTGCAGGTGGGACCCTGACACACAGGCTTTAGGGTAGCAGAGCATAGGAGGTAACAGTGCCCATTCCACAGGGACAAGGTCCCCAGGGGTGGGGCTGGCCCAAGGGTGAGGGCTGAAAGCTGAGCTCGGCCTGCTGCCCACGTGGGTGATGGAAGGTAGACCCTGGGGTAGGGGTCCCTGCTGACTGCCTCTGCCTGTCCACAGGACTTGGCCCACCGCAGCTGCACAGGTAAGCGAGTTTGTCCCCCTCAGACTCTCTCCTGATGGAGTGGCCAGAGCCCCAATACTCAGCCTCCTCCCGTGGTTCTCCCCTGTCCCTATGCCCCTGATCCTCCTCTCTCCCTTCTGTTAGCCGCCCTGACGAAGCCCACCTTTCCTTCTATGATGCCGGCTGGAAGGAAGCAGAAGGCAGCCAAAGTGAGGCGGGCAGGCGGCCCAGGTGGGGCCAGGGTGGACTTGGGCCACCCCGCCCTGACTGCCCCACTCCTACCCGGCCTCCAGCGCAGGTTCAAGTCCCGGGCTGTTGGCGACTCCATACCTCTCATCTTGTCACAGCAGAAGCATGATGCCCTGGGAGTGAAATCCACAGAAAAGAGGTGGCCCAGAGCTCTTGCTGCTGGTGGGGGTCAGGAGGCAGGTGGAGACCCTGACCTTGACACCACTGAGTCCCACCGTGCTGCTTCCACAGGTCCACTCCCGGTACCAACCCTGACAGATATGCCATCCAAACCCACAGTCCTGGTGAGAGCAGCCCCATCCCTCTGTGGTAGCACGGACCCAAGGCTCAGGTCCTCAGAGGGTTTGGGCTGTGCTCTCCCCACCAGGCACAGCCAGCATCACCATTCGCACCATCTTCAGCGTGGTCTCCAGGACGGTCCTGCAGGCAAGCAACACCATGGCCAGATCAGCTGGGGTCGAGGGTGGAGGCAGGGCTGGCTCAGGTCTGCAGGCGAGCGGGGGGGCTCTGCTCTGGCGCTGACTCTGTACCCCTCTCCCAGCACCAGGACTGCCCACCTGATTCTGAAGAGGCTCCGGGCCTGGAGGCTCAGATCGAAAGCCCTTCCCACTGTGTCTCTGGGGACAACTGTGCCTACCCACCTAAGGGGTCCGGCAACTCTGTGGAGCTGCTCCTGAGGCAGCAGGACATTGAGGACTTCCTGGACACAGAAGCCAGCACCCTGTCCCCTTCCTTCTTGGACACAACTCCGCACTCTCCTGCCATGTACCTCTGTCCATCCTGTCCCTCTTTCCCCAACCCCCAGGACAAGGCCAGGTGTGGGAACCCACAGCTGGGCCAGCGGACACCTCCCTCCCAGAAAGCCTGGTCTGGAGGTCGCCTGCAGTGGGGGGCACCAGTCATCATGGGGCAGTCACAGAAGGTGCTAGCTATTCTGGCCCCATCCCAGAAGACCTCAGCTGTCTCTGCCACCCCCTGCCCATCCCAGAAGGCCCCAGTTGTCTTCTTTCCACCTCACAGGCTACCATCTCAGGCTTGGACAGCTCCACCTACATGCATGGGTCCCCAGAAGGCTGAGTGTCCTTCTGCCCCAGAGAAGGAGCCTCTGCTCCTGCCAACCCCGTCCCAGCAGATGCCTGCCCAGCCCCCCTGTCCCCAGGCAGCCGTCAGCCCTCCTGTCTCCTGGGGGAAGCCCCTAGCCCAGCTCCCCATGGCACTGGCAGGACCTCCTCAAGCAGATGTAACCAGGAAAAGCAAGTCTGAGGGGACAGTGGTGCCTGGGGTGTTGGTGGGCACCCAGGAGAGGAATGTGATAGAGAGGAACACCCCGGAGGTGTCCCTGGACCTGCCCTTCACTACTATCACCAAGGAGTCTAAGGGGGTGCTACTCAGCCAAACCCAGGTGGTCACTGTGGCAGGGCAGCAGGGCCAGGCAAAGTTGGAGGACGTGGCCCACAGGAGGCGGGAGGAGGTGTCACTGGACCTGCCCCTTGTGAGGTCCAAGGAGGTGGAGCAGAGATGGGTGAGGACCCAGCAGGAGGCCGTGGAGGCACTGGGCAGGGAGCTCAGCAGGGCCTTCTCTGTGGAGGGGCTCATGATGGCCAAGCCAATGATCATGGCCAACTCTAGGGAGTGGTGCCCAGGGCCATCTGGGGCATCCAGGCCCTCTGGGCTCTCAGCGACTTCCCAGGCAGCAGCCGTGTTAGCGGACAGCCAGGCCCCATTGCCCCTGAGCCCCAGCTGGCTGTTCTTACTGGAGGGGACAGGAGTGGTGGTCAGGGGGCCACAAGAGTACGACTCCTGGGTGAAGGAGAAAATGCAGTGGGGCTCCGAGCAACCTGCCCAGGGGCCACTGTGCTCTGGGCCTGGCTCCATCAGTCCAGTGGTGTCCCCAGGCCCTGTGGTTTCCATCCCCCTGCCTGCCTCATGTTGGGAGGACTTGCCACAACCTCCCCCGCCACCACCAGCCTCCAGCTTGAGGGCCAAAGTCCTGGGAAGTGCGCCCCAGCCTCGGCCCCCGAGTGTGCCCAGGAAGCACCCTCCAGCCACCACGGAGTCATCCTCAAAAGGCATCCTGCAGGTGCCCCTGGAAGTCCAGAGTGTGAGGGACGCAGCCACCTCGGCACAGATTACAAAGGGGAACCTGGGATTCCATCACCTTCCTGTGGCCAGGTGTGTGGCGCCCATCCACTGTCAGCTATGTTAGGCATCTGAGGGTGGAGAGGGTCAGTATCTCACCTGGTCCATTCCCTCCACCTCTGTCCTGTAACCTGACTGACTTCTGGACAGGTGGGTGGTTTCAGTTTGTCTTGCAGTTGGCCGTGTTGTTCCTGACAGTACAGACTCAACAATGCAGGCTCCAGGGTGGGCAGTACTGCTGGCACCTAGTGGGCAGGGATACCCGCACAGCACAGGGCAGGTCCCACACCACTAGCAAAGGCCAAGGAGCTGGAGTATTTGTGTCAAGACCTGAAGGAGAGACCTCAGTGGTGCTGGGTTGATGGCCCAGTGCAGGGGTCAATGAGCTGCAGGACTTGGGCAGAGGGGCAGAATTGGTCAACAGAGCTCGGGGGCTGGGCAAGGGTGGCAGCTGGAGGTGCCAGTGGCATGGGCAGGTGTGGAGATGAAAGGATGTGGAGGTTTCCCCAGGTTCCCCCATTTCTCTGTGGGGTGAGCTGTGAGATGGCTTTATGGGTTGGCGTGGGATGTCTGAGGCAGGCAGAGAGGTCCCAGATCTGAGACACTCAGAGGCTGTGCTGAGTGGAGTAAGTTTCGGGCAATCTGTAGCTCCCTTTTGCACTTCTGGATTCTGGGAACAGCTGGAGAGAGGCATCTGGAGCTAAGGAGACACAATCTGGGGACTCCGGTTGTGCAGCAGGGTGACTCTTACCCAAGAGGAGGTCAGCAGAGTGGGGAGAATGAGGCCGGCCATGGTGGTTAGGGAAAGGGAACAGAGAAGGGACCTCCCCAGCCTTGGCCTGCTGGGACCTACAGGGTCACCTGCTGGGAGGTGACATGTGGGAGACTAAGGCTCCAGAGGGCAGGTGGAGAGGGTGATGGCAGGCCACGGCAGGGTGATCCTTAGGGCCAGCACACCATCCTCTGTCGCTGGACACTGAACGCAGCAGGGACCCAGAATGAGTCGAGGTGCACCGGTGTGAAAGGTCGCTGGCACATTCTCCTCCACGATGCCAGTGCCCTGACAGCTTTAGGTTTCTCTCCCTGCAGGCTGCTGCGTTCCCAGAGCTCTCAGTAGCGGGTCACAGGGAAGTGCAGCTCGGCGGCGGGAGGTGGAGGAGCCCTGCGGGTCCAGGTACCCCTGAGACCCTGGGACCTGTCTTGGCTGCCTAGAGGGGCCAGGCCTCATGTGGCCTTTTCTTCCCACAGGCCCAGCGGGCCCAGGGCGCTATGCGCCCTTCCTCGGAGGGCTGGCAAGGCTGGTGGGGTCCTTCCCCGCGACAAGCCAGACCTGTGTGTGCATTTATATATAGCGCACGGGGAGCGCCCCCGAGTAGCAATTAAAGACCTGAGTATGGGACTCCATGCCCTGGAGGAGCCTCAGTGCCTGCGCGTTGCCCCGGCTGGCGGGAGGGGGGGGGGGGTTGGAGTGGGAGGGAATATGGGGGTGGATGGGCGCTCGGTCCGGCGGCGCCCATTGGCCGCGGTGCCTGGGCTCCCAGCCAATCTGGCGCGAAGGTCATGTTCTCCCTGGGAGGAGGGGACCCCAGACTCTGCAGTCAGCACCCCAGAAATGCACAGCCTCTGATCTGCGACGCGAGGACCTCGGCCTGGTGAGGGCGGGGCCCGGGGGGGGCCTCGGGGCAGGGTGGGGGCGCATTGGGGGACACCCCGGTCCACCGAGCCTCCTCTCGCCCTCAGAGCGGCTGTCTCTGAGGATGTTGAATTGCGAAGTCCAGAAGCCCCCCAGGGGAAATGGACCCCGCCGCCCTTAGACCCTCGCTTCCCCAACCAGAACCAGACCCGTAACTGCTACCAGAAGTTCCTGGGTGACAACCTGGGCGCAGGGCAAGGGTCGTGAGGCGGGAAGCGGAGCACCGCCAGACCCCCGGGACCACTGTGGGGGCCAGAGCCGTGGGCGGGGCCGAGTCTTGAAGGGACAGGGTGTTGTGTCTGGATCGGGTGAGACCGGGAGGAGGGGAGGGGCCTGGTTTGGCTACTGGGGGGGCTCAGCCTTGGGGAGGCCGGGCCTAAGGCAGAATGGGAGGAGCCCTATGTGCAAGGGAGGGGGCCAACCTTAAAATGGGCAGGGCGAGGGAGCCTGAGCGGGGCCAAGCCCCTGAGGGCGGGGCCTGTTCTGAAGTGGGCGCCGTCTCCCTGGCTCCGCCCCCGCTCTCCACAGACTTCCACCTCTGCGTGAAGGAAATGAGCCCGCCGCGGCAAGAGCACGCAGCCCTGCGAGTACTATTTCCGCGTGTACCACTCACTGTGCCCCATCAGCTGGGTGAGCGGGATCCCGGGCCCTGGCGCGCCACACCAAGGGCGAGGGCGAAGGCGAGGACTGAGGCTGAGCCGCGCCCCCTCCTGGCCTGTCTCCCCAGGTGCAGCGCTGGGAACAGCAGATCCACCACCAGACCTTTGCAGGCAAAATCTGGCCGCCTAGCGCGGTGCCTCCTTCGAGGAAGGCGGCCCTGCGTTCGTCATCTCCTCGGCTCCTGGAGTCCTGGCCTGGGCCATCAGCCTCACGCTCGTCATTAGGCACAAATAAAATCGTGTGTTGCTTGTGCGTCTCGCAGCTGGGCAGGTGATTCACAGGGCGGGGCAGGGTGGGTCCTATGCATCTGCCCCACAGTGCTCTTTCTGATAACGGGGAAGTAGGATGGGGTGGGAGGTGGGCGGATGACCGCGCTCTTTGGGATGCTAGGGCTGTAGGCAGTAAGGTAGGCACTGACTGGGCATCCGCGGACCCAACCGCAATCGCAGAGCTTGGGGTCCCACGCTGCAGCCCCTACACCTGCCTGTCGCCCCTGTCTGTATTTGTGGCCCAGCGTCTCCTTTCTGCCCAGTGTCCACCTGACCTCCCATCCGGACTCTGACACCGCCTCTGCTATCCACACGCCCACCCCACCCCATTTTCCTCCCTCGTCCCAAAGGGAATCCTCGGATTCTTGTCTTTCAGTACCTATAGTCCCCCCACTCACTGCCATCTGTCTCTGCCTGCGTCCTTTAGACTCTGAGCCCCATCTGACCCATTCCTTGCTCGTTCCGGTCCACCAACCTTGTCACTCTGGTCACAGGTGTTCCTTGAAGTGTTGCCTCTCCCAGGCCAACCGGCCAAAGCCAGGGACCTGCTGCCCAAGGCTGGCCTCCCAGCTCCACCCACCAGAACCCTAGGCCACCCAGGCCACCTCCTGAGCTCCTTGCAACCCTAGGGTTCAGAGATGAATCATGACAACTCACCGGGGTGCTGCACAAGCCTCAGTTTCCCCAGGGGTAAACCAAAATAGCTTGGAGTCTCCATATCAGGGGAAACAAGGCTGGAGGCGTGGTGACCAGGAGGAAGGCTCTGTTCTTCCCCTGCTCTGTGATGACCTGGCCATCACTGCCCATGTCACCCACCTCACCCAGCCAGCCAGGACGCAGCACAGCACAAGCAGGCTGTCCCCAGGGAAGGCTCCACCCCCAAGCCCTGTTTCCTAGCTCTGTCTCTGACCCTGAGCAGAAAGGCAGGGGGTGGGAGGGCACAGATGTAGAGAGGGACAATATGAGGCTACTCAGTATCTCCAGAGCCCCAGAAATGGCATTGCTGGGGGGAAGGAAGCCAGCAGGACCCAAAGCCTGGCTGAGGAGTCCCTAAGGCCACACAGGCAATGTCCAGAGCCCAGGACACTGTTGTGCCCACCCCTGCCCAACCATGGTCTCTTGCTCTCCCAAGTCCAGTGCCTGGAATTTATTTTCTCCTCATGGCCGGTGACCTTTCTTCATCCCTCTTCCTTGGGCCCATAACCCTCCCACCACTGTCATGTGTGCACAGTTTCATGTACCTGCCCTTCCTGCTCTGCCTCCTGCCTGGGGACCTCTTCTGCAGCCAGCGCCTCACCTCAGAGGCCCCAGCACCAACCTGTCTCTCAGCAGCCTCCTGGGCAAGGCCCAGCTGCAGCCCACAGGGCTGGGACAGTTCCCCTGCTGGGTACCAGGCTGGCTCACTGGTTCACGTCCAGTGGGGAACACACCTGTTTCCTAGTTCTGTGAGAAGAGGTGACTGCAGGAAGGCACTTGCCAGCTTGTGCAGTTTGTCTACAGAAACAGCTGGCAGCTTTTATGCTGGGCCCTGAGGGACTGGGGGTGACCCCATCTGGTCTACCTGTGCTCAGTATAGAGGTCAGAGAGCACCTGAATGGGAGAAATAGGTTCTGGGCCTTCCTGGGGAGGGGCCCCCTAACTTGTGCTCATCTGAGAACAGCACTCCTGCCTGGCATGCATTAGCAGTTTCCACACAGGCAGTCACTTTTTTTTTTTTTTTTTTTGGTCTTTTTGAGACAGGGTCTCATTATGCAGTTTAGGCTGGCTTTGGGTTTACTTGTAGTCAGGGCTGGGCTTGCATTTGCAGTGATCCTCCTGCCTCAGTCTCCCAAGTGCTGGGATTACAGGGGCATGCCACCACACCTGGCTCACTTTCCCATTTTAAATCTCTTCTGCCTCTGCCCATGGTCCCCTGTGGCTGCTAATCTCCCTATTCCTCCCCACTTTCCTGTTTTGCCCAGGATAATCCCTGTCTCCTTGAGGGTCACTTCCTCTCTAGAGACCTGAGCCACCTGGTAAACTCATGATGCCAAGCCTGGACTCTAGAGTAATGTCCCCCAGGCCCCACCGGCTGGCCAGTGCCAATGTCAATTCCTGGAGCTTCCCCACTGTACCCAGCGGTCAACGTGGGAACCCCAGGCAGCAGGGTGGGCCCTGCCATGCATAGCCAAGGGTTGCAGTCCACAGGTGACAGTCCTGGGCACACTGAACCTCTGAGGCCTGTCTTCATTGCTGCTGGGAAGACCTGTGGCCCCTTCATTTTTCATATGGAACAGAAAACCAAACAGGGCTTTGTAGGAACAGCATTGAAGAAAGGGATTTTCTCACTGGGGGAATGAAGTGGGTATGCTCACCAGCACACGCAAATGAATTTACTATAAAAGGTTACCTGCTCTCAGCTCTCCCTTATCATCCCTTTTGCTTTCAGCACCGAGGGGCCACTCTAGACCATCTGCACCTGTGTGTTACAAAGCCGCCTCTGCTGTCTGGTGGCCTTGCCCTCCTCACTCCAGGGTGACCACGTCCAAGCCCCTGGGCACCCACAGGTGACCTGAAAACTGCCTGTGTGATGCTGAATGGGGAACCAGGGCCTGAAGGTGCCTGCCAGCTTTTTCCTTCCTCCCTTAAAGCCAGGCTCTCCGACTGCTGAGAGAAGGGTGCAGATCAGGGCATGGACTGGACAGGAAGACAGGTGCGTCCCAGTCTCCCAGCTGAGGTGTACGTGGCTGAGAATCTACAGCCCAGTTTGGGCATTGACAGGGATTCAGCCAGGGCCTTTGTACTGGACTATATCCCCAGTCCTGTTTTTTTGAGACAGTCTTGCTAAGTCACTTAATTCCTCTGGTGGTTGCACTCATACTTGGGATCCTCCTGCCCAGCCTCCTAGAGTGCCGGTATTCTTGCAGAAAGCTTCCACCTCATGCCCTGTAGTCCTCAGAACCCACTGCTCTTCACCCTCTCAAAGCCTCTCACAGTAGTGTTCAGGGCTAGGCCTGTGCTGCCTGTAAGACGTGAACCAGAAGAGAGAAGTCCCAAGGGCGCTGTTTATAACAAGGTTTTAATAAAATAAAAAGTTCAAGTGGTTTCAATCCTCCAACATACCCCATTCTGGTGTGGCAAGGGGAGGGAGCCCCCCATACCCTAGTAGCACCAGGGATAGCACCATAGAAAGATGAGGTCACACCCAGCCTCCCTGAGACCCACAGGCAGTGAGGGGCTACGACCCCAACACCCCCAACACCCCTACTGTGTCCCACCTCAGACAGCTGCAGAGCAGAGCAAACCCCACTTCCCATCCTGGAGGTGGTCCCCGAAAGCCAACCTTGGTTCCACCTCCTCCTGAGGCTTGGCTTCTGGGGACAGCCATGGGGTGGCCTCACCCTCTTATGGCTTTGCTCCCTGGGGAGGAAGGGGTGAGGGGAGAGGGGGCTCCTGTAGTCTTGAGGTGGGGAAGAGGCAGCAGGGCTCCCTGTTGTGTAGGGTGGCTCAGGGAACAGCAATCACAGAGTGTCAAGGGTCAGACCCCCAGGGATGTGTAGGCAACCCCTCCTGGGCCCTGCCCATCACAACTCGTCGCTGTTGACATCCAGGTCAATAGAGCCATGGCTCACCACGAGCCGCAGGCGCCTGCGAGGGGAGAAGGATGCAAAGGCGAGGGCCTGCTTGGGGACAGGGACAGAAGCCGGGATGGAGCCGGGGTTGCCGGAGTGGGCAGAAGCAGCTGGTGTAACCAGGGCAGGGGCAGTGGCAGGGGCGGGAAGTGGGTCCAGGCGGCTGAGGTCCACGCGCACCACAGAGGGCAGCCCGTAATGGCGGGCCCAGTGCCAGTCCTGTTGGGGGGCCCAGCGGGCGCTATGGGGCAGCCCCAGGGCAACCAGAGCCTCTCCCCGCAAGCGGCAGTGGGGGCCGCAGCCTCCCCAGGGGTGCAGGGAGACCTGGGCCTCACGGAGCACAGGAAGCGCAAAAGCCTGCTGGGGCCGGGGGCGCCGACGCTTCCGGGGCCGTGCTCGGGGCTGGGGCTGCGGCAGCCACTGGAGCCAGAGCGGCAGGCTGTCCAGAGGGGAGATGCTGGGCAGCAGGCGCAGGGGCTGGCAGACAGCTGTGGAAGACAGGAGGAGAGGCATCACCCTGGGCAAGGTGCATGGAGGCTGCGGAAGGCGGGAGGGTTCCCACCTGGTGGGTTCCCAGCCGAGGGTCCCCACCCAGTGCTCACCGCAGAACGGGTCCCAGCGTAGGGGGAACAAGTGGGTGCAGGCCCTCGGGCCCAGCAGGCTTTGCCTGCCGCTGTCCTGGCCTCGCTGCAGCCGACACTTGGTTTCCCGGAATGCATACTTGTCAGGTGTCTGCGAGGGCGGCATCTCAGGGTCCCTGGGCTTCAAGCTGAAAGCGCCTTCCCCCTTCCTGGAGCCGGCAGATCGAGAGCTTAGACTGGGCACAGGGCCTGCGGGCCGGCTCTGCCCCTATCTCCCTCCCCGTCACCTCACCCCACTACCCGGCCCACCTCTCACAGGTGTAGCATTCACAGTGCTCATTCTTCTCGCCAAAGAAGCCGTCGCCGTAATAGCATGTCACCTCGTCCCCTGGCTCGATGTCCCGCAGCGCCTTCACACAGGCCGCGTTCCCATCTGCGGGCACAAACTGGGGCCAGGCCCACTCAGCAGCGGGCCTGGAGCAGGGGCTGCTCTACCCCTGGCTCCTAGCACCATCCACTGCAGCAGCCACACTGGCCAGGCCTGCACTCCGTGTGCCCCATGACGGGTCCCCGCCTGACCTCCCAGCAGCGGGCAATGCCAGCTCCTTCCTCCACAGCTGGGCCAAATCTACCCCCCAGAAACCCAGAGCCAAACACCTCGGGCCACCTGCCTGCCCCTGCGGAATAGACCTTGGTGCTGCCTCTGGGAGGACGTCTCCCATAGCTGCTCTGTGCCTGCACCTAATCCACAGCCCCTGTTCCAGCGGGGGTGTGACCACTTCTGTCCATTAGCCCACCCTTGCATGCACACCTGACAATCCCCCGAAGCAGCCCTGGATGCCAGCCTACCTGATGACCCACAGGCTGACAGGCCAGCCACTCCCTAGCATGCCCCTCCTGCACCAATGTCCTCCTCCTCGCCACCCTACCTAGAGCTAGCTCTCACACCCCGCTTCAGCCTGCACCAGCTGTTGGTGGCTGCCTAGAAACAACTCCTCCATGCTCCCTGGCAAGGACAGGCTGACTGCGCCACCCTTTGCTTCCAGGACGACAGCTTGCTCCTTCTGTTTTTTTTTTTTTTCTTTTTGAGATGGGATCTCACTATGCAGTTCAGGCTGGCCTTGAGCTCACTTTGTAGCCCAGGCTGGTCTTTTTTTTTTTTTTCTGACTGCAACCTTCTTCAAAACCCAGGCTGGTCTTGAACTCACAACGATCCTCCCACTTCAGCCTCCCGAGTGCTGGGATTACAGGCATGAGCCACATTGCCCGGCTATCTCCTGCTTTCAGCACTCGGCTGCCACCTCTTCAGCAGCCCTGTGCACCGCTGTCTGCACTCTGTGCCACTCGGCATCTGTGCATGGCCCAACCTCGAGGCAGAAGCTGTGGCAGAAGTTGTGAAGCTTACTCCAGGCCCTCCCACACAGGAAACCAATTTACACTGGACTTGGGGTGGGGTCTCACCAAGTTGGTGAAGTAGAAGCCCCAGGCAGGTCGGTGTGGCCAGTACTTGCAAACCTGGGTCTGCTCCTGAAGCCTATGCTCAGCTCTGTCACCCTCCCTGCTACCCCAGATAAAGTGCCCACAGAGACTGGGAGAAGTAGAGCAGAAGCGCCCTGCCCCATCCCTTCCCTGCTGTTCTATGTCAACAGCTCTTCCTCTCCTCCTCTTCCAGGCCCCTGCCAGAGAATCTAAGGGGTCCCTGGTTGCTCCTCTACGTCTGCCTCACAGCAGCTAAGGCCAGGCTCTGGTGGGAGACTCCGGCTGCCACTCTGTCACCCAGCTATACCACGGCTCCTTCAAACAGCACCCTGTGTTCTAGGGCCCAGCCCAGCCCAGGCTGTATACTGCCCCTCCCAGGCCAACAGCTGCTGGGGGCTACAGGACCAGAGAGTGCTCTTCACTGTCCCAGACAGCCCTCCCACCTGGACCCCTCCCTTCCCACTCTGCCCGAACCCACGGGGCTCACCTTGCAGTTCGGTTTGCAGTCTGTGGGCAGCAGGTGGGAGACAGAAGACACACAGTGAGCACAGCAAAGGATGGTGACAGGAGACATGGGTTAGGGGCCAGAGGACAAGGGATGGAGCCAGGGACGGGAATGGGGACAGGCCCAGGGATGGATGACACCCCGCCTCACCGTGGTTGATGAAGGCGGCAGGGCCCAGCCACAGCTGCATGCTGCGCTTGCGCGTGGAGTACATGATGCTGAAGTCGTTCTCGCCGGCCCGCAGTAGGTCCTCGTCAGCCTCCCGCAACTCCGCAATGCAGCCCACCAGCAGCTCCAGCTTCTCGTTCTTCTTCCTGCCAGGGCCTCCAGGGCTCAATGCCAGGGGCCACTGTGAGCGACACCGCGGCTGTCCCCACACCCAGTGCTCTCCCCGGAGCCCCTTTCTGCACCCCTCCCACCCCCCCACCCCCCACCCCCCGCCACAGAGGAGGTCCCCTTTACCAAGCACGGGTGGACACGATCTTAGCCCCATTAGTCTCCATGGAGTAACGGGTACAGGGCAGGATAGTGAAGCCACTCTCAGGCAGGAAGGCACGGAGGTAGCGAAACACCTGTGGGGTAAAGGCTGGGGTAAGGCGTGGGCAAGCAGGCTGTAGGGGACCCCTCTTCAGGACACTCTGGGTGTGTGGTCTGTGCCTTGTTCTCCCTCTCGGGGCCTATGCAGGCCCCTTCTCTCCTGTCTTTGGGCCCCCTGGGCTGTGGTCAGGAGCTGGACGTGCACAAGAAGGGGTCCCTCACGTGGGTCTTCAGGGCAGCCTCCTGCCTCGAGCCCCGGCTCTGAAAGTAGTGGTCCATCCAGCCTCCCAGTGTCAGGGCCCGGTATGCAGCCTCCAGGTCCCGCTGCCTTAGAAAGGCCTCTAGAGCCGAGCGCAGGTGCTGTTGTCGCCGCAGGGTGGGCACGGGGCTAGAAGAGAGGGCATGCCTGGGTCCCAGGGCCTTCTGGGCCCTGCCAACCCCCATCTGGAGCTTCAGGGGGGCTGGGCTGAAGGGCAAGGTGCAAGGAAAGAGATCCCAGAGTGCTGCCTTTGCCCCCCAGGCTGCTCACCTGACATTCATCTTATGGGTGCGGAAGCCGAGGTAGGGGTCAAGGACCAGACTGGTGGCCAGGTCATCGTTCTCACACAGTTCTCGGGCTGTCACTCTGTCGGGCCCCATGCTGTTCTGTGAACCATGCTGTCTCCCATAGACAGCAGGCAGCCTGGGGGCACAGCTGGGCATAGGCCAGGAGGCTCCTAGAAGCCAGGTGGCACTCAGGTGGGCCCTGTGGTCTACACATCTGCAGACAGGAAGGGGGAGGTGAATTGACAGCCCAGTGCTCCCAGGGAGATCAACAAGTGCTTCTGCAAGGGTGCCTGTGTGGGTGGAGCACCTCCAAATCCCAGTCCTGCAGCGCCCCAGCACCTCCCTCACCCCTGCACGGTCCAGGAAGCAAATTCTCTGTTGCTGGAGACAACCCTAAAGGGCTCACCCTCTGGGTCGTACACAAGAGCTATGTCCCGAAGGGAAGTTGGTACTTGCCAGAAGGCCCCAGGGTACCCACCCCACTTGGCCTCTCCACCCCAAAGCCCCAGGGAGTGGCCAGGAGCATCAGACAGCCTGCAAGGGATGAGGAAGAGGTCCGTCGGGAGAGACCCCAGCACCTGCTCCAGCTCCGAGGAGTGCAGAGCGGGGCTCTGAGGACAAAAGTGGGCGAGGTGAGAGGAGAGGACGGCATGGAGAGATAGAACAGGTGAAATGGAAAATGAAGAGCAAGATAGAAAAATCAAACGGTTAAGAAAAAGGAGACCAAATACAAGCGAGCGTGGGAGGGCCTGTCCTGTACCCATATCATGGTGCTTTAGGCCCCTCTGAGCCCGGCTGAAGGGTGGATGGGGCCCGGCAAGAAGGGGGAGCGGCAGAGACATCAGGATAGGCTACATCACCCAGAGAGGGGTCTGGAGGAGCCAGAGGGCTGGCGACAAATACAGAGGGGGTGCCATGGAGAGCAACAGCGAGGCCAGAGCGTGTGGGCGGGGACACAGCACCGCGGGGCTAGGCGCAGGGAGGGGTTGGGGGGTGCCTGGGTACAGGGAGGGGTTCGGGGGTGCCGGAGGCCTTAAGGCTAGGGTCCAGGGAAGGGCTCAGGGAAGGCCCCGGCCCTTGGGTCGGAGAACCTAGAGGAAGCTCAGGGAACGGAAAAAGGAGCAGAGAAAAGCCGGGATACCAGGAGGCAGTGGATAGGAAGCGGGAGCCCAAGGGAAAGCGGCCCAAGGCTCAGGAGGTGGAAGGCTAGGGGCGAGGTCAGGGGCGGCCTCGGGGTACACGGAGAGGCCTGGGGGTGAGGATCTGGGGTGCAGGACAGGCCTGGGCGTTGAGAAGGACCGGAAAAGGCTCTCGAGGTTTAGAGAGAGGTGGGGGAGAGGCTCCGGGGTGCAGGGAGGCTTAGGGGCTCAGGGTTGGCCGAAGTGAGGAGCGGGGAGACCGGGCACCCAGGCGCTAGGCAGGGCCGGGGGCAGGAACAGCAGGGGCGGGGGCGGCTGGGAGCCCAGGCGGCGCGAGGCGGGGGCCGAAAGGGGGCTCAGAGATCGGGCCCCGCGCCGCCCCTCACCCGCTGCTTCTCCTCCTCCGCCTCCTCCTCCTCAGGCTCCCGCGCTGCAGCCGCCACCACCTCCCACAGCCTCTTCTAGCTCTCGCGGGACCGAATCGTCGCACCTCCCCTCTGTCTCGCGGGCCCCGCCTTACCACTGCTGCTGCGAAATTCTATTGGCCAAGCCTGCCGCCATTCTTCAGTTGCTATGAAGTTCACCGCATTCCTGTTGACCTAGTCTCACTACTCTTACCCTCCCCTCCAGTTTGTCTGTGCCCTTACAAAACCCCGCCACGCCCACACTGCCAGCAAGACCGTGAGCTAATGTCATTGGCTCACGTAGATTTCCGTCAACCGCTACCATGGGGATTGCCCCGCCTCTCCCCTACTAATACCTGACGTCTACTCCCTCATTGGACGAAAGCGTCGTCTCTCCTAGCAAATACTGGTTGGGTCAGGTTATCTAGGTCCAAATAGAAGAGGGCGGGTCCCGTTCCCTCCAGAATTCTTATGTGATTGGCTGAAACGGGCTATCTTTCCATTGGCTACATCTCTGTCGGTCATTATAGTTGCGACCTCCTCATTCCCCCCCCCCCAGACACAGGGCAGAGAAATCCAGGGCTGCGGGCCGGAGGCGGTTGAGTGGCTTTGAGTGCACCTCCTTCTCTCCTTTCCCTTGTGGCCTGCGGTTACCAAGTCGACAAAACTTTATTAACAGTCCTTCCTAGCTACAAACGGCTTCGCCTTCTCTCCCTCTACCGTTACCACGTTTCATTTTGGAAAAACGTATACACGGGGACTCTGTGAGGCTTTTTTGTCATATAACCCGATCGGAAGGAGAAGAGCCTGGGAACAGGGGCTTAGGAGAGAAGCCCTGACTTAGGAGAGAAGCCCTGACTTAAGGGGCGCTCGCTGCAGCCCTCCCCCATTAAGATCATGTTCCTGCTTCCTCGTCAGCATTAGCACAACATGCTCCACGCTCAGAGCAGACGGTCTTTGCTTTCGTTTTTATCCAGGTGTACATTCGGTGTTCTGAAGCCCAGTGCGCTGCAGGCGTTTTATTAAAATGCCTGCGTCAGTCGAGTGATCAGCCAATGGGGAAAGGGCTGACAGTTCCTGTGCTACTCTGTGACCTTGGGGAAGTGGCTTTCCATCTCTGTGCTTCAAGCTTCCATCTAGCAAACAAAGAGCACCCCAGGACTGCCATGGTCGCGTCCCTAATCCCTGCAGAACAGCCCAGGGCGACCACAATGCCGGGGCTATGTAGTCGCCCTGCAGCCATCACTGCAGCAGGTTCTAGTGCTGGCAGAGGGGGACTTAGATGAGGTGACAAGGTGACCCCAGTCTGGGAGAGACCGGCAGTCAACTCCAGAGAAAAAAAGCAGCTTTACCCAGGCAGAAGAGACTTGGGAAGAGTTAGGCTGGCACTAAAGTCGCAGCAACCTGGCTGACACTTAGAAAGACAACCCTGGTCGGGCGTGGTGGTGGTGCATGCCTGTAATCCCAATACTTGGGAGTCTGAGGCAGGAGGATCACAAATTGTAGCCCAGCCTGGGCAGTTTACTAAGTAGCAAGAACCCATTTTAAAAATTAAAGGTAGGGCAGAGGGTTTAGCTAAGTAGTGTAAAAGCCTAGCAAGCACAAGGTCGTGAGTTCAGACTCTGATACAAAAAAAAAGAAAAGAAAACAATTCAAGGTAAAAAAAAAAAAAAAAAAAAAAAAAAGGGCTGGTGATGTAGCTCGGTGCAGAACCTCAAAATTCAATGCCTATTACCACAAAGGACTTTGTATGGCTGAGTAAATACCCTGTTGTATGCATGTATCACGTTTACTTATCAGTTGGCATAAATTGCTGTTAGTTTCACATATTGGCTGGATTCAATCCCCAGTATCAAAAAGGAAAAAACCCCCAAGTCCAGCCTTTCTTCTTGGGGCAAGCGTACATGAACTTTCACACAGAGAGAAGAGCTAAGCACAAGAATCCTCATCACAGTGCTGTAGGGTGACAAACTGAAAGATCTCAGCGGCCATCAGCAGCACAGCAGCTCTTTGAAGATGAGCGAGTTCTGAAACGAGGTAACAACAACCATTATATTATGCAGCACACTTCATTAACGCGACTGTGGTGTACTTTTTTTTTTTTTTAATTTTTTTTCTTTTTCTCTTTTTATCGGTACCTCACTCATCACAGGGAAGCTGCTGACTGGGGTTTTGTTTCTGTTCCTAAAATTCACAAGCTTGCATCAGAAAACCTATCCCTGCTGTCCCTGGACAGACTAGCAGTTTTACATTCTTTGGACAGGACAACCCGAGGCAAAACTGTTACCATCTTGTTCTCTGGGGCTCCACCCCACACTGATCAGTAATGGCTGATGAGAACAGATTGGACATGGCACACTTTCAAAATGGGTGACAACTTCTTTTGATAGTTGTGACCCAGGTCAGCTTCCACGTTCCTTGGGGGGAGCTAAAGCCCTTACATCCCGAGGTGAAGTTGTTCTCTCAGCTCACTTATAATTGGGTCATGGGGACCATTTCTTGTTCCCCAAAAACCACACTTCTTGGGTGCCTTGTTCATAACCTTGGTGCTGCTAGGATTATTTCCAAAAGATGAGAAATATAAAATAAAAAGCGGCCTTTATTCTGAGAACACAGAGAGAGATGACCGGCTCCCCCCATAGCTGGTGTCCAGCGATCTCGCCAGCAGACACGTGGCGTGGGGGTAAGTAAATAGCCTCGGTTTGGGGTGGAACCTAAGGCAGGCATTAGGGATGCACAGGTAGCCCATTGGTCCTAGGTTTGGCGCCATATGTAAATTTCCAGGGGTGGGAAGATGGCGTCACAGGTAACTTCCTAGGGGCAGGGGAGATAGGGACTTCTTACTTCCGGTTGAGGCTTTCCTGGCTACAGTGTCCTGTCTGGGCCAAAACCCTTTCAGGTGCTCCTGGCCTCAAGAAGGCTATAAAAATCAAAAAGCAGGTATTTTATTTTACTTTTGTCAGAATGGTGGCAAGTTGGCAGAAAACTCTCATTTTTAGGCCTTTTTCACTTTGAGGACGAGTCCTTCTCTTATTCTGTTCAATAATGGCCTAAATACTTCTGGCTTACTCTGCTCCACCAGAATCTCTCCCACTCCCCACCAATCCCTTAGATGATGTGTCCCCTGTCTTGGTACTTTTTTTTGTCTTCTGGTATTGGGGATTGAACTCATGACCTCACGCTTGCCAGGCAGGCACTTATGGCACTGAGCTAAATCCATGCCCCCTTCTGTCTCCTGTCTTTACGGCTCCTCCCCCACATCTCCAAGACCAAATCCCATATCTCTGTTAGCCAGAGGTTTCTGAGCCCCCTGCATCATCCTCTCCCCCTTTTTCACCCCCAGTGACCTCTTATTCTTCCCTTAGTTTCTCTCCTCTCTCTCAGATTTCTTGATCTCCTCCACCTAAGCCATCTATTCCATTGGATGGCTCTCCTTCTTTGTCCCCTACTTCTGCATCACCATTTTCTCCACCAACTCACCATACTTGGTCTTGTGCATTTCAGCCACCTAGCAGACCACGTGGTGTTTGACCGCCATCTTGTGATCCCAAACCACATGGTCTTCAGCAGCCACCTTGCTGCAGCTCCTATGGAGCTCAGCCACCATCTTGTGGTCCTCTAGGTGACAGTGTGGCACCATTTTATAACAGGTCACAGGGTAAACAACCCCCATCTTGCAGTCCCTCATTATGGGACCAGCAGCAGCCATCTTGTTGTGGGTCTCACGGTAATCAGTTGCCATCTTGTGCTTCCGTGCCCCATGGTGTTCCATCACCTGGTAATTGCTCACAGACTCCTGCTGGGCATTGGCTGCTCAGTGGCCATCTATACCTCTCACTCCACAGCCTTCTCAGCCTCAGTCCCTATTCCCCCTTCAGGAATAGGCAGGTCCTAAGGGACTAGTTCATATTCATTTCCCCTTGATGACTTATCGTTCCTTTTCTGCTATTCTTATTCCAAGAGCTCTCTATTAATTAATCTACAGAAACATTCACACTAGTCTATTTATTATAGTTCAAATTGGCCAAATATATTTGAGTTCTGATTTTGTAAAATGTTTGTCAGTCTGTATATCTATTGTCTGTTTGTCCAGTATGTTTGTATTCTACAGGTCATCTGTCCATCTTGTCCATTTGTCTGCTCTGTAAATAGCTGTTCCTTTTTATTTGAGCTCAACAATCTTTTTTCTTTTTTCTTTTGCATTTTCAGATCATTTAATCAAGGTTTATTTGGGTTATAGATTTAAAAGTCATGCTTCCACTTAGGTTGCCATCTGGTCAAAATGATGCTAAAACTGGTTAAACAAAATCCCTTGGGGTAGGGGCTGGGGGTTTTACCTCAGCGGCATAAGTGCCTGCCTTGCAAGCAGGCAGTCATGAGTTCGATCCCCGGTACCGATAAAAAGGAAAAAAGACCAAAAAAAAAAAAAAAAAAAATCCCTTGGGGTGAGGAGAGATTGGACAAGACTTCATGTTGGGAGCCGCAGCCCCGAGCCCGGTCGCCTCACTTGGCGGACGTGAGGCCTGTAGTAAAGAGTGAGGCCTGAGGTAGATTACCCCTCCCATCGAATACGTTAGTTTCCTGCTTACCGCGTAAACAACCCGCTCAACAATATAGTCTGCCTGGCAACTGATGATGTTAGCCAATCAGCTTGCCTTGCTTACTTTAACATGATTGGACACTGTACCCGTATATATACCGGTGCCACCCCTGGGCGGAAGAAGAAGCCAGATAGAAGCCCGGAAGTAGAAGCCCAAAAGGAGCCGCGGAGAGCGGACCGGTAGAGGCTTTGGGGCAGGCTGAAGCACAAAAGGAGCCGCGGGGAGCAGACCAAAGGAGGCTTCAGCTGGGAGAACCCAGGGCAGGCTGTACGGAGAAGGAAAATAAAAAGAAAAGGTTGTCCACTACCAGACTTTGTCGTGTGTCCTTCCTGCCGGCCGGGAGCGGACATCGACATTTGGAGGCCCGCCCGGGGACTGATCACCCCCGCGACGTGGAAGTGGACAACGCTCCAGTACAGAGCTGCGAGACAGGTGAGTTGGGGATAAGCCTGGGCTCTGGGTGGCGCGCACCTACAGGGCTTTTAGACTCCCCTCAGGCTCACGCGTAAGTGGCGGATTCCTTGGGCCTCACGCGGTGAGTAACATATTAAAAAATGGGAAACATGTTAGGTAGCGGCACTAAGAGCGAGGGTGGTTGTGGAGAAAGCTCTCAAGAGCTTACAAAAGTACGCAGGGTATCTGAGCAGGCCCAGTCAGGGAGCTCCCGAGAGGTGTTTGTCAAGGGGAACAAGGATGCTAAGGAGGAGGACGGGGCTCTAGCCTCGGAGTCGTCTGACTCCGAGGACGAGGGAAAGTTGAATGGCAAGGAGGCCAAAGAGACCAGCTGTCAGGAGCCTAAATCGCTCAATAAGGAGTCGCAGGGTTCTTTTCCAGCGTTGCCCCGCGAATTGCGCTCTGCTCAACCTGGTCTGCGGAGGAGTAGAGAGCTCCTGAGCGCTCCCCGGCGCGAGAGGGAGGCGAAGCCTTCCGCCCCACCTTGGGGGCCGTTTCCGGAGGCGATCCCTCGCCGCGGGGCGGCCGCCCGGGAGCTCCCTTCCTCTTCGCCAGAACAGGAAGTGATGCACGGGCCCCCATTTTCCGCCCAATCACGGCCGCTGTCTTATGCTCCGCCGCCGGCAGGTCGGTATTTTTACAGGCGGCTTTGGCAGGGGGGACGCTTGTCTCATGAGGTACATCCACCTGGGATAGATAGTGGCCCCTACGAGATATTTCCTGTACAAGTAGCTATGGGCCAGGGACGCAATGTATGGGAGCCTTTTGAGATAAAGCAGATTAGAGAACTTAAAAATGCAGTTACAACCTTTGGGCCGACTGCGCCTTACACCATTGCCATGCTGGAGAATCTGTCTTCTGGGCCCCTCACCCCCGCGGACTGGATTCAGCTGGC